TAGGTAGCTCGCTGACCTGATTCCTTCTAGCTTCGGGTTCGGAGAATCTGCTCGCCTTGTTCTTGTCCACGGCAGACCATGGGCATGCGGTCAGGGAATCCGCCCAGCGCCTGCCGTCCCACCCCGGCCCCGAGCACCCCGAGCACCCGCCGAGCACCCCGGCCCAAGTCCGAGCCAAGAACACTGGAGAAAGCCATCGCCTGCGTGTTGAAACTGCAGGCCCGGGGCCAGGCCAGCATTTAACTTCGGTTATAGATTTAACGGCCGTCAACACCGATGTATGACGGATGTGAGAGTTCCGGTCACCGATTTCCAGAGAAAGGCGACTGTCATAAGGTCAAGCTCGGTGATGCTCCATCGGTTTGCCGTTGAGTGGCTTCCCGTCTGCCGGCTGTTCGTGTTCACGTTCACTCACCACGCCTTTTTGTTGGCTGCGCCGCTCATTGCTGCACTTCTGCGTCATTGCCTCACGCTGTCCCTTGCTTTCGCTGTCATCAACTGTTGCTGGCCGTGCGTCCACGGGCCGCGAATGGTGCGGCGGGCTGGCGAGCGCGCGGTCCGGCCGGTCAGCCAGCGCGGCGGGCCAGCCGAGCTCCGCCGCCGGCCGGCCGGACGACGGCGGGCGCCGGCCGGCCTCGGTCGGCGGCCGCCTCCCGCCGCGGCACCGGCTCTGGCATCGCGGCGGCGCGGCTGGCACGCTGTCAGCGACTGTACGCCGCCCGCCCGGCCCGGCTCCCTGCTGTACGGCCGGCGGCGCCTCCATCGCGGAGAGCACGAGCGGCGCAGGCAAAACAACGCCCTCCAACAACATCGTGATGGGCGGACAATTAACCGGCCGGGTGCCTCGGCCGGCTCCGGTGGCCAGGTCGGCCGCCGGCTGCGTGGCCGACACCGACGCCGCCCGCACCCGGCCGGCCAGATGACAAAATGGCCGCGGATAGTCGGCGGTACCGAGCCCACATCCTGGAATTCCGGCATTGATTTACGAGCCATGCCGGTGGCCGCCGGCTGCGAGTTTCCACATCGGAGTAATAAAAAGAACCAGTTTGATATAAATTAGAATAAAAGTCAGACAAAAATATCGCTCTGCCGGCTAGCAGACCGGTTTCGGTCGAAGATGAGACCGCGGACGGGTTCGAGCACCGCGGGAGGACAAAGAGATCGTCCCCGGCGAGACATGATCTGGTGTAATGGGATACAACTGATGGTCACTGGTGCCTAAGTGGTCTCTGGGAACAGGCGAGCGACGGCACAGTTGTTGGAACTGCTTTGAATGGCATTATGATACCACATGAAGCGTACAACAATGCCAACTTTCAATACGCTTTTTCAAAGGGCTGCAAAAAGCATGTGGCAGAAAACATGCTGCTAACCGAAAGCTAGGTGGCTGGATTCTGGCTTCTGGTGCTGACTGGGAGTGGTTTCATATCATGAAAGAAGGAGAATATAAGCGGCTTTTGGCTTTACTTGCTCTCAGGGCTGCTCCTGGCTTTGACGTCAAGGAGTGACATGAGCTGAGGCAAATCTCGGCAATTTGGCTGACAGAGCACCCAGTGCACTGCCATTCACAGCGGCCCCGAAGTCTTCTAAGTCACGTGACCTGACCCCCCCCCCCCCCCCCCCCAGCGAATTGCCCCGTTCAGTCTGCCGCGACCAGAAGACCTTTCACCTCCCAGTAAGGATGTGGCTGGAAGTGCCCGTTTCGGACCTGGTCTACCAAACCTACGCTGGAGCCCAGGAGGCTACGCGCCTAATCCGAGACAAGACAAGGTCTACCAAACGGTCGCGGCTCGATGAGTTCCGGCCGACGGCGAAATCCAGGACCCCGCCTCGCCGCCGGCTGTGGCCAGCCCGCGACGGGCGCCGCGTGCTCGCCCTGCGCCCCGCACTCGTGCCGGTCGGCAGACAGACGAGCGGCGCCGGTGTGGCGGCCTGTGCGCGGCGGCCGGATTAAGTCCGGCGCGCGAGGTCCATGCCCTCGCCGCGCCGCCGCCGCCGCCGCCGCCGCCGCCGCTCGCCCGCCCGTCAGACACGACCCCAGATGTTACGGCATTCCCGCTGTGCTGCACCGCAGACGCAGACCGACGCTAAGTCAGCGCTGACGCGATCAAGGACGGTTCCGATGGAAGCGGACCTGCCGGTCGGTGATAGCCATACTTTGACTGCAAGCAATGCCGAGGCGTTCCTCTGTCTCGCTGCAGCTGTACTTCACCATTTTAATCTAGTTTTATACTTCACCTTTCTTGCGTTTCATGTAGCTCTGGTAATTGTTCTATCATATGCCCAAGACGCTGATCTATCTTCAGCTCGGCCGGATACCCGTTTGTGCCACCCATGCTCTGGTCAGGGGCTGTGTTCGATGGCCTCCAATCATACCCTGTACATTCTGACACTCCTCGGTCAGTGTTGAACCTCTGACACTCTCCGGCCAGCATGGTGCCTCGGACACTCTCCGGCCAGTACTGTGCCTCGGACACTCTCCGCCCAGTGCCGTACCTCTGACATTCTCCGGTCAGTGCCGTACCTCTGACACTCTCCGGTCAGTACTATACCTCGGACACTCTCCGGCCAGTACCGTACCTCGGACACTCTCCGGCCAGTGATGTACCTTTGATACTCTCGGGTCAGGTGCCATAATGTCCGTCCGTCTCCACTACGTTGCCACACCGCCCACATGTCTCCGCTCAGGAGCCGCACCGCTCTCCCGTCTCAGGTCAGATGCTCGCCGCCCTCCCGTCTCCGGTCAGGTGCTCACCGCCCTCCCGTCTCAGGTCAGGTGCTCACCGCCCACCCGTCTCAGGTCAGGTGCCACACCGCCCGTCTTGTCCTGGATGGCGATACACAACGCATCCAATTACGACACGCTGTTCGCTGCGCCGCGGGGCGATCCTGCGCGCCGATTTGCATACAAATTGGAGCCGTCTAGCGGTGCGGGCAGGCGCGCGACCTGGGATGGCCACGCGCCGTGTTTCCCGGCTCGGAGACTGGGCCGGCTGGCTGACAGGACAGGTCACCGCCCGGGGCCCGCACCGCGTCCGTGTCTCGTCTCGGCGGCCGTGGTGCCCGTCTGGCGTGGCCACGGGGCGTGTGCCAGTCATGTCGCCTTGCTGCCGGTGAGGATGGGGCTTATAGTGGAGAGGTGTCCTGCGGGCCAGTGGCTGTCCCTCTTCACCCCTTTACCCTTGATAGCGGGTACAGGGCCGAAGTCTTCCCGCTGAGCTGGGAAACGTTAGGTCTCATTGTTCCCGGCTCAGGGACGGGCTAATAAGAGCCAATTCCTGGCCAATTAACGCAAGGACACGCGATCCAACAGCGCCCAGAGGGTGACGGGCGCCTTGCTCTCCAGACAGAGTGCCGATGATGGCCGCCAGAAGGCTGGGAGAGGCGGCGTCTCCCAGCCGGGGGACAGACGGGGGCCGGTCGTCGGCGCGGTGGCCCGGTCACGCCCGCTGCCGGCCGCCTTTGCACGCGTTATCTGATCAGGCGGCGGCCGGCTGCGAGAGCAGGGACCTCGCCGGCGCCGCCTGGCCCATTGCACAGGACCATTAACTGACGCGCTGCTCTGAAAGACGAGGGGCCCGGCTTGCAGCGACGCCCGGGCGACCGGCGCGCTCGCGTCCAAAGGACGGTCGCGCGGGACGGCAGAGTTGAGATGTGGGCGGGCGGCGCTGAGGGGATGCCGTGCCCGGCGCCGCTGCTGGCCGGCTGAGAGGCGGGCACGCCAGCTGGGCTACCCAGCCCAGTCAGCTGGCAGCTGGGCTGCCCGGCAGCGCCAGTCAGCTGGCAGCTGGGCTGCCCGGCAACGCCAGTCAGCTGGCAGCTGGGCTGCCCGGCAGCGCCAGTCAGCTGGCAGCTGGGCTGTCCGGCAACGCCAGTCAGCTGGCAGCTGGGCTGCCCGGCAACGCCAGTCAGCTGGCAGCTGGGCTGCCCGGCAGCGCCAGTCAGCTGGCAGCTGGGCTGCCCGGCAACGCCAGTCAGCTGGCAGCTGGGCTGTCCGGCAGCGCCAGTCAGCTGGCAGCTGGGCTGCCCGGCAGCGCCAGTCAGCTGGCAGCCGCCACCACGCTCCTCGCGCGCCCGGCCTCGAGGCCCGGCATCCGGACCTCGAGAGAGTCGCCGACCCCGCGGGGCACGTCGGTCGGGACTGGGGTCCGACGGCGCCGCTGACCCGTCAGAGACGCCACCGCCGTCAGCTGGGACCCGCAGCAGCCGCCGGGACGTAAACAAATTCCTCGGAAGACTGCACGGCATTACACGCCGAGCCGCGTCAATCAAGCTGCGTGACGTCACGACCGGCGGCGACAATGGCCGGGGAGGCGCGGCGGTCGGGCCGGTGTTTTCCGCCTCCTGCCCAGAGTCGGCTGGCCGTCGGCCGGTCTTGAGTCACCACTGCTGCGGCGGCGCCTGGCGTCCGGCGCCGCTGAGCCGCGGACGGTACTGGCCGGGCCACCGCGGCACTGACCGGGCCCGCCACCTAATTTAACCGAACACGACGGCGGCGCGGCGGCGAGGTGGCGGACCGCACTCGGGGCCGGTCCCCGCAGATCCTGATGAGCCGATAGACCCGTGCAGCGAGCGGACGACCACTTTCCTGGAGCAGAACCCAGTGACCGGCTCGGCTGCAGCCGACCAAGCGCATGGGCCGCTGTATGAGCCGTCGGCTGCTCCGCTATCGCTTTGTTTTCGTCATCGATGATGCGACCAGTATTTGCGTAGGCATGCGGCCACTTCAGGCGGGCCTTGACGTCCGTTGGCGACGCTTCTGACCGCAGCTGGGTGACGTATAAACAGCTCCATGCATTCATATCGTCACCTGACATGCTCTACAAAGTCCTAGGTAGTTTAAGCTTGTGTCGTTTGTTACGTCTGCTGAGTTGGGACCCTCCATCCTGAGACATATTGCCGCACGTTGCAAGCCGCTATCTTACTGAACAGCTGGCTAACTGGTGCACCTGTAACGTACCGCCCGCGGCATGCCTGACCCCCGCCCCCTCTCCCTGCAGGTGCAGATCACGGTGGAGGACAAGAATGACTCGCCGCCGGTGTTCACGTCGCCGCGGCGCGAGGTGCCGGTGACGGAGGACCTGCCGCCCGGCAGCGAGGTGGTCCGCTTCACCGCCTCTGACGCCGACACCGTCGGCCAGCTGGTGTTCAGCCTCGTCGGCGGCGACGCTGACACGTTCAAGCTGCAGCCGGAGACGGGCGCGCTGATGCTGGTGCGCGCGCTGGACCGCGAGACGCGCGACGAGTACCGGCTGACGGTGCGCGCCAGCGACGGCGTGCAGGACACCGACCAGACGTTCGTGCTGCAGGTCAGTCTCCGCCACAGGACCGGCAAGCAGACGCTGATTCAGACCTCAGAAGCGTGGAAATCCAGTATTAATGGCCGACCGTGGGTGGGTGTCGATGCCGCATCGCGCAGGGATGGCGGCGGGGTTCTCCTTTCCGAGTAGGGCAGCGCTCCTGGGTGCGCCGGCGAGCTTCCTTCGGATGAATCCAAGTACAGCGTCGCATGACTGGCATGCCGCGATTGATGCGGATATCGGGGTAGAGCCGCAGCGCGTTTTCCCGACATACTCCATTGAGCATCAGCATCATATTTCAAATCACCGCACCGATCTGCACGAAGGCCGCTGGAGCCGTGTGACCGGCTCCGAGGGACGGGCAGAGTCGGGCCGCGGTGTCGTCGAGCCGACCCCGCTGTCCGCCCACCCGTCTCTTTCCGGCTCACACAGCTGATTAGAATCGAGGCCATTAACACCGCCGGCGCAGCGCGATCATCAGCGAAGGCAACGTTTAACACACGCCCCGGCACCTTTCACCTGTTACATCGTCCGTTAGCTTAACAAGTGACGGATGGGTAATCTTCTCCGTTTTGTCGCCGGGCGTTCTCTCGCCCAGGACGAGGCTATCGCAGATCGATGCCTTTCGGTTCTGGACTGGCATCCCGAACGGCACGCCACCCGCCCTGTGCGACAGAGCGTCGCCTGTTGTTGCTGAGACACTCCTATTTGTGCAGATGGCTGCGCTGTCTAAGTATGACAAGGACATACACCGCAGATAAGCATCGGCGACAGAGACAAATTGTCGACGGTCTCGGCTGCCGCCGAGGCCGGATTTTTCTGCCGTTTTTGCTGCCGGCGGCCGAGTGGGCCGCCTTTGCCGGTCGTCACTAAGGGCCCACCGATCATTACGTGTCGTTATTCGATCAGATGAGCGGGCGGTGTGCGAGCTCTCGGGTCGCGACCGAGCTCTCGGGTCGCGCCGGACCGCGGAGCCGCGTCCGGCCGGTGCCAGCCCGGCCTGGCACTGGGGAGCCAGTCTGCACTCCATTGTTTTGCCGTGGAATGCGTGGCTGGTGTTGGCCGGTCTGACCCGTCTGCATGAGCCCTCTGCAATGCAGTAAGGCGGGAGCTTTTCCTGTTAACATTAAGCTAAACTTCTCGGACATGTCCGAAATCATGATGAGCTTGTTTTTTCTCTCTAAAATACGTCCACACGCTACCAGTTTTGCCGCAACCTGTCGACGCGTGCCGGTCTGGCCTCTCGCTGCGTGCGCCAGAATAGTGCCCGCCCAGCCTGCGTGCCTGATCTGACTTGTCTCTCCCCCATGTCAGGTACAAGACACCAACGACAACGCGCCGCTCTTCACCGAGAAAGCGTACAGCTTCGACGTTCCGGAGGACGCCGCCAGGGGCGCACGCGTCGGTACGGTGACAGCGCTCGATTCTGACCTGGGCAAGAACGGCCGGGTCATCTATACGGTCATATCCGACTGGGACAACGACGTCTTCTCGCTGGACACGACCACCGGCGTGTTCACGCTCACATCGATGCTCGACTACGAACAGGTGGGTGCGCCGCCGGTGCCGGCGTGGCCCCCTGTCCCTCGGGGTGGCCGTGCTCCACCCATGTCGACGCGGCCCCCGGCCCGCTGAGACTGTCTTTCGCCCCGGGAGCGTTACCGAACAATTGCGAAGTCCGGCTCGTTTTTTATAGTGCACAAATCTATTCCCGTTGTCTTGCAACTGGCTCGTGCTAAGGAGAATGAGGGGTTGGCGTGATTCAGTTGCTGTCATTCTCGTAAGGGAAAACGGATATCGGATCGGTGAGTAAGAAGAGACCGATTTCCAGGTGCGTGATGAAATAATCCCGCACCGGTGGTGAGTAATCATGGTACACCTAAATCTCGCGATATGTCTGCACTGTCCTGAACAGCACTCAGGTCTGCCGTCAGACCGGCCCTCAGGCTGATTCTAACTCGAACTCGTCAGACCATCAGTCTGACTCGGGTCTACTATCAGACTGGCCATCAGTCTGATTCTGACTCCAAATCGTCAGATTATCAGCCTGGCTCGGGTCTCCTATCAGACTGGCCATCAGTCTGACTCGGATCTACCGCCAGACCACCCATCAGTCTGATTCTGGTTTACTGTCAGGCCGGCCATCAGCCTGATTCTGACTCTAAATCGTCAGATTATCAGTCTGACTCGGACCTACTATCAGATTGGCCACTATTCTGACTCTGACTCGATCTCGTCAGACATCGGTTTGACTCGGGTCTGCCGTCGCGGGGCGCTCCAGCTGCCGCGCCAGCCCGGCCCTGTTTGCTCCGGCGGCGCTGGCGACGGGCAAAAAGGCCTGTCTGTCGGGGGCCAGGTGAACAAACACGACGCTTTCCTGTTACCGGCCGGCCACCGGACGCGCGGAGCGGCCGCTGACCGCTGCGACAGCGCCGGGAGTGGCGTGCGGCCCTGACCGTTGCGACAGCGCCGGGAGTGGCTGCAGCGCTGACTGCTGCGACAGCGCCGGGAGTGGCTGCGGTGCTGACCGTTGCGGCAGCCCTTGGGGTGGCTGCAGCGCTGACCGCTGCGACAACCCTGGGAGTGGCTGCGGCGCTGACTGCTGCGACAGCCCTGGGAGTGGCTGCAGCGCTGACTGCTGCGACAGCGCCGGGAGTGACTGCGGCGCTGACTGCTGCGACAGCGCCGGGAGTGACTGCGGCGCTGACTGCTGCGATAACCCTGGGAATGGCTGCGGCGCTGACTGCTGCGACAGCGCCGGGAGTGACTGCGGCGCTGACTGCTGCGATAACCCTGGGAGTGGCTGCGGCGCTGACTGCTGCGATAACCCTGGGAGTGGCTGCGGCGCTGACTGCTGCGACAGCGCCGGGAGTGGCGGACGGCTGTCACGGTTGAACCCGTCAGCCAGATCCGGCTCCACCGCCGGGTCCCGTTCTCCTCACTGAAGACCTCACTGGGGGTGCAGCTTCGCAAAGAAAGTTGGGCAGTGGCTGAGCAGGGATACCTAAATTTATCCCTCAAATACGCAAAAAGCGACGACCTACCCACATCTGACTCACTGCCGTAACAAAGTTTGGGGAGACGAGCCCCAACTGAAGAGGAAACTATGCGCCTTGCGGTCACTTGGGGTGTCGGTGAACCAGTGGTTTGGGCCAGGGTCTTGGTAAGGGCGGAGGCCGAAGGGGGAGGTGACACAGGGCTAACGAAGGGCCCATGCCAGTAAATAGCTCCCCCGGAAAAGGTTATGTAATGATAAGCCGGATTTCGCCCACTTTATCTCGAGGGACTCAGTTATCTTTATTCCCTTTTTCAATTGCAACAGACGTCGGAAGTCATTGGAAGACGCAGTTGTATTTGTATTGAGACGTCCAGGAATTGACGGAACTGACTATCAAATGACGGCATCGAATAAGATTTGGACGCCATTCATTTCCCAATAGATCATTCGTCCCTCTCTAAACTGATAACAGCAAAGTTCATGTTATATTACAAGTAACCCAGCATACATTTCCGCAGGTTCTTAGAGCAAAAGCTATGATACTCCAGTCCCAATAAGTCGCGCAGATTCGGCTCCTCAGCCAGTGCCAGACGGGTGCCAGTGGGCTGGCGAGATCGACTGTATATCGGGGGAAATATCCTGTCATGCTTTTTACAATCCGTTCGTATACGTTTAAAGTAGTAGGGACGATACATTGAGATTTCACAACTTTTCGGAATGGTGTTCTGAACGCATGAACATTGAGACCACCATAATGTAAAACCTCTGTGGTTTGTGGGATGCCTGCGGTTATCTGTGGCCACACTCAAGATTTCACAGATGATTTATATGTGCCAGTTTATCAGTCGTCCCTTTTGAATGACTCAAACTAGTTTTGGAAGGATTTTGTAAGCATCATTTTACGTCACATTGCCCTCCTCACGCACTTGCTACCCACCGCCTGGTGTCAGCCGTGGTACCAACCGTCCTCGGTTTAAATGAGACTGGAACTCCGGGCACGATGTTTTTGCTGCTTAAGATTGTGAGCTTGCGTGTTCAAAACTATTTGGCGTAATTTGTTCCAATTGTCGATCTGGAAAAAAGGACGGGTGTCCTCAGGCAAGCATGCGCTGGCCATGTCAATACAAATTTTTGCCCCGTTTCTACCCACCACAGTAAACGCTAAGGAGGCCACACTTACCTTACGTGGACAATGGTGGGCAGAATACGGGGGGGGGGGGCATATTGTCGTTCCCAGTAATGGAAGAAGCGCCGAAGAGTTGCAAAAGGCAGGCTCCCTACCGGTTGTCATTCTGGCGACACGGGGGCCAAGGTCCCCTGGTCGATCCGGGGTTCCTCAGAGGGAATACGCCATACATCAGTTACCTAGTGACCAGGGATGCCTCTGGATCTGAGCAGTTGGGCCCCGATCGCTGCAGGGGCCTTTACGGACGCAAAAGGATCTCTAACCTGCGCAGGGGGCTTAATGATTCGCAGAGGGGACCCGGTTGGGGTTATCAGGCCCCTGGCTGAAGAGGGGCGGAGGACCCCTCGTTCGTTGACGCGCGCCTTCTATTATTTGATTATGGACACTTGCATCGCCTTTTAGCGCACCTCTCTTCATTGTCAGAGAGCCCGAAAAAATGCAACAGGCCCTCGGACATTCGGGGTACCGTGCTTGCCTCTGTTTAGCAACTGGGCCCCCGGCCGACTCGGATCCCTTGTCGACACGGTACCCCGTGTTATGCACTGTGAGCTCTTTGTCCGATACATGGGGCCCATTATTGTCTCAGAAGCCCCGGCCAATGTAAAAGGCCCTCTGACTGACATTTGCGGCCCAGGTGGTATCCCTGCTGGGGAAATAGCCCCTGGCCGCTCTGACCGGGGCAGTTAGCCTCGGAATGACACAGGGCCCTCACTGACGCAAAAGTATCCCTTATTAGCTTGGAGTGTTCAATAATCAGCAGTGTTCAATAACCCCCTGTTTTGACTCTTTGATATTGGTGCTGCCTGATCGACACGCAGACCCTCGTTGACTAAGGGGCCCCGATCGGCGCAATAAGCCATCTGACTAACCGTTTAGGGCCCTGCCCTGCGCGCCGAAGTCCTTTGAAACGATCTCTAGCCGGCCTTTCCGGCCACCCAGACGCTGTAATCGGGCCCGTTAACATCGACCACGAGAGGCCCAAACGGCCCCTCTGGACACAAAGGGGGTGTGGCCCCTGTTTACCCTGCCTGCACCATGTATTGAACCACGCGGATGATAGGCTTTCCGTGTTCTCCTGACGCGCGATACTCGAAATGTGCCGGTCTCGCTTGGAATTAAAAGCGCTTCTGTCCTCTCATGAGGCGCAGTGCCCCTGGATGGCAGGTGACAGTGGAGCTGCTCGTGAGCCCCACGGTCGTGAGTCGGATCATATATCTGATCAGCTCCCCGGATACTCACGTCCGGGATCACACTCTCCACGGCGTCAACTGCGTGGGCTCGTAAGTCACAATCAATGAGTCGCAGATCGTGATCCATTAATCGCATCTCGTGAGTCAGGATTATCTATCTTTGAGCCATTATTCATGAGTGCATTCCGGGAGTCCTTATTTATGCCTCCTGATCCATGATTCGTAAGCTTTGATCCACGTCTCATTACCTGTGAGACACTGTTCATGACCAGTGACCCGAGAGTCATATTCGCGGCTCGTGATCCATGAGTCATCATTTATGACCCTTGATCTGTGTGTCATAATTCATGACTCGTGATCCGGGAGTCATTATTTGCGACTCGTGACATGTGAGTCATTTTTCGTGACTCGCGATCCCTGAGTCATTGCTCGTGACTCGTGATCCCTAAGTGGTGACTTGTGAGCAGCCTAGGCCAGGTCGGCGCCGCCGGTCGGGCCAGCGCGCGCTTACGCGCCGTCTCCCCCGGGGCGCTCGTCCGACACATCATGGGCGCCGTTTTTGCCGCCGCCGCCCTCCATCATAAATCTGAGCCGGCCAGCTTTTTGCCGCGTCCCGCCCGGCCGCTGTTGCGGGCTCTAAACGAATCCTGGGACGTGCACCGCCGCCGCCGCCGCCGCCGGGGCACGGTCCCAGGAACATGACCAGCCGATACCGCGCGTCTCGTTGACGGCCGCTATCACGATCCGTGCGGTTAGATGCAAATGTCGCCCCGGACATTTTTGCATATCTCGAAAATGGGGGGGGGGCTAATAGTGCTGGCAGGCACGTGGTATCACTTTGTTCGCCTGCAACTGTTAACAGTATTGCTATGCAAATTGCCGACCCCAATGGTTTGTCATGCAAATGTGGACTGTCTTGATTGCAGCTTTAACAAATAATGTGTTCTATCCGAGTGTGCCCGTCTGGCGGGCTCACATGAATCATGCACACTCTCTCCCGGCGCGCTCGGTGCCGCTAATTGCGGCGCGCGTCGTCCAAATTATCGCGTCAGGCCGGGCCTTTGTGCGGCACCGGCCGGCCGGGCCGGGCCGGCGGCCTTGTGCCCGGCCGTCGCGCCGCCGGCCGGCCGGCCGCATTAGGCGGGCAGTAATTTTTGATGGCAGCCGGCGCGGCAGGGAGCCGCTCGCTGTCGGCCGCCCCGGACCGAGCGGTCCGCTCGGCGGCGGCCGCCCCGGACCGAGTGGTCCGCTCGGCGACGACCGCCCGGACCGAGTGGTCCGCTCAGCGGCGGCCGCCCCGGACCGAGTGGTCCGCTCGGCGGCGACCGCCCCGGACCGAGTGGTCCGCTCGGTGGCGACCGTCCCGGACCGAGTGGTCCGCTCGGCGACGACCGCCCCGGACCGAGCGGTCCGCTCGGCGGCGACCGCCCCGGACCGAGTGGTCCGCTCGGCGGCGGTCGTCCCGCCCTGGACAGAACGGTCCGCTCGGCGGCGACCGCCCTGGACCTAGTGGTCCGCTCGGCGGCGACCGCCCCGGACCGAGTGGTCCGCTCGGCGGCGGTCGCCCTGGACCGAATGGTCCGCTCGGCGGCGATCGTCTCGGACCGAGCGGTCGCTCGGCGGCGACCGCCCCGGACCGAGTGGCCCGCTCGGCGGCGGCCGCTGCATCCGTGACCTGCCGTAAATCAACGAGTCCAGCTTCCCGCCGGCGCCGCCAGACGGCAGCAGTGCGCATCCGCCGGAGCCGCCCAACGCCGGCAGGAAGCCCCGAATATCCGGGGAAACCGCGCCGTCAGCCGTGCCACCAAATTTACTGATCCAGAGAAAGTTTATTAGATCAACTCTGGCCTGCCGCTGCACATGTCAGTCACCGGCGCCGCTGCGGCCATTTTGGTGGGTGTGGGCGTGCGAAGGGCTGCTGGTGTCGGCCGGGACCGGCGGCATCGCGTCACGCTCAAGGAGGAGAGAGACAGAGATTGTTTACGCTTCCGAGCGGCCTGTGGGCCTTCAGAGCGCAGGAGCCATAAACTCCAAGTCACCACATGAGGTTAAGTAAACAACCGGGCGTCGCTGGTAGCATATTGATTTACGAGACATTTGCTCACGTAAACAAAAACTCCCTCCCCGCGTCCGGAATAGTTCTCGAATAAACGTAAATTCTGTCGACGTCGCACAAAAAGTGCACGCAGTGCGTGGTCCATCCTACATGGAGCGCGGTCATAACGGCCTGCTGGTCGGCTGGCATCTCCAGTTCGTCGTCCCTGAACGGAGCGGACAAAGTGCATATTGATTTACCAGGAGTCCATCAGCACTGGGAGCGAGAGAACGGGACAGACTACCGGGGGAGGAGAGAGTGCGGGAGCGCCTGTCGTCGGCATGGCAGGGTTAGCTCGGCCCGTGTGACTCGGTGGCCTGACCTCGTGTCTTTGCGTCACGTCTGGGGTGCCCTTTACGAGAGGGCCGCTGTCGGCGTGGAGGCGTGGGCTGACTGGGACGAGGTTTCCTTTGCCCGTCGAGCCATCGGTCCGCGTCTGCTGTGGAACAAAGCCGCCGCAGAAATCCATGGCCTAGGCCCCCTATGTGCCCTCGGGTGTCAACGAATTGCCAAACATATCAGACGCCGCATCATTCTGGCGATGCGACATAGAACCTCGCCCTCCGGCTCCATCGAATGCGCTCCAAATCGCGGCGTTATTCCGCGCACGTCACACGCGTCCCGGTCCGTACCAACTGAACCCTGGCTGACTCTCGCCGCGCCGGGGCCGGACGCGCCCGACCCGAGCAGCGACCTCGCCGCCACCCGACAGCGGCCTGGAGCGCCGGCTGCCGCGCCGCCTGTCAAACGGTGACGAACGCGCCGACCGCCTGCCGGGCTGGTTCCGAGACACTCGGCCGAATGCCGGCCCGAATCAGATGAGATGGGGCGGCCGATAGTGAGCGGCACAGGGGCTGACCGGGTCCGGGGCAGCGGGGCGGGGACTGGCACGGGGGCCTGGGACTGGCCAGAGCTCTGAACAGAGGAACGGGCGGTGGACTGCAGCCCGGTGGAGTGGAGGAACTGGCCACTGGCCAGATCCCGAGACCGGGGACAAAGACGGACCTGACCGGGAAAGGAGCAGACTAGACCTGGAACTACCTGATCAGGCCTGGTGCAGAGGTCAGGGACAGAGGGAAAGGGACAGGGACAGCGACATGGGGATAGCGATTAATGACAACCTGGGGCGGAGAAGGGGGACTGACCGGAGCCCGGGAGGACGGGCGGGGACAGACGACAGGGCGGCCGGCTGGGGACAGACGACAGGGCGGCCGGCTAGGGACAGACGTCAGGAAGGCCGGCCAGGGACAGACGACAGGGCGACCGGCTAGGGACAGACGACAGGGCGGCCGGCTAGGGACAGACGACAGGGCGGCCGGCCAGGGACAGACGACAGGGCGGCCGGCTAGGGACAGACGACAGGAAGGCCGGCCAGGGACAGACGACAGGGCGGCCGTCCACGGGCAGAGGAAAGCGGCAAGCCGCTGACCAAAAGTCGAGGCGTAGGAAAAGAAACTGACCAGAGTCCTTGATGGGGACACACAGACTGGCATAAAAACAGCTGACCAAGGATCAGTCACGCTCGTTGGAAAGCAGCATAGGATGCTACAAGGCATGGTCACTGAAATATTTCCAACGCGCGATGCGTCGAAACTTTATACAGCTATGAGTTCAGATGAGTAAGACTGGTCGAAGAAGACGTGGACGTCTACGCCTACGTGACCTGGCTGATAACATCAGTAACGTTAAAGAGATGGAAAGTTTTGCTTTCACCGGCATTCGGACGTGAAACAGGAAAGTTTCAGCCAGTCCGTTGTTCGATATTGCTGCAGTGTTTTACACCGCCGCTGGAAAATGCATTCGGCCAACTAACTGACTCAGTGGATAAACACGAATGGTGTCATTTGTAACCTCGCATATCTGCTTATCAGTCCGCCAGATAAAGCGCCATGTTTCGAATCCGGTTCAATCCGCGGTAATAAAAGAAGCGGCGGTCACTTGCCACCGGCACTCCGGTCCTGTCACAAAAAGCGCCGCGGACATGACGTCGATCCGAGCTATGCTGGCTTCTGCAGCGCCGTACTGGCCGTTAATTAAGGACCGCGCCGGCGCTGATTGGCCAGATCTGATCGTTCGTGCCGCGGCGGTCGGCTATCTCGCCGCCAGCTGACGGCGGGTGGCCTCAGCGGCTCCCGTGTCGGCCGGGATTTGGTGTTGACCGGCGGGGCAGGGCGGTGGGAGCCGCTCATGGTCCCATCAGGACGGAGCCGACTGTGACCTGCGAGGAGGGGGCTCGACTGTGACCCCGCGAGGAGGACGAAGGCCGCTCGAGTGTCTGCCGGGCTGAGTTCACTTCACAAGGCCGAGGCCCAGTTATGTTCTAGCGAATGCAAAGCCGCCCGTGTCCCTGCATGGCCGGGGACAAACCGGTCTGGATGTGCGATTACTCACCCGACTTGCAGCTCTGGCTCGCGTCTGGAAGTCCGCAACAGCTATCACTCAGTCTGGATGCAGAGACAGTTATCTCACGGCAAAGCCTGTGAGCCTGGACCCTGCACGGCCACGCAGCCGGCGAGTTTCGGCAGAGTTCTCGTCCATTTATTTGACTCGCGGTCTGAAGCCATCCCGAACCCGCTCTCTGTGTTCCGGCTTTGACCCGCGCCGTAGATCTGCGCACAGTCACCGTTTCCAACGGGCCGGACAATGAGCGAGCGGTGCCTGCGACGCCGGCCGGGGAGCGGGTCCGCTGGCCGCCGCGGCCGTCCGGTCAGCCGGAGCTGAAAGAGAGCCGATCGGCCCGGCGCGTCACGCATTCCAGCGCATCTCTGGAGGCTAGGGCGGCCGACCCACTTCCGAGACAATATCGACGCTGACCGGCGATGGTCGGCGCGCAGGCCGCTTCCGTCCAAGGCCCGGCGGAGGAATGCTCGAGCTGTTCGAAACTGACATCCTCAGCCCGTCCCCGGTTGGCAGGCTGCGCAGCGTGCACAAACAAGGAGAAACACGGAGCAGGAGCGTGGCAGCCTAGCTACGATGCGCTGGTCGCCACCGGGATAACGCAGGCGGCGCCGTCAAGCCTGATCTTGCTTAGCGCTCCTACAATTCCTGCAGATTTCACAGGCGGCTTGCCGGCAGCCTCGGTCCACCAAACAGACCAGAATGGCGTAGATGCCGACGGGAATGCCAGAGGGCACGGCCATTGTATTCCTACCGGCCTGCGGCCGGTCGAGAATTAGCTTTCGCTCCTTGTAACGACCGCCATTTAAAGACCAATAAGTACCCTACGCTCATTTACCGGATTATGCGGCAGTTAGAGAAGCAAAAAGGAAGTTATACGTGCGCCGGAATGCAAATTGAATGGAGCATATGTCATTGGTCGACACTTGTGTGGTCATAGTGCATCACGCCCCACGAATATGCCCGCCCGTGTGCCGCTGTTGTACCGAGCCAGTAGCAAGACGATAGTAAACCCAGTAAAGAATGTGTTCGGGACGTTTCAAATATGGTTCAATTCTGACAAGCAAGCGTTGAAAGACCTGTCGTGATTGACCCATCGTTGTCTTCGGCACGCCTGCCGACCCTCTTCCCCCCCCCCCCCCCCCTCCCACTACGTCGCTGACGGGCTGGTTTGTCTGTGCGCCGCAGGTACAGCACTACATCTTCACAGTGCAGGCGCAGGACACGGGCCGGCCGGGCCTCTCTTCCACCGTCACCGTCTACATCAACGTGCTCGATCTCAACGACAACGAGCCACTGTTCGACCCGCAGTCGTACCACGACCGCGTGAGCGAGGCGGTGCGGCCGGGCACGGCCGTGCTACGCGTCAGCGCCACGGACCAGGACTCGGGCGCGCGCGGCCGGCTCAAGTACCGCATCGTCGGCGGCGACCCAGACGGACAGTTCCGCATCTCGGAGAACGGCACCGTGTTCACGGCGCTGCCGCTCGACCGCGAAGAGCGCGCAGCCTACCAGCTGCTGGTGCTGGCCGAGGACTCGGCCGAGCCGCGCGAGCAGCGGCGCTCGTCGTCAGCGCAGGTGAGTCACGTTCCACGCCGGTGTGTGGACCCCTGACTCGCTACTGTGTCGACCTCTGACACGCCTCCGTGCAGACGGTCGTGTCGTGCTCGCAGGCTTCTATGCCAGCGGACCTCCCACGCAGCCCCTTAAGCATCAACGCAGTCAGAGCTCCCTCGCCGCATTTACGCCTTGTTTAAAACATGTGGAAACACTGCCATGCCAGCCGGTCTCTCAGCAAGGGGCGCCCTGGCCGCCACCTGCGGACCACCACGGCGAGGTCGGCCTCCCGCAGCGCCAGCCCGGCCGCTGCCGGCGCCGGCCGCCATCAGAGGCGGCCGCCGCCGGGGTCGGGGTCGTCCGGCATCGTCCCACACTGTGTCACTGTAACTCAGCGCGGCGCGGCGCCGCGGAGGCGGCCGGCGCGTCCGGTCCGGCCGCGCCGCTGCCTGCGAACCGAGCACCCCCGTGGGGCAGGGGCTCCACCGCGGCACGCCCGTCGCCGTGTCCGCTCAGTATGCATGACGTGGTGGCGCTGGGGGAGGGGGGGGGGGGGGCGAAGGGACGGACGATACAGGATCTTGATCGGTCGCGTTGGTCGTGATTGCAGCGCTCAAGTTTGTCAGACGATGCCACAGCACCCGGCAACCGAGCGCTTGCATCACCTGCGATACTCGTCAGCAGTAAAGGTCTAGCCCATCTCAGACGGCATCAAACGCCCCTCGATCTCAGCCGATAGTGTGGCGTGCTCAATCTCAGCCGGCAGTAAAATCCCAGCCGATTTCAGCCACCTATAAAATCAGCCTGATTTCAACGACCACTTATAACGACTGATCTCACCCAGCACTTAGCATGGCCGATACGGGCAGGCAGCTGGGGCGCTACCCACAAAGGCAGCGGGCGCCAATGTCAGCGGGGTCAGCGTGTACCGACCTCAACGGGTCAGTGGTTGCTGATCTCAGCGGGTCAGCGGGAGCCGATCTCGCGCCGGTCAGCGGGCGCCGATCTCAGCGGGTCAGTGGGTGCTGATCTCAGCGAGTCAGCGGGAGCCGATCTCAGCGGGTCAGCGGGCACCGATCTCAGCGGGTCAGCAAGAGCCGACCTCGGCGATCACCGATAATCTCCGTCGCGATGCTGCATAATGCACGCTGACCGGGTGACGGCATCGAGCCGGCCTGGCCGGTCGCCGCTCAATTCCAGTGGCAGTGCGGCCATCAAGCCGAGCGTGCGGAACACGACGCCGCCGTGTCGCTACGGCGATAGCGATTTATAGCCGGCTGCGTCGGACGTCACCGCCAGATCAGCGGTCTGGCCACACAACTGAGCATTACATGCGCCAGGCGACATGCGGCGGCCTGCTGCAGCATCATCTGTCACCGCCTCGTGTTCAACGCCGCAAAATGCACCCGGCTGTAGGTCAGCAGCGCGTTTAGCATCATAGGCCAGCAGAGCGTTTAGCATCAGCCGTTGGCGGTGTTCCACACCGCGACCTTCTGCTCTCTGGAGCGTCCTGTGACTGGCGCTGCAGTGTCCCACTCGGCGCGCTTGACTGACTGACCGCCTCCCGCGCCGCCCGCAGGTCAGCATCGTGGTGGAGGACGTCAACGACGTGGTGCCACAGTTCGTCTCGCCCAACGAGACCTCCGTGGCCGAGAACGTGCCGGTCAACACGGTGGTGATGGCCGTCAAGGCGGTCGACACGGACGAGGGCCGCAACAGCTACGTGGAGTACGCGCTGACGGAGCCGGCCGGCGGCCCGTTCGTCCTGGGCGCCATCGACGGCCTGCTGCGCGTGGCCGGTCCGCTGGACCGCGAGCTGCGCGCCAACTACAGCCTGCTGGTGACGGCGCGTGACCGCGGTCAGCCGCCCAACGTCGCGCAGATGCGCCTGCTGCTGCACGTGGCCGACGAGAATGACAACGCGCCCATCTTTGCGCCCGACCAGTACAGCGCCAGCGTGCCTGAGAACACGACCATCGGCACCGTGGTGACGCGCTGCTCAGCCACCGACGCCGACGCCGGCCTCAACGGCCGCGTGCGCTACAGCATCATCGCCGGCGACCGCAACCGCGACTTCGTCATCGGCCAGGACACGGGCGTGGTGCGTGTGGCCAAGGAGCTCAACTTTGAGCGACGCAGCATGTACCTGCTGACAGTGCAGGCGGAAGACTCAACCGGCGACGGTGTGCGCTATGACACGGCGACCGCGACCGTCAGCGTCACCGACATCAACGACAACGCGCCCGTCTTCCGCGACGCGCCCTACCTCGTCTTCATCATGGAGAACGTGGACACGCTGCCGGCACCGCTGACGACGGTGGTGGCGCACGACGCCGACGCGGCGCCCTTCAACGCCATCAAATACAGCATCAAGGAGGACAAGGGCGACATCTTCCAGATCGACCCCATGACCGGCGAGATCACCGTGCACCGGGCGCTGGACCGCGAAGCCGCCGCCGAGTACCGGCTGGTGGTGGCGGCGACTGACAGCGGTGAGTACCTTTCCTCGAAGCCCCTCCCCCTCACCCCTCTCGTCCCCGTCGCTGTCCCGCGCCCTGCAGCGCTGTCACCCGAGCCGCACGCTCGTCCGCCCCCGCGGTATGCGCCGTTGAAAAAAGACAAAGCGTCCTTTGTAAGTTTGCGCATGTCACACGGGGACACTGTGTGTTCGACACGGCAGCATGGGGCTTTGAAATGTTCGCACGAATCACGCCGCCGTGCTGCCAGCAACCGCTGTGAGCACGACAAAAACGGACATTTTCACACGGTGTTTATATCCCGCTGACGTTTGTTCGTGAGGAAGTCGGCCGATAAAGTGAGGCGACGCTCCCGGTTGTTTCCCCGTCGGCGAGCAGCCCCGTTTTTCTTTCCCTGATAGTAAGCGGTGTCCGGTTCCAATCTCGCAGACATGGACAACCAAGGCCGGCCAAGGTCTTACATATTCTCGCGATCTGTGATCTGGAAGCTTTGTTGGGATGGCCGCCTGCAAGACTTATTTTAGGATCACCATGTGTCAAGTCCGCCGGAACCCGGCTTTCCTGTGAGGACAGACGTACATCCGGAGCTCTATGTCGCCACTGAGTAGTGTTTGAAGGGATCGGGTCTTCTAAGGACTTTTTCAAATGTTAAGTATATTAAACGGACGCAAGATCTTATTTACGCAGGCGGCTTTTCAATACCAGAGAACCAAGAACAACTGAGATGTTAATGCCTTTGACCTCTGTCTTATGTCGTGATGCTGCAGACTAAATACTGGTAATACGAAAATACAATATTCACAGCCACGCACATGCCTGCCATTAGACTCATCCTTGGTGAAAATTTGACAATAGTAATGTAGTGCAAAAGAAAAACGCCAAATAACACAGTACGGCATAAATTAGCTGTATACTGATCCGACGACAAAAGACAATCTTGTGTGAGCCGATTCCCTGAAGTTGAAGCGCTCACAGCGCTGTACAACACCCCAATTAGTGTGCCGGCATTTGCGCCGCGCACAAAGACATCGTGCCTGTATGAAGAGGCGCGTCACCCGAGACACATACCAGGCTCGTTATACGGAGCTCGTGGGCCATTGGCGGACCGGACGCCTGGCAGCGTTCTGACGGCTCAGACACGGAACGAGCAGGGCTGCTCCGGACACCAGTGTCACGCCTGGCATGCGCACCCTTCTCTCCGCTGTTCATAGCTGGCCACTGGACCGAGCCGAGGTTTTTGCTACGCTTATGCAGGACATCTGAATACATATCAACAAACAACACTAAAAACCGGCGGCGATCCGCTGCCGGGCAAAAAGTGGCGGCGGGCCGGCCGGGCAGCGCCGGACGCGGCGCGGTCGTCCCGTCCCTCCAGCGCGCGCGCGGCGTCCTCGGGTCGGCGCAGTGGCACCGGCGTCCGCGTGGCCACCCGGACGCAGGTCCACCTCGGGTTGTGCTCCAGGGCCGTCCGGTCAGGGGCCGCGCCCAGCCCGGGACGCGGCTCCGGAGACGAGCGCAGCCGGCCACCGCCAGACCGTTGGTCTCGGACATCCAGAGGCTTGTTAGCGTGCGCCGGCGCAGCACAAAACGGCCGGCATTTCCGTTCAATTAATCGGCGCCGCGCCGCATTGTTTTTTCGGCGCGCGCCGACGTCCATTGTTCGGCGTGCCGAGAAGCGGCCGGGTGGCGCTGACGGAGGGGAGGGGGAGGGGGGATGCCCAGCTCCAACGGCACCGGAGCGCTGCTGCTTCTGAAGACCGCGCCCAAGACGGGTGGTTAGGTGTCGTCTTCACAGCACATGACCTTTCTTGATGGTATTATGACGTGTAATGTCAGGGACCCACACATGTAAGACAATGCTTCTGACTCACCAGTCAAAAGCCAGCAGACAGTTCATGGGTTTTTACATCACACACGCCATACAGAATGGCGTGTGCAAAGCGGGAAATCCGTTGAAAAATCTGTTCCAAGTATTATATATAGCTCGGGTTTGAATAAACTGATTTGTAGAATGCACGCAATTTGTAATAAACACCCGTTCGAATAGAGGGCTAACTTGACCGCTTAAGGGTTTTGTTCTAAAAATCTTCCAAACGGTACGGCATAACGAAGCCCAATTTTTTCATGGCCGTTAGCGATGAAATAGTCAACTTTTAGCGTAAGACATTATATATACCACATAAGGCTGCTGACCTGTCTAGCATGTCAGATGGTCAGTGAATGCTACCATCAGGTCATAGTGGTCATCGAAGGCAATCACTGAGGAATCGTTCAAGTTGATGGAACAACAGAGTGTTTGACGAAGTCCTGCGAATTTTAGATGGTCTCTCAGACAATAAGACATCTAGCATTATTGCTCAGACAGATCAAAGGAAAGAGCAAGGAGCTTTTTACTGAAAAACGTGTTTGAAGGCTTAAATTTTTATGCCCATTTCAAACTTCTTCATCACAACGACGTCAACATATTTTTCGCCTCATGCAGGTCACGAGAGTTCAATGACCTACATACCCTTCACCAACCTTTGGCTTTGAAGAATATACCGTTTAGGACAGCTATTTACGCTGGTATGGAATTCAAATGTGAAAATTATATTTAAGCTGTTTGGTCATTTTGGCCTTCTGTAGATCAAATGATGTCACTCGCTTATTATCAACATGAGTGAACTTTTCCTTAGAAAAGGCGTTTTAGGTTCAGCCTTGTCCCGCGTGTAGGTTTAAGGGCACTTCGGAAACTGATCGCGAGTTTGTCCCTGTTTGACCTCACTTCACTCCAGTCACGTCCATGGGCCCAAATATTTTACATGATGCGTTTTGATAGCGTCGCACCTGTTCTGTGAATTTGGTAGTTGTGGCTCCCCGGGCTTTTCATATCTCAGAACGGTCGAATGGACCCCATCCCCATCCGAGCGCGCCGCATTCAGCTGGCTACCTGAGCGAGTGTTAACCCTCACCCCAATTCATTGTTTTTCGTAACACGGACTGCTCAGGGGGATGATTTGGCCCCTGCCGTTTCCAAACTAATGGAGATGAAGTTTATCGGAAAAAAGCACGTAGGTTAGTCTTGACGAGATCTCGCGATTAGCAAAAGTTTTGTATGTTGTTAGATCAATAACTAACCCCATTATAGCAGCTTGAAGGAATAATTTTCCGGAAAATCCCACTGTTTCAGCTTTACATCATCATATCTTCGATAACATGCATTGTGTCGGCATGACGGTTAAACAGACATCATTCTTGTTCGGCTCTCAGTGCTTTTGCGTATATTTGTATGCACATTAAGCATAAGTTTATGATATATGACTCCATTAATGCAACAATGTGAGCCTGCCGCGCGTGTTCCGCACCATCGCCTGATGCCGTCCGTCGCCCGCGCCGGCCGTGGTTCAGCGTTTGGTGTTCCACAAAAACCGCCGCTACGTCGAAACCAGAAAAGCTGGGAGCACGTTTTTGGTGTCTAAACACGCACAACAGATGCCTTATAGGCTACTGAAAATATGGGCGCAATTGCACAGCATGCTGGGGAGGTATCCTCAAAAACCTTCGGAGTGCTGCATCAACCCCTCCCCTATCAGGGCGAGGGTCAAGATGGTACTGAAAAGTCTGCAACACATCTAGCCCTTGATCTAATCTGACGTTTTCAGGCAGTTGTCAATCTACTGCTGTTGGGATAGGCATGCGAGGTTGAACAATCACAGTGTTCACAACGTCCGAAAGCAGAATGTCTCTCAGCGATTCCTTAGGGGCGGGCCCACATCCTGGTCTCGTTTCTGACATTTGGCTGATCTATGAGCTAATAAGCACTATTTAAGGTGTGCTCGTTTCCGTGACCGACTTGCTGCCTCGGCCATATCCCAGACGACGATACTGGACCAGGTCACGAGAGTACAGACACAAAGTGTGGTGCACTCATTCGAGATGCACCACGGGCGCTTCTCAATTATTTGCTTCTTACCATAAACAACTGCCATCACTGGTAATTGAAAAAGGCCGACGAAATGATACAATCATTTCATAATGAATGCCATTATCATAATGGCATTCAGGATGAGGTCTAACATTTAGGCGACTTGTACAAATGCTACCAAGCAAGCACAAATAAGGGATGCATGATTCCCGCAAGCCGAACAACACCACGGTGTGAAAGCCTCCATTTGACGTCATAACGATATTGAAGGTTGTGGTTTATGGACAATGTGTGCCAAATAGCAGCCGAATTACACCTTTATGCAAAAGACAACAGAAACTGCTGCTGGCAACGTAACCTGACCGGGTGCGAACCAGAACACCGGCACCTTTTCCCCGTTATACGGCACCGGCTTTCGGAACAACTCATGCAAGCGCACACGTGTTGGATTCAAACACATTGTAACGTACATTTTCAGTATTCCAACCCTCGAAGCGGTGTCGTTGAACAGTAACTTGATGAAACTGTAGCTTGATCTGTTCTTATCACGTTAAGTTCCAAATTTCGTTGTCTGGCTTGACAATCGTGCCTAGTAACCAACTCACTGGGGCAAACATGACGCGGTGTTTGAAGATATGGCCGGGGAGCCAAGAGCCCCTCGGGGCTTGGGTTGACGCGGATCTTGGTGGGGTCACCTCCATGCGGCTTGGCAGGCATCAGGGTGAATTTTGGTGAATTGGGGAGAGATTCTCAGCCGAGCTTTACGCTCCGTTTCAAAATGCGTGGGTGGCATGCTGGAGCTGCCGCGAGATGCTGCTGCGGAGAGATGTTGTTCTATCCCGCCGTTGCAGCCTCTGGGTATTGTCGTGTGCGCAGACGCAGTCTCTCAGCAATGACGCTTGCTTCTGGGTGCCGCTCCTGGGCGCCACTCCCAGGTGCTGCTCCTCTCCCGACTGTGTGCGTTCTAAACGGCACGCGCTCTTGGATCCAGCTCTCTGTATGAAGAAAATCTGGGTCATACACGTGTCTGGAGCCCATGAGTGGACATCATATTCCGCAGTCCGGCCATTTGTGCAAGGATCTGGATATAGGATTTGGGGATTTGTCCGTTGTGTTCAGGCACGTGTCCGCCTACGAAAAATCAGGATGCCAACGGAACTGAACAACGCAAGATTATCTTTGCTTACAGGCAAATTCCGTCCATGCAAATGCGTGCTTCTAGCGAAGATTTTCTTGAAATAGGTAGTCCGTGCCACCTTGTGCCACGACAGGCAGGCACCAAGGGCACCAAACTTGGTACCTTTTTCAAAGTACCCTCTGATCTAGTACCTTCTGGAGTACAGGCAGGCATCAAGCCTTCCGCTTAACTTGTTCCCCCAACCAGCTCAACCATCCAACCAACCATTCCCCCCACCCAGGTGAGCAAGTACTGACTCATCACCCTGGTCGACAGATGCCAAATAGCCTCCCAGCCTGCCATGGTCAGCAGGCGCTAGGCCTCTCTCTCTCTCTCTCTCTCTCTCCTCTCTCTCTCTCTCTCTCTCTCTCTCTCTCCTCTCTCTCTCTCTCTCTCTCTCTCTCTCTCTCCTCTCTCTCTCTTCTCCTCTCTCTCTCTCTCTCTCTCTCTCTCTCTCTCTCTCTCTCTCCTCTCCTCTCTCTCTCTCTCTCTCTCTCTCTCTCTCTCTCTCCTCTCTCTCTCTCTCTCTCTCTCTGTCCAAGATCACCCAGAAGCCAGTTCGGCCGGCCTGCCCAGGTCAGCACGTCCCCGCTCCCTACCCTGACGGCAGGCACCAGCTCCCCACCCTGACGGCAGGCACCAGCTCCCCACCCTGACGGCAGGCACCAGCTCCCCACCCTGACGGCAGGCACCAGCTCCCCACCCTGACGGCAGGCACCGGCTCCCTACCCTGACGGCAGGCACCAGCTCCCCACCCTGACGGCAGGCACCAGCTCCCCACCCTGACGGCAGGCACCAGCTCCCCACCCTGACGGCAGGCACCAGCTCCCCACCCTGACGGCAGGCACCAGCTCCCTACCCTGACGGCACGTCCCAGCTCCCCACCCTGACGGCAGGCACCAGCTCCCCACCCTGACGGCAGGCACCAGTTCCCCACCCTGACGGCAGGCACCAGCTCCCCACCCTGACGGCAGGCACCAGCTCCCCACCCTGACGGCAGGCACCAGCTCCCCACCCTGACGGCAGGCACCAGCTCCCCACCCTGACGCAGTGCACCAGCTCCCCACCCTGACGGCAGGCACCAGCTCCCCCACCTGACGGCAAGGCACCAGCTCCCTACCCTGACGGCAGGCACCAAGCTCCCCACCCTGACGGCAGGCACCAGCTCCCTACCCTGACGGCAGCACCAGTTCCCCACCCTGACGGCAGGCACCAGCTCCCTACCCTGACGGCAGGCACCAGCTCCCCACCCTGACGCAGGCACCAGCTCCCTAACCCTGACGGCAGGCACCAGCTCCCCACCCTGACGGCAGGCACCAGCTCCCCACCCTGACGGCAGGCACCCAGCTCCCTACCCTGACGGCAGGCACCAGCTCCCTACCCTGACGGCAGGCACCAGCTCCCCACCCTGACGGCAGGCACCAGCTCCCCACCCTGACGGCAGGCACCAGCTCCCCACCCTGACGGCAGGCACCAGCTCCCCACCCTGACGGCAGGCACCAGCTCCCCACCCAGCCCAGTCAGGTCTGTTCGGTGCCGCCGCCGGCCGCCGCATAATTGCTTTGATTGCAAGGTGCTGCAACCTTGAACCAGACACCATGCCGAGAAGCCTATTTATTGCGGCCATTTGGCCCGGCCAGCGTCCGGAATAGTTTGGGGCAGCGGCGGCGGCGCGGCTGGTCGTGGTGGCCGCGCGGAAATACCGGGCGTCTCGCGGGGCACCAACGCAGTCCGGCCCAGCCCGGCCCGGACGGCCTGCTCGTACCGGCGCGCATACCGAGGCAACGCTCGAGCCCGAGTGTCACCACCGATAATGTTTGGCATTTATGGCGGGCTTAGATCCTCGCCACGGCGGATTGAGCGCCGCTCGCCCGGTTTCCTGCTAGAGGGCCGTTGCTGAGCTTGTCTCGCCGCGTCATGCAGCTGCCGGCACCGGCCTGTGGCGGACGCTGCCCTGCCAACCACTCAGCCTGCGTCTCGAAGCCACTGGTCACATTGCTGAGGCCTGGCATCGCCGGTGGGTCGCGCGAGCCTCAGGTCCCCGCCCCGAAGCCCTGAACAAGTTTACAGACTCTCTGCAGATTGGCTTTCGGGTAACAGCATCACGTCGAGTGCTCCTTGCCACCCTCTGAGATTCAAAGTTGGACGCTGCTCTGGTCTTGCAGCCCTTGTTCGCCTGCCCGGCAACCTGCCGTTCGCCTGCCCGGCAGCCCGCTGTTCGCCTGCCGTTCGCCTGCTCGGCGCCCGGTCGCCCCGGGTCAGCACACGAGCCGGCGTCAGACCGGTATGGCCACAGCCCGGGCTCGGTATGCAGATAGGGTTGCCGGCCAGTGGTTTATGGAGGAAGGGAGGGCCCGGGCACGCCGCCGCCGGCTGCACGGCTCGCGCGGCCGCGCCGCGCCCGCTGCGCTCTGGCCGCCGCCCAGGGCTGGCCGCTCCGGGCCGCGCGCCCTTTCCGGACGCGGCCCCTGGGAAGCAGGCAGACGTAATTGGTCGCTCGTCGGCGCAGCAGTCTGCAGTGGCGCTGCGTGCACGCGCACCGCCGCCGGCGGCCGGCAGAGGGCGCTCGCTGCCGCTCGGCCGCGGCGATCGGCGCTAATGAACACCATTAGCCGTGCACGGCCAGCTCCGGATCGAGAATCAATTGGATCGGCCGCGGCGGCTGAGCGGCCGGCGCAGGCGCGGCAGCCTGTTGTTGCGTCGGCCAGCTCGTGTTCTCTCCGATCGCTGCGGGATACCTGGCCGCCATGTTTGCCCGGTAGAGGTGCGCACGGCGCGCAGCGGGGCCCCGACGCAGGGACAACGACCGCGGCACGGGCTGCGAGGTCGCTGTGGCCGAGGCAGCGTCGGCCGACTCCCGCCGGCTGCGTCCCCTGCTGTTGAACGGCGCATCTTTTGGTATCGGGCGGCCACGTGCAGTGACACAGGTCGGGTTTTCACTGGAGGCGGATCCGGGCCGGACCGGAGGCTCGGCCTTATACGGGAAAACCGCTACCCAGCATATCACACAGACCGATCGGAAGGCGAACGTGAGTAAGTTGAGCCTCAGCATAGGATAAACTCTGCCATTGTGGCACAGCTTAAATGCACCGATGACAAACTAGCGTCACGAAAGCGCTGTCCAACATAGGCCTGGAAGTATTGGGGTTGGAATAGGGTTGGAAGTGTTCTCATCTCTAAAACTAAACAGATGTGTAATTTTACCACACCGTTCTCTCGTGATGTTTGTGTCAGTAAGAACAGGCTGCGTATAATAGCTGCAACCTTATTTGCATAGGCTTCCAACGTTGAAACAAATGGCGTTTACGTTGCGGCTGCACGCGGTGCTTATTGACAAGGAAGCACGCAACTGCAATTCCAGTACGAGCCACCTACGGTAAAAGAGAGCCCTCGAGACATACAGAGGTAATTACAATTACACTGCACAGTCAATGTGCCGACACACTTTGTGCACAGTTCCATGGTGCGTCTAAGTGGCAGTTGCCAGTAGCCGCATGACGTAATCGCTGCAAAGCATCCGCGCCACGCCGAGCCGGCCGCGGTCACGGGCGGGTTCGGCCGGACCGTGCGCAGCTCGGCTCTCGGCGCGCGGTATTTCGCAGCTGACATGGGATGACGTATGGCCGGGCCGACCTCTCGGGCGCCCAGTGAGAACCGCCGCCGGCCGGGCCGGCCGCCACCAGAGGTCAGCAGCGGCCGGTCAGCCGACCCCAGCCGCGGCAGCCCCCCGCCGCGCCGCCGCGCAGGCACGCCGCCCGCCGCGCTCCCCGACCGCGCGGCGCGCCGGCCGGCGACGGAGCCGCGCTGGCGGCGCCCGCTTCCGCGAAATCGGCACCACGTGCGCGATTACCAGTGATTAATCCGCGGGCTGTGTGAGGCGGCCCGACCGCGCCCGACTGCAGACGGCCTTCCAAAATGGCGCCGCTCTCATCCGGGCGGCGATGCGGTCCCGGCGCCGCCAATTAGCATGCACGTGTGAGCGGGGCGCGCGGCGGGCGCGGCGGCCCATCGGCAGGGCTGGACTGACCCGCGTGCGTGCCGCCGGCGGGCCGCCGCTCGGCCAGGCCGCGCCGGGCGGACTCCAGCGGCGCCATCGGCCGCCGTTATCACTCGCCAGTGTATCGGGCCGGGCGTGACAGCGAGCTACCCTGTTGCCGGGTCTGTGATGCCCGGCTAGGGTGCGAGCCCCCTGCCCCTCCCCCTCCTCTTCCCGAGACCTGCCGTTGTATATTTGTCACCCCTCTGGCGACGCGGTGACGACAAGGACGGTTTCACGGGGCAGCTGAAACGGCGCGGCAGGATGCACGATTTGATCGCTTCGACGAGTTTTCACTCTGGACCGGTGGCAGTGAGGTAGCGTGCGCAAAATACAGCCCGCTGGTGGAAACGCTCCGCCAAACACGTCCACACCGAAGTGTAGAATGGCTCTGCTTAACCGTAACATCATAGTCGGCGTCCCAATACGTGGAGTGTATTTGCCGCACCCTGCACTGCTGCAGAACACGTTTACCGTTTTTGCCGGCATTAGAATAAAAGCGATGTAGGCCATTGTTTCGGCGATGACTATCCTCCCATGCGCGGACGGGTCTGGCCGGCGCTCGGTGAGCCCGAGGCAAGGAAAGTCAGCCGCCTCAAGACACCGCCCGGCGATCCAGTTGCCCGCCGCCCAATTACATTCTGATCGGTCTGCCAGACGTGCGACACAAAACCCGGCCACAAAACGGCACCGCAGCGGTCAGCCGGCCCTTACGGCGGCGAGACCGGCGCCCCTGCCTGCGGACGCGTGACGTCCCGACGCTAACCACGCCACATCCCGCAGGCAACCCGCAGCTGACCGGCACCGGCCTGGTGCACGTGCTCGTCCAGGACCAGAACGACCACGCGCCCGTGTTTGACGCGCTCGACTACGTCATCACCGTGGACGAGTCGATCCCGGCGGACAGCGACGTCATCATGGTGACGGCCAGCGACGAGGACGAGGGCGTGAACGCCCTGCTCAGGTCAGTGGAGTGTGCACTGCCCAGGTCAGTGGGGTGGAGTCAGGCAGGCGTCCGGCGGTCGGCGCTGTCGCCGCCCGCCGCAAGACCGGCCCGGGCATTTATGGCGCCATAAAGCAGGACATTCACCTGCAATCTACGCGCCGGCTTGATACCGACCCCACAACCGCATGCAATTGAGCTATTGTGACAGCCGGTTATTGCTGGCCGGCCGCTCCGAACGAGGCGCAGTAAGTGGCTCGCTGGTGCATTTGAGCAGCGCCGCTCTGCCGCTGTCGGCGGCGCGCCTGCCCGGTCTCGACCGGTGCAGCCCCAGACAGCGGCTATCGATCAGTTCGCACCTATCGAGCACGTCGCGACGCCAGCCGTGTCGCACCACGCCCCCTCCCCTCTACCGTCCGGGAGGCATCCATATGAGACCCCCCCCCCCCCTGCCCCGCCCGCAGGTACTCGCTGACGGGCGACGCGGTCGTGCCGTTTACCGTCGACCCGGTGTCGGGTCAGGTGCGCACGCGCGCGCCGCTGGACCGCGAGCGCCAGCAGGCGTACACGCTGACGCTGGTGGTGACGGACAGCAGTCTGACGCAGCCGCGCTCGGCCGCCACCAACGTCACCGTCCTGCTGCGCGACGTCAACGACTCGCCGCCGCAGTTCGCCGCCGCCGAGTTTACGGTCCGCGTGCCCGATGGCGCGCCGCCAGGTGGGTGGCGGCGTCAGGTCGCAGGTCGCAGGTCACTGAGGATCTCAGGCCACCGGGACTCGAACAGTGGTGCCCTCGGGTGAACACAGAGGGGGGCGCCTACCGAGGTGACGTCAGTGTGTCGGGGCCTGTGCCGGAATGACCGCAGATCGATGAAGTGTAAAGTGTGATTGCCTCAGCGCACCGGACAGAGTGGAGCGACCTGTAGTGACCCCAGGTGGCCCAAGAGCATAGCGTGGTCGACCGCGCAGCGCACCCATCAGGCGGACAGGCGTGCCACAACTTATTGAATAATTGGGTTTTTGCAGACGGTCATTTGTATTGCCGAACGATTGATAGAGGTTGGGGTAGTCGAAGAACGACAGCAAAAACGGCTTAGATTCATGCATAAATTAAGCATGCCTGTCATCAGATTTTACGATTATGACAAACAGCTACAGCGCGCTCTGATCCGCCGAGGCCGCTGCTCGCGCTCCTCGAGCCGAGTAGCGGGAGCAGCCGACTGGATACAGTGCACGTCTCTGATCAGTGCGCTGACGCCGCGGCCCTCTCTCGCAGGCTCGTTCGTGTTCAGCGCCAACGCCGTGGATGCCGATGAGGGCGCCAACAGTCGGCTGGTGTACTATCTGTCCGGCACGGACGCCGACAAGTTTAACATGGACCAAGAGACGGGCGTCATCAAGACGGCCTCGACGCTGGCTGGCCTGGAACGCACGTTCCACGTCCAGGTGAAGGCGACCGACGGCGGCCAGCCGCCGCTCACCGCCTCGGCCCAGCTGCACGTGCAGATCCAGCCGGCTGGCCAGTTCCCGCGCTTCGAGCCGATGACGACGTCGTTCCAGTTCGGCGAGGACGTGCGCGACGCCGAGGTGGTCACCGTGCGCGCCAGCTCGCCCAAGCCGCCGCCAGCCGGCGCCGTGCGCTACCGGCTGGCCGGCGGCAACGTGGGCGGCGCGTTCGACCTGGACGCTGAGACGGGAGTGCTGCGCGTCAGCCGGCTGGGGCTCGACTACGAGCGCGCGCCGCAGTACCGGCTGTGGGTGGAGGCGGCCGACGCGGACCAGCCGCCGCTGGCCGCCGTCACCGCGTTGGTCGTCAACGTGACCGACTTCAACGACAACGCACCGCTCTTCTCGCGCACGGTGTACGCGGCCAGCGTGCTTGAGGAGCAGTTCCCGCCTGCACTCGTGCTGACGGTGGCCGCCAGCGACGCCGACACGGGCGACAACGCCAAGATTATCTATCGCCTGCGCAAGGACGGCCTGGTGGAGGATGCGTTCACACTGGACGCGCTCAGCGGCGAGATCTTCACCAAGGAGAAGCTGGACCGCGAGCAGCTGGACAGCTACACGCTGACGGTCGAGGCCATCGACCAGGGCAACCCGCAGCAGACCGGCACGGCCATGGTCACCATCGAGGTGCGCGACAAGAATGACAACCCGCCGCGCTTCACACATCTCTTCAATGTCAACGTGACGGAGAACGCCGAGATCGGCTCGTTTGTCATCCAGGTGACGTCGTCGGACCGCGACATCGACGAGAACGCCAACGCCACGTACAGCTTTACCAAGAACCCGGGCCGCAAGTTCGCCATCGACCCGGTGAGCGGCAACGTGACGGTGGAGGGCGCCGTGGACCGCGAGGAGCGCGAGGAGTACGCGCTCATGGTGTCAGCCGTGGACGGCTCGTGGCACGCCGAGACGCAGCTCACCATCACCATCCAGGACACCAACGATAACGCGCCGCGCTTCGAGCGCGGCCGCTACGTGTTCAACCTGGCCGAGTCGGAGACGAGCGTGGCGTTCGTCGGCCAGATTGAGGCCGAGGACGTCGACAAGGCGGGCCCGAACGCTGTCGTGACCTACTCGCTGAGGCAGCCGTCCGACTTCTTCAGCGTCGATCCGGGCAGCGGGCGGCTATTCTCTAAGCAGCCGCTGCGCTACAAGAAGTCCAACCGCATGGCGTCGCCGGAGAACCAGTACGTATTCGAGATCGTCGCCATGGACCACGGCAAGCCGCCCATGTCGTCCTCCTGCACCGTCACCGTCAACGTGGTCGATGCCAACAACCATGCGCCGACGTTCCGCGAGCACATGCCGCTCAGTGCCGTGCCAGAGTCGTCGGTGAAGGGCGACCGCGTGCTGCAGCTGACCGCGGACGACAGGCTCGACTCGGGCATCAACGCCGTCGTGCGCTACCGCTCGCGGCCCTGCAACGGCTCCGACTTCTTCGCCGTGGACGCCGAGACGGGCTGGGTGACGGTGCTGTCGCCGCTGACCGGCCGCAGCGGCGTGCAGTACGAGGTGTGCGTGGTGGCGTACGACATGGGCGTGCCGCCGCAGAACGCCACCGCCACTCACGTGCTGGTGGTGACCGGCCCCAACGAGCGCGACCCGGTCTTCACGCCGCTCAGCTACCACGTGATCGTGCCCGAGGAGGAGCCCGTGGCGACGACCATCGTGAGCGTAACGGCCTCGGACGTCGACAAGGGCATCAACGGCCGCGTGCGCTACAGCTTGGCCGGCGGCAGCGACGACGACTGGTTCACCGTCGATGAACACACCGGCGTGGTGGCCAACGCCCGGCCGCTCGACTTCGACCGCCAGGACAAGTACAACCTGACGATCGTCGCCACCGATCTGGGCTTCGTGCCGCGCTCGGCCACCGCAGAGCTGCGCGTCACACTCACCGACATCGACGACAACCCGCCGACGTTCAATCAGAGCGCGTACCAGGCGTTCGTGGCCGAGAATGCGCCGGTCGGCTCGCCTGTCATTCGGCTGGTGGCCACCGACCGCGACTCCAGCCGCAACGCCATCATCGGGTACAGCATCGTCGGCGGCGACGACAAGGAGCTGTTCGCCATTGACCGCGACTCGGGACTGGTGACGACCCGGCGCGTGTTCGACTACGAGCAGCGGCAGTTCTACACGCTCGACGTGATGGCCGCCAATCCGGACTCGTCGCAACGCGGCTACACCAAGGTGCGCGTGGCCATCACCGGCATCAACGAGTTCTACCCGCGCTTCGTCAAGCGCGTGTTCCGCTTCACCGTGTCCGAGTCGGCGACCGTTGGCACGGGCGTCGGCCAGTTGCAGGCCACGGACGACGACGACGGCGCCGACGGTGAGGTCACTTACCTGCTGGTGGGCAGCAGCAACGACCGCGGCTTCCGCGTCGACCGGCAGACGGGCGTCATCCGCGTGGCGCGTCGCCTCGACCGCGAGTCGCGCAACCGCGTCGTGCTGACGGCGCTCGCCAAGAACGCCGGCGGCATTCGCGGCAACGACACGGACGAGGCGCAGGTCAGCATCACCATCCAGGACGGCAACGATCCGCCGCAGTTCGAGGAGACGGTATACCGCGTAAAACTGTCGGAGGGCGCCGCGCCCGGCGCCGCCGTGCTGGCCGTCCAGGCCATCGACAAGGACGTGCAGCAGCAGAACAACCAGTTCACGTACAGCATCCTGGACGGCAACGAGGGCGACGTGTTCAAGGTGCACCCGCAGAGCGGCCGCATCGAGTCGACCAAGCAGCTGGACCGCGAGCAGGTGAGCCTATACAACCTGACGCTCGGTGCCATCGACAGCGGCAACCCGCCGCAGACAGGCACAGCCGCCGTCCTCGTCACCATCACCGACATCAACGACAACGGGCCGACATTCGACACCACGCCTGTCGTCGGCTACGTGTCGGAGAACGAGCCGGCCGGCAGCACGGTAATGACGCTGAGCGCCACCGACCCCGACCTGCCGCCGAACGGCGCGCCGTTCGCCTACTACCTGGCGGGCGGCGAGCACCAGGACGCGTTCACCATCGACGCGCAGTCGGGCACGGTGCGCACGGCACGCACCTTCGACCGCGAGCGCACGCCACAGTTGCGCTTCACGCTCGAGGTGCACGACAGCGGCCGCCCCAAGATGAAGGCGCGCTACCCCGTGCGCGTGGTGGTTACGGACCGCAACGACAGCCCGTCGTCGCCGCGCACCGTCCAGGTACTGGTGTTCTCGTTCGAGGGCGTGTTCGCCGGCGGCCGCGTGGCCGACGTGCACCCGAACGACGCCGACACGTCGGGCCAGTACCACTGCCGGCTGCTGTCGGGCGCCGCCGGCCTCTTCACCATCGAGAGCAGCTGCGACCTGACGGTCGGCCGCGTCACGGGCGAGCAGTCACACACGCTCAGCACGGCCGGCGACGACGGCATTCACGACGAGGTCACCTCCACCGTCACGCTGCAGTTCGCCGCGTTCGACAACGCCACACTGGAGAGCGCCATCGTCATCCGCATCCTCAACACGACGTCGGAGCGTTTCCTGGCCAAGCAGTACAAGCCGCTGCTACGCACCGTCTCCGACTTGTTCGAGTCGAGCGACGATGTCACCGTCTACTCGGTGACGCAGACGGACGATCACGTGGACCTGACGCTGGCCGTGGCCACGCGCTCCGGCTACCGGACGCGCACCGAGATCATCCAGCAGCTGAAGGAGGGCCGCGTGCGTATCCAGCGCCTGCTGCAGAGCGCCTCGTTCATCATCAACTTTGACCCGTGCCCGACGTCGCCGTGCCAGAACGGCGGCCGCTGCCGGTCGGGCATCCAAGTGTCGTCCAACACGCAGATCACGGACAGCCCGAGCCTCATCTTCACCAGCCCGCAGGTGCGCAACCTGTTCACGTGCCAGTGCCAGGCGGGCTTCACGGGGCCCGCCTGCCAGCACCGGCAGGACCCGTGCAGCCCCAATCCCTGCCAGGCCGGCGGCGTCTGCGCAAAGAACGGCTACCAGTTCACCTGCACGTGCCCGCGCAACCGCGGCGGCGCCACGTGCGACGTGGACCGCGCGAGCGCGTGCGACGACGAGCCGTGCCAGAACGGCGGCAACTGCCGCGCCACCCCGGACGGAGGCTTCTTCTGCCTGTGTCGACCCGGCTACCGCGGCGCCACGTGCCAGCTGGCCAGCGACTCGTGTCGGCCCAACCCGTGCATGAACGGCGGCACGTGCGTCAGCGAGGCGCCAGGCTACATGTGCACATGCCCGCCCAACTTCTACGGCAAGCACTGCGACCGCTCCAGCTGGGGCTTCGAGGAGCTCAGCTTCATGAGCTTCCCGACGCTGGACGCGAGTACCAACGACATCTCGGTGACTTTCTCCACCAACAAGCCGGACGGCCTGCTCGTCTACAACTACGGCGCGCAGACGGGCGGCCGCTCCGACTTCGTGGCGCTGCAGCTGGTGGGCGGCCGGCCGCAGCTGGCCTACGGCGGCACGCGCACGGCCGTGACGCGCGTCACGCTCAAGCGGCCCGTGGCCGACGCCGGCTGGTACCGGCTCACGGCCACACGCAACGGCCGCGTCGTCTCGCTCAGCGTCGTCACGTGCAACGAGAACGGCGACACGTGCGCCGAGTGCAGCCCCGGTGACAGCGGCTGCGAGTACGCCACCGACCAGGGCACCGTCGGGTGAGTTGCCGCCCTCTGCCGCGCGCGGCGGTCGTACAGCAGGCTCCGCAGCTGCGGTCGGCACTGCAGTGATGTATGCGTGTTCCGGTTGACATGTTTGGATCCGATTGCCAGTTAGCCAAGGAAACCTGGAATTCAGGATTGTGTCGTGCGTCGCATGCTCTAAAGCGAAACTGAATGCTAAACCTATAGCATAGTGAACGACATAGGGCAGCTTCAGGAACGCTCAGTCACGCTGCCCGTGCGTCTGGCTTCGGTACCAGAAGCCAACCATGAATGTAACCCTTGGTCTCCCGTTGCAGGACGCTCAACTTCAACGACGAGCCGATGTACGTGGGCGGCGTGATGACCATCGATCCGGTGCAGGAGCGGCCCGGCCAGGTGGACACCGACGACTTCATCGGCTGCATCCAGTCCGTGTTCGTCAACGGCCGCCAACTCAACATGTCGGCGCCGCTCAAGGCGCGCGGCGTCTCGGACAAGTGCCAGCGCGCGCCCAACGTGTGCCGCGACAGCCCGTGCGGCGAGGGCGCCACGTGCCTGGACCGCTGGAGCCGGCACGTGTGCGTGTGTCCGGGCGGCTTGCTGGCAGCCGACTGCTCGGCCGCGCTCGAGCCCAGCTCGTTCCAGGGCGGCCACGTGGAGTTCCGGGTGACGGCGCGGCACCGGCGCCGCCAGCTGGTGCCGCGCCTGTTCCAGGGCGCCGACCGCTGGCGGCGGCGGCGAGAGCTGGCCGGTCGGCCCGACAAACGGCTGAGCATGCGCCTGCGCACGGCAGACACGGACGCAGTCATCCTGTACGCGGCCACCAACAACGACTTCACCCTGCTGCAGGTGCGCCGGCAGACTCGCTCACCAGATAGCGCTGTCTGTGTCGCGCTCTGTTTCACCGACTCCAGCGCAGCCTGTCCGGTGTGGTATTTTCATGGGCGTTCAGGCATATGAGGAACTTGGCATATGAGGACAGTGTCAGTTGTTTGCGGCAAAGTTTTTGCTTGGAGCGTTCACACATGGAAGTTTTAGGGAACTGCGAAATAAGCACTCCATTCTCTTATACACGTCAGTGAGTGGATGCCATAGGCAAAGTTGTATGCGAGCGGTCCAGTAACTCCTCCCTCTTCCGCCCGCAGCTGAAGGATTCGCTGCTGCGGTACACGTCCAAGGTGGGCGCCAACCCGCTCATCAACATGACGGTTACTCAGGCCGACCTGACGGACGGCGCCTGGCACAACCTCAGTCTGGCCATCGTCGACAACACACTGCAGATCCTGCTGGACGACGCCAAAGTGGGCGACGCCCTGTACGCTACCTCTGTGCACGATTTCCTGGACGCCTACCTCACGGAGCTCACACTGGGTGGCCCCACCGAGCTGCCAAAGGCAGTCGGCGCTGTCGACGGTAAGTTGGCGTGATGAAGTCGTTACGCTTGCCACTTTACAGAGGCATAGTCGTGTCTCGCCTGTCTGTATTCATATCGAACGTCTCCCAACATTAAGACGATCGCTGGACCCGTGTGCGTCACACCATCCCCTCACCTGCACATGCGGGCCCAGCTCTCGACAGGCCCAGCTCTCGCCTGGGCTGACGGACCGCCATCGGACGCTGCGAGCCGCCGCCGGTCGAGTCGCGCCTAACCACCGTCCCGCCCCCGGCAGAGTTCCACGGCTGCATCGCGATGCTGGCGATCGACGGCGAGGTACAGCCGCTGAACGGCACGGGCGACCTGCTGCGGGCGCGGCCGGTCGGGCGCGTCTCCGAGGGCTGTCACGGCGCGCTGCCCGCCACCGACCCGCTCTCCATCGGCATCACTCTCGTCATCGTCTTCTTCGTCATCCTCTTCGTGGCAATCGCCGTCTCGTTTGTCGTGTTCCGGCTGCGGCGGCACAAGAGCGAGAAGACGCCGTCGCACGCCAAGCTGGGCGGCTCAGGAGTCATGTCGCCGTCGACCGCCGACTCGGGCCGCAGCCACCACGACTCGGGCTTCGCCGAGACGGGCGAGCTGACGGACGAGGTGCTGCGGGGCCACCTGGGCGGCGACCTGGGCCGCAAGTACCCGCCGCAGCGGCCCGACATCATCGAGCGCCAGGTGGTGAACCGCTCGCCGGCCGGGCCGCAGCTGTCGCACATCGACTCGGTCAGCCAGCAGGGCGTGCCCGACTCGGTGTCCGAGGTGCCCGAGCACTACGACCTCGAGAACGCAAGCTCGATCGCGCCCTCCGACATCGACGTCGTTTACCACTACAAGGGCTTCCGCGACGGCAACGTTCGCCGCTATAAGACCAACCCGCACCTGGGTCAGTACCACAAGCACAACCACCGGCACAGTCCACACAGCTTCGTCAGCTCGCCGCACCGCGAGAGCCCGCGCAGCCTGGTGCGCCAGTCGCCGAACCCGATGGCGCCGCGCGAGTCTCCGGGCGCCATGAAGATGCAGAGCACGCCGCTGGCGCGGCTCAGTCCGAGCTCGGAGCTCAGTCAGCAGACGCCGCGCATCCTGACGCTGCAGGACATCAGCGGAAAGCCGCTGCCGACGGCGCTCCTCTCGGCGGCCACCGTCAACAGCGAGCGTAGCCTAAACTCGCCGGTGAGCCAGCTGAGCCGCAGCTCCGAGTCGGTGCACACCTCGTCACAGAGCACCAAGAAGAAGAAGCCCGAGCCGGGCGGCGACGGGCTGGCCGGCCGGCTGCACGCCCGCGCGCCGCGCAACAACTCAAGCCTGGTGAACACGGTGGACGCCGTCAGCTCGGGCTCTGAAGGCCGTAAAAAGCGGGGCGGCCGGGAGCCTGGCAACGCGCCCATGATGGAGCGCGGCAGCAGCAGCTCGGACGAGAGTGGAAACGACTCGTTCACCTGCTCCGAGTTCGAGTACGAGAATCAGTACGACAAGGTGGCGCGCGACTTCGGGCCGCAGAACATGATCTTCTCCAAGCTGGCCGAGGTCGACAACGAGAACGATCACGAGAACAGCTCGGGCGGCAACAAGTACGACGGGCTAGACTCGTTTCGCGGCTCGCTCAGCACGCTGGTGGCGTCCGACGACGACATCTCCAACATCCACTCCTACAAGCCGGCTAACGGCTCCAGCCTCGGCTGGGACTATCTGCTCAACTGGGGGCCCAACTTCGAGAGCCTCGTGGGCGTGTTCAAAGACATAGCCGAGCTGCCGGACTCGACGGGCGGCGGCGCGAGCGCGCGCGCCACGCCCTCGGCGCGAAACACGGGCGCCACGCCCAAGCCCAGCGAGGAGTACGTGTGAGTGAGCCAGCGAGAACGAGAGCGCGCGCCGCGTGTGATATTAGTGTTTTCTATTCAGTGCCAAGCAAGTCAGGGTGATGTTCAGTGTATTCGACTCCGTGACGAGGAGGCGGCGGCCGGCCCGGGCCGCCCCGCGGCCGGCTCGGGGCCGGCGCCGGCGCCGGCCGCCGGAGCTTAGCGGCCGCCAGGGGGCCGCGCGTGCACCCGCCGCTGCCGGCCACTGAGGGACGACGCGCCGCCGGCCGCGCGTCGCCCAGACAATCATGCGTAGGCTTGTTGATTTGTGTTGTACAAATGTGTATCATACTGGGAGACTATCGTGCGCCCGTGCCAAACCCGCAAACGATCATTCAATACAGCCATTAATCGATGAGTGGACGTGTTCCGCCCGACGCATCGGACGCAGACGTGGTTCGCCGGGCCGATAATACATTGTAAGAACACGCGCTGTCGGATATTTATTTCCCAGCCAGGCGATGACATGTATCAATGCTCATAAATGCGGTGAGATGACCATTCTTGTGACATACCCAAAAACGTGGTGCAAACGGGGTGAACAAAATAAGTATATTTCCATTGGGAAGCACTTAATAAAAACAATGGTCGAACGGACAAACAGACCAACTACACATGTGTATTCACGATGCACAAAAGCAGCCCCATCATTGCCCCATCACACAAAAATACGTACGATCACAGTGCCCCTGGCGAAAAGGTATCCGGAGATTGCCGCCCAGAGACAACAGCAAACCGGTCCAGCACCGACCCAGTCATAACAAAGCCCGAGTGTGCCCCCGCTGCGGTACCGGCCGCGGCCACGGCGTCAGTATCAACGTATTGGTCACGCAACATATTACACTTTGTCGGCATTGAGTCGCCTTGTATTGTGTGCGAAGTGTGCAGCACGTCCGCCGCTGAGGTACCAGCAGCCTTCTGTCAGCACGTGACACGCCAGCCGGGCCGCCGCCTCACTGGAGGCGCAGCCGAGACTGTACGGCCGTGCCGGGAACGGACGGCGACCGGGCGCTCGCTGGGGTCGCATTCCGCGGTCGCAGCAGAGCGGCCCGTCTGACCACCACGACACCTGACCTTGACCTCGGTCTCGCCACGCCGTCGGGTAGAGCGGGACGGCAGACGGCCGGCCGCGGCCGCCGGCGCGGCGCTGCTGGGTGGCGGCGGCAGGTCGTCCCGACGCCGCGACACCCGCCAGCCGCCTGGCTCTGCACACTCCGGCTGACTTACGGCTCCAGCAGCTTCTGGCATCCGCGCAGGAAGCCCTCCTCGAACGGCTTCTGGCCGAACCGCGCGCACGACTGCCTGGTGGACGGGACAGGCGACGGTCACCACGGCTCCGCACCACACGACACATACAGCTGGCAGCAGACGGCTGACGCAGCTCCCGCCAGCCGGGCTTTCCCAGATAAAACTAGCTGGCAGAAACTACTGGTGGCCAACGCTGGCAGAAATGGGCAAAACTCCGCCCCGTGCTATGAGTCGAGCGACAAAGTGGAATAACAGAATGGGAAAATAAATTGCATGGTGAGCATTGCTAGCATCATCACGGTGTATAACGGGTTGCAAAGTCTATAGGAGGAATAAAGGCTGGCTAATCTTATTCTGTGCATGCTGATTTTGAAACAGTTCCACAATCGTAATAGTGAGACAGACTGATTGGCTGGCAATTGTGATGGCCACCAAGTGGCAGTCTCTTGTTGAAACATTCAGGAGTGGATTAAGCATTGTTTTGTGGAGGCCAAACCGGAAATTTCGGCGTCAGCCCGAAAAACAAGAAATATAACATAGAGTGGGGCCCACGACCCCACTGCCCGACCGTCCCCCTCCCCCCTGGAGCCATCATGGGAAACATGAAAGAAACATGAACAGTGGGGCTCTCCTATCACTGTATGTCTTAGGGGCTTAGTGGGTCGTATTTCAGCCTGCATATGCACATCACAGAGGGTGCAATGTCACCATTTTTACTATGGCTTCATAATTTGAAGAATCAGTCACTCCCATTGACTTGAGGCAGACTTCATTCTACTCATCATCTTCCAGGACTGTTCACTGTGTTCAAAATGTAGCTATATCAACTGCTGAACGACGCACGCAGTCGCCTGTGTGGAAATATGTTGCGACTGGTTATAGACGGAGTGGTTCAAGCTATGGTCAGCAGTCTTAGGGAACAACTTCAGATCCAAATTGATGAGCCAATTACAGCAGATACACTACATATTTCGACCATGCTGTTATATCAGTGTGCTGTTTCTAATTTATTGTTTAATTAATAGGAACAACTGCAGCTATGATTTTGTGATAAAGCGCATCAAAGGAGGAATAGTACAGGTTTCTAAGCCTCCGCAAGTTTATGCTGGCTTTGGCTGTCAGAAGCAATAAAAACAGACAGTGGCAGACACTAGTTTCAGCTGGTTAAAATGCACACCCAACAGGGTAGCTATGGTCTGCATTCCATAGATTAGCATGTGTCGGCAAATGCCAGTGAATGTACTCTACACAAAGCGCACTCCAGCTTCATCGTCCCAAATCCGTGCCAAAGCCGTCATCCACCCGAAAGGAACGCTAGCGCAGTGCAGTGCGGGGCTGGCGCGGACAGGCCACCTCCGCCTTGTGTCGGCCTCAGTGGGCCGGCAGCGCCCCCTGTGCCGGCCTCAGAGGGCCAGGAGCGCCGCCCTCACCTGGCCCGCGTTCGAATGCCCATCAGCTGGTGCTCGTCGGCGGTCACGATCTGGTGCACGCAGCGGGCGTACTGCTCCTCGGTGGCCGCCAGGTAGCCGGTGCGGCCCGCCTCGCTCGTGTCCACAATGTCCAGCAGAGGGCCGCCCGAGCAGTGAGCCACCACCACCACGCCGGCCGCCATCATCTCCACGATGCCTGGCCGACAGCAGGCCGACGTCAGACAGAGCGGTGCCGCACACGGCGCAGCGACACTTGTCACGAGCACTTAGGCTGGTTACATCATATACCGCGCTTGAATGCCACATGGACACCTGTAAATCGAATTATGTCCGCATCAGTACTTAGTTTTACTATTATTAACCCCGGATACTTATTTATTACTTTTATCACTTTCTTATTTACTTCTTATTCATTGTTTATTCATTATTTATCAATTACCCCCACTCCGACACAAATTCTGGGCCCGGGTAAACGCCCGCACGCTGGTCGCCGACGTCGGGTCACACGCCGGGCGAAATCCCTTCCCATGAGAGGAGCATCCGTGCGGGATGAGGTTGTGTCCGAATCTGCCGCGGTCAGGTCGCTGAATCGAGCTCGCCATGCACGGCACGGACAACCGAGCCGTGCCGCCTCGCGCACGAGGTTCTGCCGCCGTTGGCAAGGTCTTTTGCCCACGACGGTTGGAGATGGAAAAGGAGAATTCGAATAACGGCGAAGTGAACACCATGGTGGAGATGGTGGTGGATCGCACCATGCTGGAACGCTTTGGTTATGGGGCTTACAAGTCCCGCACAAACTCTTGTTCTGGCGGGACCATCTTTTCACATATTCCTCCGGCCACCATCCCCGCACAAACTTTGACACTTTGCCTCCATTACCTGCGCGGACCACAGCGCCGCGTCTATCTGTCTCCAAACGCTTACTTCATGTCCACTATCCGCTCCTCGATTGGAACTTCCCACGTGGAGTATAACGACTTGTTAATCCGACATAAGGCCGATTTCGCGCATGCGGGCACACCTCGGCGAGAGCTCCACAGTCGAATTTTCCCTTCCTATATAAATCTGAGCTTTTCTCGGCCGTTTTCTCGGCTTTTCACCGGCGTTGACACCCCCGCTGATGTCAACAGGGTGAGGTACAAGGTTGAGGATGGAGACAAAACCGCACATGCATTGCAGCATAACATAGTAATACTGATTACCGTTGCGCGCAACGCCCCAGGGTTGAAGAGCAATGGTCCATCATCAACGGCCAGGGCCACCAAGCTTTAATGGTGTGGTAATGGTGGCCGGCCAGTGGAGCGAGAAGGCAGGTAGAGGCCCAGGGCAGTCGAGCTGCAACGGTGGCCGGCCAGTGAAGTGGGTATGCAGGTGGAGGGCCAGGGCAGTCGAGCTGCAACGGTGGCCGGCCAGTGAAGTGGGTATGCAGGTAGAGGGCCAGGGCAGTCGAGCTGCAACGGTGGCCGGCCAGTGAAGTGGGTATGCAGGTGGAGGGCCAGGGCAGTCGAGCTGCAACGGTGGCCGGCCAGTGAAGTGGGTATGCAGGTAGAGTCCACTCACCGATGCCGAAGTGCTCGTTCTTCATGGTGTGGATGCCAACCAATGCTCGGCCGTATAGCTCCAGGAGCTCGTCAAAGCTGACGTTGATGTGGAACTCCACCTGGTCAAGGATGCCGAGCTCACGGGCGCTCTCCTTCAACGCCTCGACGCGAGCTTTGTCGCCGGCGTCGCGACAGCCGCCCACAAGCAGCAGTTTGAGATCAGTCATCTCTGACGCGTACTGCTTCATCAGCAGGGCGAAACTCAGCAGCTGCAGGGAAGGGAGGGATGCGTCAGCACATACGGAATAGACTTTCTGACGAACAACCAGTGCCATTTTAAGCACGGTGGCCGACAGTAAAGTTCCCGTTCAGGTTGAGGGAGGTCGATAGTTGATGCCTATTTTAAATTCTTTCCAGTCAATCCCCATACTGCAAGTGCTGCATTTTCAGAAAACTGTGGTGGGACACCCCAGCCAGTCAGCCAGCCAGCCAGCCAGCCAGCAGATCAGCCAGCAAGCCAGCCAGTAAGCCAGCCAGCCAGCCCACCCCCCCGCACCCGCGCCTCTGGACAACGGATACACTGGGAAGCCGTTACTCCGACATCGGTTTACAATGGGTTGGTCGATTATAATTGACAGCCGAACAGAACAAACACCCACGCTGTCAGTCACTCATTCACAGCCAGTCAGCCACAGTCAGTCAGACACGGTCAGTCAGTCACTGGCAGAGCGGCGACGGAGCCAGCAGCCTTACCTGCAGCATGTGGTCCTTCTCAGGCCGGAACTGCGCCACCGAGAGGACACTGCGAGTGCGCGGCCCGGCCAGCGGCACCTGACGCAGCCGGCCCAGGTCACAGGGTGGGTACACGGTGCGCACCCGCTCCGGCCGCCGCCACACGGCCTCCACGTGGCCACGTGTCCATGAGCTGTTGACGAGCACCACGTGCGCCGCCCGGCCCACTATCCGGTACGCTAGCGCGAAGAGCCGGTAGTAGTAGAGCTTGAGCCGGCGCAGGCTGGCGCGTCGGGCGTACTGGGCGCGGTTGTTGAACGCCCGCTGGCCGCTGGTGACGGCCTGCAGCATGTCGTCGCTGATGGTGGGGTAGTGCACGTAGCAGGCCACCCGGCAGCCGCCCAGCGCGCCGAACACGGGCAGCGTGAAGCCGTACCCCATCGAGTCGATGTACACGTCTGCAGGCAGAGATCGACGGCGTGAGGCTCTCCGCGGGCCGCCCCGGCGACGGGACGAATTGCTTGAAATGGTGGCCACGCAGGGCAGCCAACACCGGTGCCGTTTCTCTCGGCCCACAATGTGCCGACGAGGCCTACTTACCTTGCAGTTGGTTAGTTGCTGCTTTGTAGGCGAGGTGTTCATATACGCACTGTCGAAATACGTATGCTTTAAGATGATAACACTCACAATATGATCTACATTTGACAGAACTTTGACCGCACGTATGCAAGCATGCACGCATGCACAGCACAGCACAGCACACTCACACTGCTGCTCGCACGCACGCAACGCACGTACACGTGCGTACGCACGTTTCGAACGCCAAATGGACCCTGGTTGGTGCACGAACCAACTGACGGGGAGCATCTTGCAACTAGGGTCACCGAGACGGAGCTGGCGGTAGAGACATCTCACCAGGCAGAAAACGGAGCAGCGCCTCCAGCCCGACCAGCACCGAGCCAAGCGCCTGGCCGAGCAGCGTCAGCACCGGGTACAGGGTCGGCTCCAGCAGCCAGCGGGATCGCAGGCGCACGAAGCGCACGGCGGGCGGCAGGTGGAGGCCGAACCGCGTCAGCGCCCTCTGCACGATCACGTCGTCCGGCTCGGCGTCACCCGTGTACACGGTGAGCGCGTGATGCGGGTACCTGCCGCAACCGGGGGTGGTGAGCTCGGGGGGAGGTGAGGAGGTATCTATTACCCTGGGTGAGCTCAACAATCTCTCACGGAAACGGTCAATTCAAACGAAGCGTCGATAGTTGAGGACAAAGACATCCGAATGGCACAAAATTACTTACAAACAGCCAACATGTTCCTCGGATGAAGCTTACATCTTGGAACATTTATTGTAAAAGCCGCCCAGACAAAAAGAGACTACTTGGACATGCTGGTCCCTCGGGATCGTCCATCCAGCTGACAGTGTCAGGGGATGCACACGGCGTTGGGACGCGGACCCCGGGCGTGACCGGCGCACCTCTCCGCCAGGGCGCAGATGGCAGTCCACAGCACGCGCTCGCCGCCGCCGCCAGCATTGCAGTATGGATGGAAGAAGGCGACGTGTCGGCCGGGCGGCGCGAGCGGCGGCCGACGGCGGCGTAACACCTGGGGGCAGATAAGATGGCTGGGTGAGAGTTACCACATGGCACTGCCAGCAGACATGTGGTGCTGACAGCGGACCCAACGGGTCAACAGACAAGGTGGCAGCACAGCGTGGTGTGGGACACTCAGACACATGGGGCAGTGTGGGACACTCAGACAGGCATTGACAGAGCAGAAAGAGATCATACATGGAATGAGGCATACATAACATTGTCAGATATTCATCTTGCAGTGATGAGTCTGCACAAATAGGTGAAAGGTCACATAAGCACAGCATCCACAGGGATTACCTTTCTCAGAAGCCATATGGTGCAGACAAATGGCAGAATTGAAAGAGCTAGAACCCAAATGATGACTTGCAATGTGAGCATTGTGGAGCTTTTAGACAGAGCTGTCCTGAAAAGCAACCACACATGTTATGGCCACTGGTTTATTACAGATGGATCAGAATCTAACCAATGATATTGAAATCCTTATATGTGCACAGTATAGCTTTATATTTGCTGGCCAAGCCCAATTTTACATTGGTCATGTTCATGGCTTATACTGTCATGACAGGCTGTTTCCTGGGCCCAAAACATTGTTCAGCTCCATACTATGTGGAGGTGTATGGCATATGTCTGGCAGTCATCTGACATCCTGCCACACAAAACTAAATGTTTACATGGCTCAGCACCAGCAGTAAGTTGGCAGCTGAGGAGAGGGCCAGGTAAGGAGGTCAGCTATGCCAAAACCAATATTATGTAGTGATTTGCAGTACTTTTGAACAGGGGCAGATCTAGTCCTGGAGTTTTTTTGGGGGGGGGGGCAACCATTTGTCACCAGCTGGCTGGTGCGGGATCCGAGGTCCAGTGCATGGCACCTCTTGCGAGTACCTCGAAGGGACACCATCCAAGACCAAAAAATCACAGAACTGCTTTTGAATCTTAAACAGAAGTTAAAACAAAACAGTTAAAACAGTTAAAGTTAAAACAGACAGTAAGAAGACAAAACTTTCATGAAGTTCTGGGAATGTTTTGGGAACACCAAAACATACTCTAAGAGGTTTTTCTGGGGGGGGGCATGGCCCTGTGGCCCCCACCCAGGATTTGCCTGTGCTTTTGAAAATAACAGTTAAAACACATTGTTCAAATGTGATGGCAGAGCCATTATTTGCATGCTGGCTATGCACTATGCTTTTTACGACATTTCCAGGTGTCATTCTAGTTAGACATATCATAGAAGTAATGCTTTCTCCCTAAAATATGTGAAAGTAACCAGTACTATAAGTTTTAAGGCTGCTAAACTGAGTTAACCTTCATGATACCACAGGACCCTGATCAAATGTTGTGGTGCCAGACAACTATACTGGCAGTGCTCAATCTACAAAGCTGTGCCCATCTTCAAAAGTGCTCTGCACCCTTTCTAAGCATAGGGCTAAACAGAGCTGAGCTAATTGCTAAGCTTAGAGTTTTCTGCACTTGGGACTCATTGAGGATGAAAAAACCTCAAAAGTACAAGTACTACCAATATGATTGTTTTACCACTATTCCGTCATTTCAACAGTACCTCTCGGTAAAATGGAAGTGGACAACTGAGTGTAAGAACTTTAACTCATAATGCCGAAAAACCAGATGCTGATGGTGCCTTCCTGATATTAGAGATCGCTGCACAATGTTGGTTCTGTTCGTTGTTTAAGTTGCAAAGTGCATGCAGTTCGCATCTTACAACAGTGTCAAATGCTACAGACAATGTGCCAACCCATGGTTCCTTAAAATAAGTACTTTCGGATAGGTCTTCCACTCCAACCCTTATGATATAAAACCTCCTCCCATGCCGAACCCGTCCAACAAACGCAAACCCAAACATCAGCCCACTGGTGTATGTAGGAGATGCGCTAAAACTGTATTCATATTGACACCAAATACGAGATATTCTACAGATGTGGAGACTCTTTCGCGAGCCAAGTCTTCAGATATAAAATACCGCGGGGGGTTTTCACGACTTAACGCGAGTGCCTTGAGAGTCGTTAAGAGCGAAAAGCTTATATCGCACAATCCTCAGGATAATCTGGTAGCTACCGAAGCAGCCAAGAACAGTATGCTACGTTCCCTCGCTCTCTGCAGAGCGCTGATCGAGGACATTGAGAGTGGAGCAATACTTACAATTTGAATTGGAAAGTAGGGATTTGGAGTTGGCAGGTGAAGGTACTCCAGATAGCTTTGATGCTTGTTTTACCACCTTGTAGCTAGTACAAATAAGGCAGAACATGTTCAATCGTTGAACTGAAGAGAATTGAACATTCCAGCGGTGTGCGTTGGATGCAAACGTTTTCTTAGTTGCAAGACCACGAAGGCTGTTTGCGATTATATCTGATTGAGCATCGCATATTGAATCAATCAAAATGGATAACCCATCCAAAATAGGGATACAGATCAACTCCACTGCTGGTGCCATCCCCATCAGAAATGAAAAAGGTAAGCATTTCTTGTAGTGGTTATTTAGGTAACAGAAGAGAATTGTTTGAAGTAAGCAGCTTGTGGGTAGCCAGTGTTCTGTTTTATAAAAAGAAGATTGGGTATGTAAAATAAGGAAATGCCTTATGCAAGTTTCAAATGGTCACCTCATGGAAGACATCATGAGCTTTCACCATTTGCTGTTAGACCACAACCGCCTGCAACAATCAGTGTGGATGAATGTGCATAAAAGAGCACCTGCCATTGTTGCAAGTTTGTGCCTGGCATAAGAGCAGTGTTCCTAATTTTTCACTTATTGTATTGTGTTTTAGGATGGTTGGAATGGTCGGACTATCAATGGTCAAAGATACAATGACCTGTTGCCTTATTTATATCACAGGTGTTGTGCAAGCTTGTAATGGTTCAACCTGTTTGTATAATGCCTGTTTTAGGGTCAGTTTAGAGAGATGCAAATCTGAAGTAAAAAAAAAAACATCAAATAAAGTGTGTTCCTGCTGCCCACATCACATGTTGCCTGAATGGCAAAGCTAGAAGCAGCCTGTTACAATGGTGCTTAATAAGCTTTTCATGTTTAAGTTGCATTGTTTCTTGTTTACTGATGACCCATACATGCTGACAAAATTATGCTATGGCCAGGATGAGAAAACAAAGCATTCAAACACATCTTTGAAGCAGTTTGTTTTAAAGACCAATTTATGCTATCCCTTGTCATTGGAACTATTCAAAGCTTCCAGAACAATTATGATCTTCCACATACAGCAAGGAAATAGGCATGCATATTTATACATTTATAAATTTATAGTTTGAGATTCACATCTTGTAAGTCAGGTATAAATTGCTTGTTTGAAAATGTGCATGATATATCCACCTGTGTTTAAATTTTGAGTAATGGCTAGGGAAAGAGCAGTGAGGCTATTCTATTTGGAACAGCACCTTTATGTTATGGGCAGAATGTGGTGGTGGTGTGGTCTGACAGGTTTAAAATACAGATTCCAAATTATAATGGCCAATATCGACAATGCCCATGGGACTCGTAAGGTACATGGGTTGTCTGTATAATGGCTTTCCATGTTTGTATGATGTTTTCCTCCTAACGTGGGCAGTTGTTGCTACACATTAGTTACCAAACTTTGCATTGTAGAGATTTGTGTGATCAGAGCTCACAGTAAGCAGTGCTTGAGCATTTTCTGATCCCACTGAGCAATCAGCTGCTTATCTCCATCGAATCAAGTTACCAAACTAGGTCTACTTGTTTTTAATAAACAACATGTGTGACTGGCTATCTTTGAAAACCATTGCAGTCATTTTTAGATTGGGAAGTGTCATTTGGTTAGGTGGAAAATTGTGTCATTTTAAATGGATGGCTTTTTAGATATTTGGATATCATTATCAATTGAAAGCAAGGTGGCATCAACTTACCTTGACCTAGATCTTTGTATGGCTAGCTCTAGGCCTAGTGATAAAAGCTAGTTATTGGCTTACCAGTTGCTTTATCTTAGCCATACACTTCAGCCTACATGTCACCCTCTGGTGTCTGCTGTCTCTGTACTGTCCAATGTCGTTCTGCAGGTCAGGTGTACATGCAGAAGGTGAAGGTGCAGCGTTATGTCACCGGCAAGCGGCCCGACTACGCGCCCTCCTCGGACGAGGAGTTTGGCTCCGACGACGAGTTCGTGGCCAATCAGCAGCAGCCGGCGCCCGGCGAGGAGCTGGAGCTGACGGAGCAGGAGCGTGACGACCCGCGCCTGCGCCGCCTGCAGCGACTGCAGCAGCAAGAGCAACAGCAGCAGCAGCAGCAACAACAAGAGGAGGCAGCACATGACTCGGACGGCAGCGACACCGCGCCCCGCAGACGGTACAGAGCCGCGGGAGGGATGATTCCGGCGGGGGTGGGGCGGCTGGCGACTGGAGGGGGGTGGGACGGGGACGGCGGGGACTGAAGAGAGCAGACTTCGCTGGGTTTGCAGGGGGATGGCTGCTACGAGGGCCGTCCACCAGTTAAGGCCTCTGACGAAGTTGTGTAGGTGGCGTGGCTGGAATACCTACATGTTGGTCTCTGCGGGCACCCCAGTTGGTGTCCTGTTGGTCTGCTTCCATGTCAATTAGCAGCTCAGCATAGCGAACGCCGTAACCGACGTCACAACACCCTTTTCCGATTCCAGGGTTCATGCTCCCGAAGTATTGGAGGACAGCGATGATGGTGAAGAGGATCTTCAGCGACGACGCAGGCAGTCCTCAGATGAGGAGTCAGACTCTGGCGACTCAGAGGAGGACCTGGACGATGATGAAATCGTCAAGAAGCGAGAGATGTTGCGCGAAAGGGCTATGGCAAAAGCCAAAAGGGAGGAGGTACGGTTTGAATTTGGTTTGGCTTGTCTGCGACGCCTGTTCGAAGACACGGGCTGCTCTGTGCAATGCTCGTACAAGGCTATGAATATGGTGCAATGTGCGTTTGTGCGCTGTAAATATCCATGTCTAGAATGACTTGCCATTGGGGCTGAGCATGCCCGAGCACAGTATTCGCTGCTGTTTCATACCAGCAACATCTTGACTTCACTTTTAGCTTATGACAATAATATTGCATAGTTTGCTGAACGTAAGATGCATGGGACTATTTGTGATGCGAATATTTCACATGACGGGATCGCACAGTAAGCCTTGCAATGCCAAGGTATCTGATGGTACACCACTTCTTACCAGCACTTGCAATGTAAGCAATATCTGCATATCTGGTTGAATTCTTCGTTGTTTTCTCACTGTGATCGCAGTTGTGGCTTCTTCTCTGTTTAGCTTTGCTGAACACAATCTTAAGCAATCACGATTTTTTCCGCGGCTTAGGAACTCATGGAGGTAGAGGAAGAGAAGAAGTCGGAAGACGAGGAAGAGGAAGAGGAGGACAGCTCTGAGTACGAGGAGTACACAGACTCGGAGGAAGAGACGGGTCCGCGGCTGAAGCCGGTGTTCGTCAGGAAACAGGTCCGTTACAGCACAGACGGCGGCCGGTCGGCTGGCCGCCGCCGATGATTGCGGGTTGGCCGGCTGCAGTGCCGTATGCTCGCTCGGCCGGCTGCAGTGCCGTATGCTCGCTCGGCCGGCTGCAGTGGCGTGTACTCGCTCGGCCGGCTGCAGTGGCGTGTGCTCGGGCGGCCGGCTGCAGTGCCGTGTGCTCGGTCGGCCGGCTGCAGTGCCGTATTCTCGCTCGGCCGGTTGCAGTGCCGTATGCTCGCTCGGCCGGCTGCAGTGTCGTGTGCTCGGTCGGCCGGCTGCCTCGCTGGGCCGGCTGCAGTGCCGTGTACCTGTATGCGGGTAGTCTACTATAGCTCAGTCTGGGACGCCGGGTCAGGTATGTGAGACTCAAACCGTCCGGTAGGCAGCCAAACTTTGGTCGACACAGTGTTTGCGCAAACAGACGTTTGTACGATGCAGAACAATTTGTATTTTAATCGCCTGCAGCGGAGCGTGTTGTGGAATGGTGGGCACAGGGCCACAGGGGGATTAGATGCAACCCGGTCGTTAGCTGCCAAATGGGCCCGACACATCGGCCAGTAGACCCCACATAGGCCTGTCATGGCCACTCGGGTGCCGGTGTTTGACTGGCGGCTCCGGTGATGCGACAGCGTGCCCTTGGCGCAGCCGGAGCGGCTGCGTCGGGCTCATACGGGCGCTGTGCGGCGCTGCTGTTGCAGGACCGGATCACGGTGCAGGAGAAGGAGCGGCAGGCGGTGAAGCAGAAGCAGGCCGAGCTGGAGGCGCGCAAGATGGCGGAGGAGCGCCGTCGGGACACCCTCAAGGTGAGGCGGCCCCAGCGGAATCCGCCTCAGCTGGGCGGCTGGTCGCCTCGGTGTTTTAGTTCGTTCTCCAACTCCCAAAGTGGCCAATGCGCGACCCTTTACACAGCACTGGGATTTGTTGTTTTTACGTGGAGAAAGGTATCAACGCCGAGATATTCGCGACAACATGTGATCGAGTAATTCAGACTTCTGTTTCGTGACTAACAATCCAAAAGAGGCCCCTCCCGTTTTTGGCCGGCACACACATGCGGCCTCCATCGCGACAACGGACTTGAGCTGTCAAGATGCTGACGCTGGTCTGGTGGGCTGACATTGATCAGTGGCATTGATGGACGTGATTGTATGCGCTTTTGCACGGACTCTAGCAGGCAGCTAGCGTGTGATAGTGGAGCCAAGTCAGGCGGCCGACGGAGCGTAAGTGACTGACCGGAAACCGCGATGCCCCGGTCAGATGGTGGAGTCGGACATTCGGAAGGAGCAGCAGACATCGGTCGACGTCGACCCGTCGTTCGCCATCGACACCGACGACGAGAACGACGAGGCGGACTACGAGCTATGGAAGCTGCGCGAACTGAAGCGGATAAAGCGTGACAAGGAGGAGCGTGAAGCGTGAGTACCCCCCCACCCACACCCCCCAACGCTCCGCCGCGGCCGCGCGCCCCGTGCCGAGGTCGCTGACATTTTAATATGTTGTGTTTTGCTCTTCTCATCCCCAGTGTTAAGTCTTAGGCTGTCGCCTATTCCAGTGTTCTGCTCGCTTAGGCCTGGTTTGTGGCTGTGTATCTTTGTTTTGTTTGTTCATACCCAGGATACATCCTGAGATGTTGTGTTTGCCCTGCATGTATGGAACCAGGCAGGCCAGTGTGATGTTTCCATCACATGTTTTGTATCTCGTGCTCTCCCACCTGTCCGTGGTCATACAGCTGTTGTCAGTTATTGTCCACATTGGACGGTCGATGATTTTAATGTTAAAATTCAGCATAAAAATCACGCCATTTACCAAGCGACTTTAGTTTAGTTCAGGTGAACAACCTCTTTTATCAAACGTTTACATACTTAACAGCTTATTTTCAGCGCTGCGAAAAGTTGCAGCATTGAAATTGGTAACGCTGCGGTTATGGAGTCTGTCCGCAGTCTACGTTTGATTACGTAACATAACGCTGAGCTTTCTTCAGCATGTTGGTCGACAAGTCGCGCGGTGGCGACTCCTCTCTTCTAAGACCATTTGTGTGTGTTTCTTGAGGTCCAGTGTTTCTATGTAGTTGAGGGCCCGTCTTGTCTTACGTCCCCGGATGATGTTTCTGTGTCGTCGGCTGCCATCCTCCGCACTGCCCACCCGGCGCTCACGGCTCACTCTCGTCGCGCCTCGCCCCGGCGCCGTGCCGACCGGCCAGTCCCGCCCGCCGTCTGACGCCGCCGCCTGCTCTGCACCGCCAGCCTGGAGAGGGAGCGACTGGAGCTGGAGCGGCTGCGCAACATGACCGAGGAGGAGCGTCGTGCCGAGGCCCGCAACAACCCCAAGCAGATCACCAACAAGGCGGCCAAGGGCAAGTACAAGTTCCTGCAGAAGTACTACCATCGCGGCGCGTTCTTCATGGACCGCGAGGAGGGCGTGTACCGCCGCGACTTCTCGGGCACCACGCTCGAGGACCGCTTCGACAAGACGGTGCTGCCCAAGGTCATGCAGGTCAGTCCCAGCGCCGCCCGGCCGCGGGACCGGGCTGCCAGTCTTACTCCACCGCCAGCCGTCGCCACGCTTCGGACACGGGGTCGGGCGTCAATTCTTGTTCTACAGATCAGCCGCCCAGTTGACAGGGAACAGGAGTGCACGTTACTACCCAGCCGTAGCACAAGGGACCGCTAACACTAGCATCCACTTATTCCTGCTGCTGTTGTTGCAAATTAAAACTGAATCTGGTGACCATTGCGACCATTCTTCTGTGACTTTTGCGCGTACCGAGAGACCCGCGGCGCTTCTACCCCAAGTATGGCTGTACGCCGTTCCTCTTGACTGTCCATGCGCCCCCTCCCCCCGTCACCCTCTGCACGTGGCGGGCATGTGTGACGGCTGCATCCTCGTCCCGGCAGGTCAAGAACTTCGGCCGGAGCGGACGCACCAAGTACACACACCTGGTGGAGCAGGACACCACGTCGTTCGACTCGGCGTGGGCCGTCGAGACGGCGCAAAACGCCAAGTTCTTCAACGTGCAAGCCGGCGGCGTCAAACAGATCTTCGAAAAGCCGTCGCTCAAGAAGAAGCGCACCAAGCCGTGAGCGCGCCGCGTGCGGTGCTGGACGGACGGACGTCGAGTGCTGGTGCCGGCCGCGTCCGCCGCCGCGGGGGTCCTGCGTGCGTCAGTCGCTGCGTGTGTTCTCGCATCCCCGGCCTTGTCGAAAGCGCGGTTAGCCCGGGTTCTCGCCCCGGTATCGTCGCGATCCTCGCCAAGTGCTGGCACGTACTTGCCCCTGGTGGCGAAGATGCGAACTCTCTCGACGAGCGGCGCGTGTGGCATAGTGCGATGAAATGCGAATCATTTCATTGGAGTGTCGTGGATGTGCCCGCGCTCATGAGCGTGCTTTGCGTGAGAGCGATAGGTCATCGTCAGATGTCCCGTAGGGACATGGATATGCCCGCCACAAATAACGTCAGAGATAAGCTGGTCTGGGTGTGCCGCGGAAGTGGTGGGCTGCAGACATGGCACAGGCACGATGCGTTGGTTCATCTCGGCTTTGTGTGGATATACACCGCGCGTCTCTCGGACGGGTGAGATGAAACGGAATTTGCCACATTGGCTGCAATCACCATTGTTTTGATGAAATGCATTACTGTAACTCCCTCTCGTCTTCAAAGTACTGAAAATGAATTGATTTGCTCGATATCGGGTACAGCTCATCTCATTTGCCGCAGACATTTCTAATTAAAACAGCACACTTTCCCGATAAACGTAGATCGCGTGCGCGCACACACATTCATCCCACGTGCTATCCCGAGACAATTTTCAATACATCCATTTCATGGAGAAAGATGTTCCTGCGCCAGTCCGTGTGTGTCTGCGAGCTGCCAGGATCAAGTGACTGTACACTGGTTTGCCGACGGCGCCGGAGTTGTCACTGACCCGCCATGGTACTGACACCGCTGCCCGCTGCTGCTGTGCCGGTATTAGTTGGTGGGTCACGCGTAGACGGGGCGAGCGCGGCTCGGCTGTACATGGGGTGAGCGGGACACGAACCGACGTGGGGCGGCTGGCCGATCCGGCGAGCAAACGTGAAGATCAAGAACACGCCACGCTATTTCACCACTCACTGGCCGGAGCGAGGGCATGTTTTATTTAATCGGTGCTGCCGTTTGTGGTAGGCCTAAAGGTGTAGCTCGCTGGCCCCGCGGGGCCGACAAGTCGCCTCAGCATCCATCACCGTCACGTGACAGTGTCAGAGCTGGACAATGACCATGACATGTCAAGGTCATGGCCACAGCCTGCCCATGTTACCATGGCTAGCACTGCACGCTCGGCCAATGGTGAGACACGTGCAAGCGGCTCGCTAAGATGAGCTTCCTCCTTACCTGAGCTATTGACGCACAAAGTATGGAGGTAAATGTAGGTAACCACAGACTCGGGAGCTGTCTGCAAACTGTGCAATGCAATTACCTATTCACGACGCGCGGCCCATCACACGTCAAAAACAGCTGCCTCGCCGCTTTCAACCTCTCACCACCACGCCGTGCAGTCAGAGTTGCCAGCCATCACACGCGTCCGATTCCACCAGCCCGACAGCGGGGTGAGGCCGCGGCGAGCAGGCGCACGCGCTCGCTCCGCGGGGTTCGTATCCACATGTGTGTGCTGACACTGAGACGCGGCCCGCCTCAGCGGCTGCCGCCTGGCTGTCGTTCTCACGGCGAGCGGACAGCTGGCCAGCGGCGTGGACCGCCGATCGGATACACGGCTACACAGGCTCGGCCAGCTCCGGTCCACAGCCGGGTACCAGCACAGCCCGGCTCGGCCAGCTCCGGCCAGCAGCCGGGTACCAGCACAGCCCGGCTCGGCCAGCTCCGGCCCGCAGCCGGGTACCAGCACAACCCGGCTCGGCCAGCTCCGGTCCGCAGACCGATACCAGCACAGCCCTGCTCGGTCAGCTCCGGTCCGCAGACCGATACCAGCACAGCCTGGCTCGGTCACCTCCGGCCCGCAGACGGGTACCAGCACAGTCCGGCTCGGCCAGTTCCGGTCCGCAGACCGATACCAGTACAGCACGGCCAGCTCCGGTTCGCAGACGGATACCAGCACAGCATGGCCAGCTCCGGTCCGCAGACGGGTACCAGCACAGTCCGGCTCGGCCAGCTCCGGTCCGCAGACGGATACCAGCACAGCACGGCCAGCTCCGGTCCGCAGACGGATACCAGCACAGCACGGCCAGCTCCGTTCCGCAGACGGATACCAGCACAGCACGGCCAGCTCCGGTCCACAGACCAATACCAGCACAGCACGGCCAGCTCCGATCGACAGACGGACACCAGCACAGACCGGCTCGGCCAGCTCCGGTCCGCAGGTGCGCTCAACACAACAACGTCCGTGTACTGGCCCGGCACCGCCACCCTCTGCCGGGCACAGCGACGGGGACCGGACGGCACTCTCGTCCCGGCCGCCTACGTGGCGTCCATGATCTGACACATGACGGCGTCGAGCCGGGCGAGCTCATCGGCCGGCTCGGCGGCGGCGTCGGCGCTCGGCCGCGGCGCCGCCTCCGTCGGCACCAGCAGCTTCGAGTCGAACTCGTCGCCGCTGGGCAGGGCCTGCAGCGCGCCGTTCACCGTGTCGAGCACCTTGTCCAGATGCAGCTGGAAACGACGCAGTCCACGTCAGGGCACCCTCACCTGGTCAAGGTGCGGCTGTATACAACGCGGGCAAGATCAGCACCCTGTCACATTCGGGCGCGGCTGGGAGCAGCGCCGGTTGTGCGGGGAGGGGGGGGGGGGGGGCACGCATCACCTGGCGAAGGCGATGCCGCACCCGCTGGCAACGGCTGCTGCCATGAGGTCTGTGTACCGCGCGGCGCGAGACCTCGGTCTTTTGAGGTGCGAGATGCGCCCTAAGGACGGGGCGCGGGCGTCCCATCACTCGTGCAATGTCTGGCGGGCGTCTCATGATTCAGTACCATGTTCGGCAGGCATGGCAAGTTCAGGACTGACAAACATCCGAGCATTACGGCTAACCCAGGTAATCCAGATTGCGATTGACTCACCAGATCCTGACAGGGTTCGCCGGTCTGAATCACCACGCCCGTGCTGATCCGGCTACACGCAATAAATGTCTTTGGCTTACTCGACTCCGCACGTAACTCAAACGGCCGCCATTGCACCCACACCACATGTAGATGGCGCAGCGGACGGCCCCACATCGGCGCCGTAGCCCCGCTCGAGCCCGCCACGCCATACGGCCAGGGTCGAACGCGCTGCCACACCAGCTCGGCAGCCCCCCGGGGAACTGACGTACGAAATACACGGCAAGCACGCCATGCCCCCCGGACGCAGGCGGTGTGGCCCTTGTCACTGAGCGCGGCAGCAGAGCCACCTCCCAGGGTCAGGTCTGCACTGAGCGCGGCAGCAGAGCCGCCTGTCAGGGTCAGGTCCGGGCAGCAGAGCCGTCTGTCAGGGTCAGACCTGCACTGAGCGCGGCAGCAGAGCCGCCTGTCAGGGTCAGACCTGCACTGAGCGCGGCAGCAGAGCCGCCCGTCAGGGTCAGCTCCGGGCAGCAGAGCCGTCTGTCAGGGTCAGACCTGCACTGAGCGCGGCAGCAGAGCCACCTCCCAGGGTCAGGTCTGCACTGAGCGCGGCAGCAGAGCCGCCCGTCAGGGTCAGGTACGGGCAGCAGAGCCGTCTGTCAGGGTCAGACCTGCACTGAGCGCGGCAGCAGAGCCGCCCGTCAGGGTCAGGTCTGGACTGAGCGCGGCAGCAGACGTCACCTGGAACCGGTTGGCGATGTCCAGCCGCTGTCGCTTCTGCAGCTCCAGGGTGACACGGAGCGCCTCGCGCGCCTGGTGCGGCCGGAACTCGTTGATAAGGTGGTGCATGTGAATAAACAGCAGCTTGATGTCATCGATCTTCTCCAACCGCTTGCTGGAGTCTGGACACCGAATCAGGATCTCCAGCAGATCCAGGAAGTTGGCCAGCACCGAGTGGTTCAACTTCTTCAGCTCCTTGCGGTGGTCAAAATTAAGCGGGTACAGCCGTTTAATGCCCTGTGAAAATAAATGGTGTACTGTACATAGCCAAGACTCTTACGGCATAACGGCGGCTTCGCACACGATTTCAACAACAGCACACCACACTTGGATTGCTCTATAAGCACACAAATCACTGCATTCCGCAACAGGTTCTTGGAATTTCTTTCCGCCGCCCACTCCGCGTACGCCAATCAAGACGAGCTTAGCCTGCAAACATTCGGCGCTTTCAGACATAAACAGATACAGTACACCCGGCCACATGCTAAATCGCCGCAACAATGCGAAGACCGTCCGACCCAAACCCTGTCTGGCAGCGCTGACTCGCCTCGCGTTGATACACCACATGTGGACGGCAATGAATCTCGGCACTGAATGTTCGGCCGGTGACAGCAGGAAGGCTGCCAACCGGCGCACAACAGAGCATGTCTGGCTGAACGGAAAGCACCGGCCAGTGTCGAAGGAACTAGCATCCACCAGCAGCCGCAATGGATCGAACGATACGTCAAGAAAGTGGCATGCTTAGTGCCAGCTTCAAACCACATCAGTCAACCTATGACAGACATGAGCCCAATATGTCTACAACAACCGATACAATTTTGCTGAGGTTCTAAAGACAAGTAGAGGGATTGTTTAATGCTTCACCGTCCATCTCCGTCAGCAGCGTAGTGTTTATTCTCGACGTGCGAACCTCAAGATCGCAGGGTCGAAGCTCGCAGCAGTCGAAAACTTTGCGGCCGTAAGAAACACATGGTTGTACGCCAAACAGCATCAGATCGCGTTTAACACTGGTAAAGTCGTCCTGACAAACACCGGAGAAAAAAACGGCGAAAATGTTGTGAGAACAAAAGCGTTATTAGCAGGGGCGACAGTCCGAAGTCCGAAAACTATTCCGTCTGTAATAACCGCGGACCGTCATCGCTGCCTGACCGCGCCGAAGAGCGGATAGCCGAGATTAACCAGCTCCTCTTACGCACAGACGATGCCATAATGACGAAAACCATGCCACGGTCCGTGGCAGACGTCCCACAGCGCCCAACGTCAGCGTCCCAGCTCAACACAGGTCCGGGTGGCTCTGCTCTCCGCTGGCGGCGGCGGCGGCGGCGGCCGGCTCACCTGGTTCTCCAGCGGCTGGATGATGGGGTCGTCCATGCAGAAGGCGCTGCCGAACATGGAGTAGGTATCGTGCGTGGGAGGCACGGGCGGCGGCGGCGGCGCCAGACCGCGCCGGTAGCTGTCGTCCGTGTACAGGCCGTACGTCTTGATGGAGGGCAGCGGCAGCGAGCTGGAGACACCGGCGTCGCCGCCGGTCGCCATGGCGCCGCCCGGCACCGACATGCCGCCGCTCTGTCCTCACCCTTACGTCAGTCGGCGACAGCGGCAGCGCGGAGCTCGGCAGCAGACGGGAGGCGGGCTAGTCAGACGGTCCGGCACCTGGCGGCACACACGCGGTCCTTGCAGGTCGTTGTACAGCACTGACCATAGTCGCAGATCCCAAACAGAGCATAGCTAACAGAACCGGGCCGAATATCATAAACAGCTCGAGGTACAACACTCCCGGTCTCATAAGAACTATTCAGAATTTCAATTTCAACGAAGTGGTATACGTTTCAAGACATCGCGGCAATGATCACAAACACAGAAAAGTTGTTCAGTGCATTTGCGAGGAACATTACTCACATAGATAAGACAGGAGTGATAGCCTTATTCCTTGGACAAAAACCAGAATGGCAAGATAGATGAGTTGATATTTCGGCAACATGCCTCTATCGAAATAATAGCGCAGGCTTCTACTATGTTTCTGCTAGGAATATGTTTATTACACAGGCTGACAGAAGACAGTTGCAAAAAGCGTACTTTCTTTTCATGTGGTGTGGTTTGCCATTTGCCGCCCAATGTCTTTTTTCAGAACCAGACTTGTCATGACTGTCGACAAATGTTTATTTGAAATGCCCGAGTGTTCCCGTTTTGAGTATATATGGTGTGGTCATTGTTTTATTAGGGAATTTGCGAAGTGGCGGAAAACGTGTATATCAGAGTGCATATAAAAATGATTTGGCATGGCTATATGTCTTATTGGAGGTGGAATGATCATGAACTATGGCGCGAATCAGAGACCCACAGACTTCTGAAGGACTTCTTTAATCCCAACAAGGGCCTTCTAATCCAGAACAGGGGCATCTTAAAAGACAATTTCATATGATGAAGAAACCTCCTGATCCAGAACCAGGACTTCCAGGTTCATAGTCGGTGCCTCCTAATTCACAAGGGCCTTCTAATCCATAAAGGCAGTATCCAGAGCCCCTCCCCCTCAACACAAAATGAGGGCTCCTGATCCAAATCAGGACCTAACTCATTTATAAAGGGGCTTTCTAATCCAGAAACAAGGCCTTTTGATACTGAGAACAGTCTTTTGAACCCAATTAAGAACATCCTAGCTCATCTACAGGGCCTCCTTGATTCAAATTTGGGTAACATATGTGTGACTGCAAAACTTTTTCAGCCTGGATTAAAGGGCCTCCCAAAATGGGAGCAGCAAATACATACTTTTGCCCTATGCCTGCCAGCAGGGAATGGGGCAAGGATACCTGCCATCCTGTGAAAAATGACACCCTGTGATGACATGTGACAAAATTTTGCACACCTTTCACCATTTTAACCATGTTTGCCAGCATGACCCTCAATTTCTGTAATAAAACCTGGCAATGAATGTGCATACCTTTAGCAGGCTGATGAGCATTTAAAACAGTAATCTTTGTTGCATGTCACACAAAAAGGTTTCCTTAAATTTTACATCAGACCTACCTTAGCACAAACTTTCAATGGATTCTTAACCTCACTGGCCAGGCCAAATCTGGTTTACCTTTTCCAGTATGTCAAGTTACAAAAGCATCCTGTCATACACCTTTCATCAGCACCACATAGCAGAAATAACATAGTAACAACCAGGCAACATGTTCTTGGGCATACCAGACTACATAGAGGACTCACCTCATGACAACAACAGGCCCAAGCAAAGGAATAAGGTGTCTACCACCCATGTTATTTGAGCTGGTGGCATGAGCACTAATCACTTGAACACTGGCTTTGAGCAATAGGCCCAGCAGCCAGCTTTGCCTTGTACCAGAGGCAACCCAGCTACAACATGAAAATGGACCTCTCACTCCCCAGCTCTGTACTGGTCAGTGGCCAGGCAGAACAAAATACATCCACTGTGCCAAATACCAGTGGGCCTATTTCCATCACACCTCCAACCTTCTCCAAATGGATTTGATTATTCTTGCTGCTCCTCCAACCTCTTCCCCCTGTTCTTTCAATGGGTTTGGAAAAGGCTGTGACAGACATCAGTGGTGCATTCATGTGTCTTTTAGGCTTGAATTGTTGTGACAGCAGAAAAAGGAAAAGGGTTGATTTGGCATTAGTATGGGTGGATTAGGGATTGGTGCTGGTGCAGGTACATAGCTTTTTAACTGGATAGTAGCTAGATAGCTAGATAGATGTTTTTAACTTTTTAGACAGTGGATGGCATTTTGATACTTATTATACAGATGCAATTATTATCTATCATGCAAACATACCATATGAAATACATATTTTTCTGCACTTTTAATACCCCACACTATTTGTTAGTGTCAAGACTGTTAATTTGTGCACATACAGCTCATATCTCCTCCAAAACTGTTTCAGTCATGGCAGATTTGGCACAGATTGAGCACTCCTCTAACCTCCTCCAGACTCATGCCATCCTTTTGGGTAGGGAGTAGCAGGAACAGACCCTAGGTGTCATCCTTGTACTCATGTGAGCTCAACTTAGGTCAGTCCAAAGTGGGCTGGATTTTACTTTTTGTCACAAGAAAATGACCTGGATAATTTGCCTGAAATTATATTTGCATCATCATGATTATTTGCAACATTAGCTTCTATACATTAACACTGGTGCTGACCAGGCACCAAACTCTAACAGCTGTGCTCATGGCATGTGTGCACTGAAATTTTTGCTGCAATGTTACTGCAGCAAAGAACATACTCAGAAAACAATGCATTTTTAAAATCTGACTTAATGGCAATAATGAGCAGCTGGCAGACAGCAAGTCCAAGTAAAAATGGTCTCATAAATAGGCAGTCAAATTACCACTTTATCACGATCTATCTTACATGTTTCAGCACCTTTACAGTCACCTAAAATATATGTTCTGAGCTGATTTAAAGAAACACTATTTTTATAACAAACCAGAAGGCCTGGCTATGAAAACAAGAAATGCAACAAAGTTTACTCTGTTATTGTTGTTGTTGATTGGAGTTTTAGGGCACCTCAACTAAAGTTTATACTGCAGAACTGCACTGGCAGAAAGACTTAGCTTAAACTTAGTTATGAGACCCACTGGTTGCAAGAAACCTCATCCAAGGTCACTCAGCAATAAATATATGTACTGTCCTGAATGCCTAGTGCATTCTCCAAATAGGTGCATTCAACCTGGTACATGTGCACCAAATGGTGCTGAATCTTAACTTATATCCAATATTGCACAGTATAGTAGCAATGAAAACAACCTTATTTGTTTTCATTAAAAATGCTTGAAACGCTTTTGCCTGACATTCTCTTTAACACAAAATAATCTGTTGAGCACCACCCTATGCACTGATATTGGCAATGATTGTGCACTTGATCCTGACCACCCTGATTTGGCAAGCATGCTCTGAAATCACTGACATAATTTTCCTACCACTGCTGCACCCGACACGTTCGGCAAAGCTGCGTTTAAACAGTCTGGGTCAAAGGCCTTCTTGAAATCGAGTTACATGGATTTGATGGAGACATGCTCGATGCTGGTCACAGGACTCTGCCCGGTATTGGAGCGCTATAAATCAACCGAATCAAGCATGCAAACTACGTTATTTTCGTAAGAACAGACGAAACAGAAGTTTCAAACACTGCTAGCATAATCATTTACCTCTTTTTACCTATATCAGCAAAGAGCAACGTCCTCTCTCACAATCCCTCCCCACAAATACCCAACACCAAGGCCCTAAATCTAACACACTCGCCGAACGCGTATTTATTCTAGCAGGCATGAAATTTCCACTTTATATAACAAATATTTTATAAAGCTACCAGATCAGAAGTTGTATTACCTGCGCGCGAAGTATTAAACCAAAACGCATCAGAACACACGCACACATCGACAAATGCCGCTGTGACCGTGCGGCCTACGTGGTGTGGTCTTTCAAGCTCGTACGAATTAGCCAAAAGGTCGCAACGATACTGAGCACGGTAAGCCAATTTTGTTTTGCCACTCCATACGTTCGATGAAGTGTGGGTTTCCGGTTCGCTTCCTACTGGCCCTGATCTGTGACGAGGTTGTAACAAGTCCTGGTCTGACACAAATTTGAGCTTGAATTATGCATTATGTTAGTGAGATAAGCATAGGCACAAGGATGCCTCTGAAAGGGTGGAGTGGAACGGGGGCGTGCCCAAATAAAGCTCGCCCTGGTGTCTTCAAGACAAACGTCAAGGTCACAACATGCCAAACCCCGGCAATGATTTGCTTCCGTTAGGACCTACAATAAAATTCCTGTCATTTTAATATTCGTGATGTTCAGTTTCATCACACCTAAAAAATAATCTCACAAGAATCAAAAGCCAATGTCACAAGACGCTGTACCCGGAAATTTACTCGTTTGCTTAAGAAATGCCACGAAAATTGCATCATATGAATGCGTCAGATGTCAGCTCTGCCACACTTCCAAAGAGTAACTTTCAAGGTTAAAGTTGAATGTCACAAAACGCGATACCCCGGCATTTATTCGCTTGATTTATGAATACCGTAAAAAAACATATATCGATGCTCAGGATGCATGCCTTTGTCATACTTGGAAAACTTACTCTCCAGGTCGAAGGGCAGGGTAAAAAGCCGCGATGCCCGACATTGGGCCACGGCCACGGCTGTTACGGCGTTTATCGGGCCGCATCCGGGCAAGAAAACCTCTCTGATTTGGTAGCCTTGTAGGGGACTCCACAAGTGGCGTTTTTACGTCTACAGGAATATATACGAACACCGTTCCCGACTCGCACCACTCACTCGAGCGTTGAGGTGGCGCGTGGTGCGGTCCGCGCAGCTGTGGTTGCTGTAACAGTACAGTGTGACGGCCGGCGGGTATGCGCAGATTCTCTCTTACTGTTTTCTTGTGCTGTGGTTGTTACAGTTATGGACATAGTGCTTGAACGATGCATTGGATTGCAGGGTATGGTGTTAGAAAGATTGGCGACAGGAATGTTTGTTCGGAAGCGTGCTGGTGAAATGGACATTTAAGGTTTCCAGCCATATTATCCTTCAATTGTTTCTTAAATTTTCCTTGTTATTTCACACAGCAAGGGCAGGACCCTGCCTTGGTACCTACCTGCCTTTTTGTAGCGACTAGGTCCATGGAATGATTATGTGGTATCACTGGTGAAAGCCCTGGGTGATTCACAGGGGAAATTGTCCTTTGCATTGGACAGCACTTGGGTGTTGGGTTCATGGTTTACACAAGCTGTGTTAAGCATGTTCCCAGAACCCAACCTGCCCATTCAAGCTATTGGGAGCATGTTGAGATGAAAAGAAATGAACATTAACAAGTGACTTTTATATCAACATATACTCATTCTTTTAATGCTGTGTTACAATCCTTATCATTGTGCTTCTAGCTCTGAGTCTCCTGTGAGCTTCCAGAGTCACTACTCTGTTTCGTTTGTGTTGTCACCTTTTTTGTCATGTGTGATCTTGATACAAGATGTGATATTTTCCCTATTAATGTTGTAGACTCCATGGCCGCTAAATGTTTCAGAGTAGAACCAAACAAGGACAGCTCTTCATTCCGGTTGTGATCATCAAGTGATACAGAGTACATTCCTGTACAACATTTTCAATATTCTTGAAGATGGAAAAGAAAATACGAATTGGGACAAGAAAGAGTGAGGTAGGTTTTTACAGCTGGTGAGAGATGGAGAACCTTTATAGCTGATTAATTGTGACAGGATCCTTCACAGCTTTTGAGCAGAGACAATGGATTACAGTGGCAGTCAATGGGAGACATTCAACCTGCGGTATACCAGGAGGTTCTGGTTAGATGACGTTATCAGAAAAGCATTGGCTGTATTGCCAAGACTTGATATTTCATCTGAGCTCATGGTCACTTGTGGCTATACACAGTTTGCTCACAACCTTCAACATATTTCATGGTGCATTGAAAATCAACTCACAATGCCTGGAGACGAGGAGCCCAAAACCCTTCTTATTTACACAAGATTGGACTGTCACAGCTATTGATGGGAGATAGAGGACCACCACAGATTCTGATAGGGGATATTGGACCATCATGGGTACTAACCACAGATATTGAGTGCTGAGACACCATGACAGCGGATAAATCAGCGATGAGGCTAGCAGCGCCAGGCGGTAAACTCGGTAGGAGTAGCGAGTTCGCCCATCACCGCGGCTGCTGGGAAGCACGTGAGCGTGGAAGAGGGAGGCCATTTGACTGGCATGGACTGAACTTCTAAACCCACCATGCAGCTACAACAGGGCCAGTGGCCGGACTGCGCAGCGTAGGGACGTCTGGCGCTTGTTACGGGCTCGGCTAAGGTGTGAGGAGCGGTTGGCTTGCTGGGATCGCAGTTCGCAGCCCAGCGCTCGCGAGCCGACCCATCCGGCGGAACCTTACCCATCACATCTTGCTCTAACCGCGACCAGGCCGACACGGGCCTTGTCAACAGACGGCCAACGGCTGACCTCCAGTAACGATTAATCGGCCATTTGCCGGATGCCTGGTCAAAATAAGCTGCTCTCAGCAATTTCAGGCTGAGAAACGCGCGAACGGTAGAGTGTTCGGCACTTGGGAGTGGTCACACGTGTTACCTAATGTAGACGTAAGCATGAGTTGGACGCACGGACCTACAGGCTTGCCAGCTGCCACTGCAAGCATGCAGTTACAGACGTGAGGAAGAAAGGACATGAACATCAGCAAATGTTGCGGATATTTGTTCTTGATTTTCTGGAGCGCAATAATGGCAGTGATACTGGACTGCGGTCTGCGTTCAGGGAGCATCGCGTGAATCGGCGTCAGCCGGCCGGGGTGCGCCCTAGCTGATGCAGGGCGGCAGTGTCAGATACTTTGAATCGGCGTCGGTCGGTCGGGGTGCGCCCGAGCTGATGCAGGGCGGCAGTGTCAGCAGCTTTGAATCGGCGTCAGTCGGCCTGGGTGCGCCCGAGCTGATGCAGGGCGGCAGTGTCAGCAGCTTTGAATCGGCGTCAGCCGGCCGGGGTGCGCCCGAGCTGATACAGAGTGGCAGGTAATAGTTCAGCTCTTAACCGCAGGTGGTAGGACAAAATGATAATTTATGGTCTGTCATGGAACGTCTCTCAGCCGGGGGCCTCTGTTTGGTCCGGGCAGTTCAGTCAGTGGACCTCTGTTTGGTCCGGGCAGGTCGGTCAGTGAACCACCGTTTGGTCCGGGCAAGGTCAGCGGGTGGACCACCGTTTGGTCCGGGCAGGGTCAGCTGGCGGACCACCGTTGGGTCCGGGCAGGGTCAGCGGGTGGACCACCGTTTGGTCCGGGCAGGGTCAGCTGGCGGACCACCGTTTGGTCCGGGCAAGGTCAGCTGGCGGACCACCGTTGGGTCCGGGGAGGGTCAGCTGACGAATCACTGTTTAGTCCGGGCGGGGTCAGCTGGCGGGGCGCGCGACTGTAGTGCCGGTGGACTTTGTTTGAATAGCTATTTTGCAGCGTAATATTGTCCCACGGGCAGGCCTTAAGTGCAATGCCATTTTAAGTCCAGTTTATGCGAGGCCACCCGCCACAGTGAGCTCACCATGTTGCGCCGGCGCATAGGCTTTGGGGTTGGTAAGGTAGTCCTCCGCTGCTATGGTGCAGAAGGCGTCGATGTCAGCGAGGCTGGTCAGGGTCAAGTATTCCGCCTGGTCACTCTGTTGCGTTCTAAGTTAGGATCAGTCAGTAAGTGATTTGCTTGTGTCTTCAGGGACTAGCGTGGTGTACTGCAGCTAATCCATGCTGACTAGGCAACCTCTACCTGTTAGGTTAGTTGCAGCTGAGCGTAATCGCAGGCTAAGGCGTGTATTTTGTGTGTCATCTACGCATGTTTCCGTTAATGGCTTCCATTCTAAATGAGTTGGACCGTGCAATGAGGTATATAGGCCGTGTTTTTGTATGTTGTCAACCACTTTCCGGTGTAATCAGGTTGCACCAATTCTCTAATCCTGTTTGCGCCGTGTTGCGTGGCCGCTCGCCGCCTTCCCCTTGACGCCGGCACTGGCGTATTGTGAAGCCGGCACTGGCGTATTGTGACGCCGGCAATGGCGTATTGTGACGCCGGCACTGGCGTATTGTGACGCCGGCACTGGCGTATTTTGACGCCGGCACTGGCGTATTGTGACGCCGGCACTGGCGTATTGTGACGCCGGCACTGGCGTATTGTGACGCCGGCAATGGCGTATTGTGACGCCGGCACTGGCGTATTTTGACGCCGGCACTGGCGTATTGTGACGCCGGCAGTGGCGTATTTTGACGCCGGCACTGGCGTATTGTGACGCCGGCACTGGCGTATTGTGACGCCGGCACTAGCGTATTGTGACGCCGGCACTGGCGTATTGTGACGCCGACAATGGCGTATTGTGACGCCGGCACTGGCGTATTTTGACGCCGACACTGGCGTATTGTGACGCCGGCACTGGCGTATTGTGACGCCGGCACTGGCGTATTGTGACGCCGGCACTGGTGTATTGTGACGCCGGCACTGGCGTATTGTGACGCCGGCAATGGCGTATTGTGACGCCGGCACTGGCGTATTTTGACGCCGACACTGGCGTCTTGTCTGCCGTCGCTGGCACTGTCAACCACCTGCCCAGGAAGCGACGGAAACACTGAGCCAGGCGTTTGGCCTTTGGTACCCTGACCGCCACAAATTCCGTGGCTCCGCGCTAGTTGTCTGTGGCAAAGCCGGGCGATTCGTGCACAGGTGCTTAGAAGCAGGCGGGCGCAAGTACTGGTCCGACTTATGGCCGGGGGAGATATCAGGATTTAAAGCGAAGGCTTACCCCACAGCGCCCATACCCCCCTTGCCGGTATTCAGAAGCAGTACGCTTCAGCGGCAACTCGTTGTTGAAAGCCTACAAAGCTGAAAAGCCTCCACACCCTTTGAAGGTGCCTAAGTTACACCAATGCTTGGCGGGAACGGCCTGGTGGTGTGTCGGCCGGATGCGTGCCGAGGAGCTGGGACCGCCCCGCCTCCGTCCCGTGGCCGGGAAACTCCGCCGTGACGTCACGCGTCCCGGCCTTGACGTCACCGAACGGCGGCGTCGCCCGCTTGGCCCGCCGCCACGCTCGCCGACTGCGGTACCCCCTGATCCACCCATTGCATCGTGTCGCCGATGCGGTCCTGTTCCACCCGTGGCATCGTGTCACCGATGCGCTCCTGTTCCACCCGTGGCAGCGTGTCGTCTCAAGCAGCTGTGCGAGGGTCGGCGAGGGTCCGGTCAGAGCAGGGGAGGGGGGGGGGGGACACTGGGGAACCCCCACAGCTGAGTCAGCTTGGTGTATCGGACATTGATGAGAGGGGGGGGGGGATAGGACGGTTATCAGCGGGTCGATTGAACGTGAGCCAGAAAAAATCAACATGAATCGTTTTGTACGTTTTGACCGCGTGATCTTGCGATTTGGGATCACGTGATTTAGCATGTCACCGTGGCATAGTTTCATGAAGCGAGTCTACGAACCTACGAATTTACGCCATATCGAAGTACAAAGTGTAAATAAGCCGGTTTCATAAAGGCTGGTAAACCCATAGGTGCATTAAAGCAGTGAGAATGTACAACTTTTCTTCTTGACAATGTAAACACAGTTGAAACCTTTTGGCGCTCAAACGCCAGAGATGGATTTTACCAATCATATTGTTTGTCTAAAGCGATCATTGATTGTGATGTTGAAACTTGTCAAGCTGCGCCTCGGTCTGCCGGAGAAATTACAACCGTATGTCGTCAGATTGGAACAGAAATAACTGCAGTCTCGTTTTCCAGTACACAAACGTTGTGCAGTCAACCCACTTGTCATCTAGGCCCTCCGACAGCGCAGTCCGTGGGTGGTATGTTGTTCGCGCTGCTCTCTAGCTTGTCGTGCCGGGTTGGCCTCTGGTTTTCTAGCCCGGGCTGTGTAGTTTCCTCGCGTGTTTCGTTCAATCATTGCAGGATTAGTGTGCATTGCCGTTATACGGGAAGCAGCCTCCGTCTGCCGCGTTGTTTTTGCTTCCCTCACTAGCTCCCTGCGTGTTCCAGCTGGCCATGGCCCAAGCTAAGTGGGTAGAGGCAGAGCTAAAGAAGCTGAACCCCCAGCTGGAGACAGAAATAGGTGAGATGGGTGCTCCAATGATGCGTCGTGTCTTTCCCTCCCGTGCGGTGCCCCCTCCGCTGACGTGTGTCTTGCCATGTTCCATCTCGTCTTGTGAAAACGTTTGTGCCGTTGATTTGCGCTGTCGTTAATGCAGACGCATGTTAGGCTGGCGGCGGGGTGGAACGACGGCTCGGTGTGCGGTGCCTTTGCATGACTAAGCTCGCAGTGTGCATTTCAGGTCCGTTTCTGCCACTTTTCCGTGCGATTGTCATCGAGCGGGCGTCGATCACGCAGATTTTACCCGTTCTCGATTTTGGTGCTAGTGTGTGTTACATAAAAACGCGGTCACGGCTTGCGGTGGTGAACAGTTATTCCGTCTGCATGTGCGGTTGTGTGCGTTTTTTGCCCGATTTTGAACCTAGTTTAAGTTGTGTAACAACACGTTTGTTGTTTACAACTGTGAGAAGTCATCCTGTCTATATGTTCGATTGTGTGCGGTCGTTGGTCCCGATTTTGAAACTAGCTTGAGTTGCACAACAACCCGTATGCTGTTGACTACGGAGAATGTATATCTCGCCAGCAATTGCGGTTTCACAAAGGACATGAGCTTGGGGACTATAATTGTGATGCACCTGCGTTCTTCAGCTCGACCCCGGTGTGTGGCCGGTTGTTGAGGCGTCGTTGCTGAACCAGCCATCTGTCTGTCGTCAGTGGGGATGACCACTACTGGTGACCAGATCTTAAACAAGCCTCTCAGCAAGATCGGCGAGAAGAGCCTGTTCACCAAGGAACTGGAGCGGGCGCTGGAGGAGGGGAAGGTGGACATGGTGGTGCACTCGCTCAAGGACCTGCCGACCACTCTGCCGCCCGGCATGATCATTGGCGCCATTTGCGAGTGAGTCCTCTCGGTCGGGCGGCGTCCGCCTCTGGTGAGTCCTCTCGGCCGGGCGGCGTCCGCCTCTGGTGAGTCCTCTCGGCCGGGCGGCGTCCGCCTCTGGTGAGTCCTCTCGGTCGGGCGGCGTCCGCCTCTCGTGAGGCCGATTCTGAAGAATGTGACCCGGCCGCCCGCCCGTCTAGTGCTGGCGCTATTGCGGGTCAAACAGTGCTGACATCGCCAAATGATGGTTCACAGTGCGTTCTGTCACACCGTGTAGCTGGCTTCATTTCTAACCATGCTCCGGCCGCTGAGATTGACAAAAGTCCGTACAGACGCCCCCCAAAATAGGCCGACATCGCGTGGTTGGCGCTCGGGTGCGCGTGATGGTCTACGTCCGCCGACCCATGCCGCCACTGATGCGACGGAGCCTCTCCCCCTCTGGCATTGGTAGTTACTATGATGTCGCCGCGACGTGTGGTCCACAAGATCTTGGTCTGTATCATACTTTCCGGCTTTTTACAGTTTGACATTCTCACTTCGCATGATTTGCGAAGGCGAAGACAAAATTCTGTGGACGATGCAGCGTCACAGAAGCACTTGCTTAATCAAGCAGCTTACATGCTTGCCTTGGAAATCTTACTGCACACATTAGAGGTCTGCTTCCTTTTACTAAAAGCGTCGTGGCGACACGACCAGTCTGGCTCTGAACATGAAGGCCAGTGCAAAGTGCGCTCGGTCGGTGCTAGGCGGCTGGAGCTCCGCAGGCACCGCCTCGCTGATAATCGCTGTCTTGCGCCGTCGGATCTGCCGACATAACGTCACGGCAGCAGTGCAGCGCGGTCGTGCGGGCCTGGGCCTGGGGCTCGGCGTTGCCCGTCGTCTCCGGCCGCGCGCTGTGTGCATTGCTCGGCGCTGAAGCGGTGTGCCCTGTCGCCGGTTATGTGTCGGCAGGCAGGTGCGGCCCTCGGCCGGTCGGTCCGTGAGGGGGGGGGGGCTGGTATGACACTCCGCACCGCGCGCACCACACACAGCCGACGCGACCCCCAACCGCCCGGGACTATATTGAGAAGGGCCCGAACCCGGATCGGGCAGACAAGGGGATGTGGATGACGGGCAGTGGCTGCTCTACGGCTCACGTCAATTCGCATGATGTTCTGCGTTTCGAATGATGTTGCACAAAGATTCTAACGAAACGTTCTGTTGTTAATTGTCATTCCGAAACATCCCCCCCCCAATACCTGCAAAGGATTGCTGCGATCTAAATCTTTCCTTATCATTTTTTAGTATACGTTGCGTTTTCGCGCAGCTGAATTTAACAGCGGTCCCGTCATTACATAAAGTGATCGTGCACTTGATCACGTTTCTTCTGCGAGGCATGCATTCAGGATTTCTCCCACAGGGTGGTCGGCGATTTCTTCAGAAGGGTGCCGGGCGCCCCCCCCCCCCTCCCGCCTGTAGCATGTGTGCTAGATTAAAGCATGCCGGCTTGCAACCACAAGGCCGCGCCACCCGTCGCTGCAGTTGGCATAGACAGCGGCAGTGGGCCCAGGCTGTGCACCGCGCGGCTGCCGGCGGGCGGTGTATAACGACCCAAGGTCCGCGCCAGTGGCGGGCGGGATACGATGCGGGGCCTCGGGCATCGGCGTAGGGCACTCAGAACCAACGGAAAATTCAAAGACCAACGCGGAAGGCCCCTCACCGATCGAGAGTGCTTAAAGTTTGGTTAAGGACCGCGTCAACAGCGTGAGGGCCCCCGAACGGCTTAATGCACCCCAAATATTATCTATGCACGACGCTCGCAATCAGTTACGAGACCTTTTGTCAGCTTTTGGGCCATTCATCTCTGATTGCGACCCTTCTTGACCGCCGTAAGGCTCGAAGGTGGGAAAATTGTTGCGTCCGGCGTAAAAAAAAACGCCAGGGAGACGATCACCTCGTTGCCCCCCCCCCCCGCCCCTCCCCTCCTCCCATCTTTGATCCGCCTCTGTCTCGTGCTGTCTCATGTAAGGGGGGAGGGGGCTCAGAGGAAGCACCTGGCGACCAGGCAGTTGTCAGCAAAAATGTGGAGCGCCACAGGTGGAGGCGGCTGGCGCCCGGTGCGATGCCGCCCTCACGTGATGAATGACAGGCGGCTTCATGGTCAGCCGGCCGGTCCCAATGCTCCGTCGACACGTCCGCGCGTCAACACAGCGCCAGGCTACAACACGACACGCGACACGCGTCGTGGGCGAGGTCCAAAGGCAGTAAGATCTGAGTGCTATTTTACCTAATGGCGCAACGGCCTCTTTGCCTTTGGACGGCATATTTTCAATGGACACGTCAGACGAGCGGAGATAGTATCGCACCGAGCGGCAAGCCCGCGGCCACCTTGACCTCAGTTGCTGGTGTGTCAGCCCGAGGCCCCTGCTGCCGATGGCGGGCTGTTGCTCTGGTCGGTGCGGGCGCTGACGGCCTGGCCTGGCCCGCTTACAGGCGCGAGGACCCCAGGGACGCCGTGGTCATGAAGGAGGAGCACCGCACCAAGCGGCTGACCTGCCTTCCCGCCGGCAGCATCATCGGTGAGCGGCGGCCGCCGGCCGGCAGCCAGCGCAGTCGTCCTGCACGGGCCGCGACGGTGCACCTCGTGCTGGGCGGCTGTGGGGTATCGGCCGCGATGACTCGGCTGTTGCTGTCTGTAACAGATGACAGCCGAGTGTCTGCTGTCCATGACAGCAACACCAGTCTGGTAGTATCGTTGGGTGGTGGTAGCCGTGGTTTCATCGTGTGTCTGGTAAACCAGAGGTTCGGAGTTCTAGTCCCCGCGGCGACCGCCATCTCGCGAGCTTGAGAGGATGGTGTGAGCCGGCCGTTTGACGGCGTATGTGACCGGACCGGCCGCACCCAACAGGCACCTCGTCGCTGCGCCGGGCGGCCCAGCTGCAGCGGCGCTACCCGCAACTGACCATCTCCTCGGTGCGCGGCAACCTCAACACGCGGCTACGCAAGCTGGACACGGGCGACGGCGAGGCAGCGTTCGACGCCATCGTGCTGGCCGTCGCCGGCATCACGCGCATGGGCTGGGCGGACCGCATCAGCCACGTGAGTAGCGCCGCTGCGCGCTCGACGCCACCGTTCAGAGCTTCAGCGGATGACTGAGCGCACGTTAGGGCGACCTTTTACGTCGGCTATCACTGCAGACATTGTACGGTTTACGCCGACCTTTTAGTTGTGCCGTGTTTGGCATCGGTGTCCGTTCGCCGTTGAGCCCGGCTGGTCTGGTCCTGGCCCCGGCGCGTGTCCGTCCTTATCGTTCGCCGTTGAGCCCGGCTGGTCTGGTCCTGGCCCCGGCGCGTGTCCGTCCTTATGTGCCACCTGTCGACGCGGCGTCACAGCGGCGTCCGTTGGTGTGCCGCCAGGTACTCTCCCACGAGGACTGCATGTACGCGGTGGGCCAGGGCGCGCTGGGCCTGGAGTGCCGGGACGGCGACGCGGCCGTGCTGCGGCTGGTGGCGGAGCTGGCCGACCGGCCGACGCGGCTGAGCTGCGTGGCGGAGCGCGCCTTCCTGCGCCAGCTGGAGGGCGGCTGCTCGGTGCCGGTGGCCGTGCGCTCGCAGCTGCACGACGAGACGCTGCACCTGACCGGCGGCGTCTGGAGCCTGGACGGAAGCCAGGAGATCCGGCGCACGCTGGCCGTGCAGCTGCCGGCCGGCGGTGACGGCGACGGCGACGACGGCGACGCCAGGCCCGGCTGCAGTAACGGCGGCGGGGACGGTCAGCCGCCACACTTCGTGGCCGTCTGGGCGCCGAGCAGTGAGCACGCTCGGCTGGCTGCCGCCGAGAAGCTGGGGGTCGATGTGGCCAACCTGCTGCTGCAGCTCGGCGCCAAACCCATCCTGGAGGCGGCCAAGGCAGCCAACGACGCGACCACAGGCTGATGAGGCGCCGGCAGCCCCTGAGCTGGGCCATGGTTGGCCCTGTTTGCGGGGCTGAGGCCGTGCCTTCGCGGCCTCCCGGCTTAGGTGCTCGCATCCTCATGACAAGCCTATGCAGTGTTGTGTCGGGCGGAAGATTAGTGCAATCGCTGCGCCGCGCCTGGCAGTAGCCGCCATATTGTTTGTTACAAATTTGGTTCTGTTGGCTGTTTTGCTATCCTTTACAAGCTTTACATGAACGTTTTCGGTGCGAGCCTTCGCCGTGTGCCTCTTTGTCCGGTTACATGGCTTGACATCGCGGCTGGGTCCTGTTTCTCTCCGTCCATCAGTCGGGTCAGGCGCTGCCTCGGTGCGCCTCTCCTCAGCGACTTTATAGCGACGCACGCGGCCCCGCACCGGGCCGCTGCGCTGGGAGAGGGCGAGGGAGGCGGGGCTGTTCCCTGGCACGTGACGCGCCGCCACGGCCGGACTGGTCGTGTACCGGCGCCGCGAGTAGGAGTTGCGGGAGTGCGCTAGAACGGGACGTGGTGGCGGCAACATGTCCGAGCGCGGTCGGTCGGGCCAGAGCGACGACGGGTTCGAGTGCGGTCGGTCGGTCGGTCTGGCCGCAGCGACGACGGGTTCGAGCGCGGTCGTTCGGTCGGTCTGACCGCAGCGGCGACAGGTTACAGCGCGCGACGCGGTGACGGGTGGGAGCGCGGTCGATCGGTCGGGCCGTGTCAGAGCTTACGCCGCATTTTAAGTGCGGCATAGATCCTGGATCTATATCTGACAGCGAACAAATGCCGTGTAGTCTGTCTGAATCATATATTTATGCATACGAATCGGGTTAAGTTGGTGGATATATATGTTGGCATATCGTGTTAAACGTTTCGCAACGAAGATAGTTTTCCGCGACCGGGTGAGACCACGTCAGCAGACAACGCAGTGCCATTACCACTCAGATGAAGCTAAAAGCATAGGATAGCTGAGGACGAGCGGGCAGAAATAAGGAGCGGGTGCGGGCACCCCATGCAGACGTCACTACAAAAGCGGGGGGGGGGGGGGGCGGACGCGTCACCACTGTGCGGCCGTCCGTCCACCGGCGGCGGCGACGGACAGCCGGCAGTCTAGACGCGTCCGCCAGTACTGCTGCTCCACAGCCGGTCCTGGCTTGCGCGTCTGCCTCCACTTCCTCCAGAATGGGGCAAACAATAATTGGACCGAGCACTTTCGGGAACGGTGCGGATCACCGTCACAAATTAAACGCCACCAATCACTGGTGGATTCGTAACTACCTCGCGTCGTTCAGTTCAAACCGCGGATGACCACACGCGAAAGGACGTACGCCGAGGCGGGCGTCTCCCGCAGGCCAGTCGACTCTTCGACAGCGACCTCCGGACCGCCAGTCGCCGCTAGGCGGCGTCGCCGGAGCCGTACATGAAGAGCTGGTCGCGCGTCACGCGGTTGGCTTTCATGCGCTTGAGCGCGCGCAGGGCGCGTTTGGCCGCCGTGCACTTGGCGATGCGGTAGTTGCGGCCGAGCCCCTTGTACGAGCCCTTGCCGAACACCTCGACCGTGACGCGCACCTTGCCTTTGATGCAGCGCTCGGGCCTCCTGCCGGAGGAGGCGGCGGTCAGAGTCGGGCCCGGCCGGCACCGGCGGCGGGTCTGGAGCCGCACCAGCGCCGCTGCCCAGGGGTACAATGCTCTTCCAGCCCACAGGAACACACGTACGCGCGCTGAACGGGTGACGGTTATGACGCGGCCGCACGCAAGGCCACTGAGATATAACCGGTCCACGAGATGGCCGGCCGGCCGGTCCACGAGAGCGCGGCGGCGGGGCGGGCGCAGGCTCACGTACTTGAACTTGGCCGTGTCCGGCTCCAGCTCGAGCAGCTCGCGGATCGGCGACTTGGGTACACGCTCGCTGAACGCCTCTGCAACGGAGTTGGGGCGGAGTGACGGCGGGCACGTCGCCCACCTCCGACTGCACAGCACCCGACCTCGGTCAGACACGCATCGATCCTCGTCAGACTAGCTGATCATCACACTCAGCAGCGCATCAAACCGATCGGATGGACATGGTCTTGACGCTTTAACACCTCAATTAGCGAGCGGACACGTGCGAGCCCACGCGGTCGTCCCGTAAAGCAGGGGCGAAATACAGTGCACGCCATGCAGACCCCACTACAACATTGCTCACGAAACATAACAGGCGGAGCAGAAATTAATTAGGCGTGACCACCGTGGAAAGTAGCTCCCACTAGCAATGCCGTGTTGTTCGTTACACAATCACCTGACAGTTGCAACCAGGAAAACCGACCCTCGGTCTGATGGCGTTTCGTAACGGCCAGCCGCCGCCAAGGCTGGTTACGACACCCGCCAGACAGCCCTAAAGCCAGCTCAGACCGGGGACCGGGGAAGCAGCTTCGGGACCGCGCAGCCTCCGACGGCGTGCGGCCGACAACCGGCGGCCAACAGCGGCGCCAGTCCACTGTGTGCCGGAGGGGTCGCCTGTCGCCGCGCGACCGTCCGGCGTCGGGGGTCGTACCGATCTCGGTCTGCATCATGCCGTAGTAGACGCGCCACACGGTGTCCAGCGACATGCCCGAGTCCAGGTAGATGGCGCCGGCCACCGACTCGAACACGTCGCCCAGCGCCTTGGGCACCTCGATGTCCTCGGCCTCGTCGCACTCGTCCTCCTGGATGTACAGGTACTGAGGGCGGTGCAGATGGGGCTGGTCAGATACTGAGGCCGGCGCAGATGGGGCTGGTCAGATACTGAGGCCGGCGCAGATGGGGCTGGTCAGATACTGAGGCCGGCGCAGATGGGGCTGGTCAGACACTGAGGCCGGCGCAGATGGGGCTGGTCAGATGCTGAGGTCGGCGCAGGTGAGGCTGGTCAGATACTGAGGGCGGCGCAGGTGGGGCTGGTCAGATACTGAGGTAGGCGCAGGTGGGGCTGGTCAGATGCTGGGGGCGGCGCAGTGGGCCTGGTCAGATCCTGAGGGAGGCGCAGGTTCGACTGGTCAGATGCTGGGGGCGGGGAGGCCGACAGGCAGGTCGGGTCGGACATAAGCGGAGGGACGGGCGAGGCAGATCAGGTCAGGTCAGCTTCTAAGGGCGGGACAATCGAGGCTGAACGGGTAGGGGTGGTAAGGTACTGGGGTTTGTGAGTCGAACTGGGGGTGGAGGTCCTTAACTGGAGGCGGGGGTCCCGCACTGGGGGTGGGGGTTTCGAACTGGAGGTGGGGGGGGGGTCTTTAACTGGGGGTGGGGTCAGATACTGAGGAGAGGTCATCATTGGGGCTTTACGACGCTCTCAGCTTCTGAGGCGTCGCCGGCCTATCACCCTGGAAGGAAGGGCGGGCACCGCGGGAACCGGACTCCGCACCTCTGGTTTCCCAGACGCGCAGTGATTAACGCAGACGTGTCAACCACTACACTTCCGCCACCTAGCACTGGGGAGAGGGCACAGGTGCCAAGGCGGAACGGGGTGGATGAAGTACTGAGGGTTGGGGGATATGTGACCGCTGGAGTGGGCACGCCCTAAAGCTCAAATAATCATCACCCTCAAGTACCGAGGGCGGGGAATGCTAGACAGTGGGGACAGGACGGGACGTGGGGCGGGCCAGGTACGGGGGGCGGGGACGAGGCAGCGCAGGCGCCACACCACCACGCAGCAGACAAGACACCCCAGACAGTACGACTGCCGTGCTTCACATCGGCGCGAGGCACGTATTTCGGAAAACACGCGGGGCACGTGCCGGGCTGCACGTGGAAACGAAACCGGAGCTGGTGTCTACAGCTGATGCTGCAGGCCACAGTCCTGGCGGGCCGGAGTATCCCGCGTGGACCGGCGCCGACCAGCACGCATGAGCGCCGGCAGCGCCCTCCCCTCCCCTCCGGAGACTCTCACCTCCTCAGTGATGCGGTCCCGGCCCACGTACGCCGACAGGAACTTGGTGATGACCTGGTTGAGGCCGGGCGAGTAGTGCAGAAAATACTTGTGAAAGTTGAAGCGGACGGCGAGCGTGGCGAAGATGGCGTTGTTGACCAGCGCCGAGCGGAGGTCGGTCAGCGCCCCCGGGCTGTGGTTCCGCGGGTCCTCGTACAGGTGCCGTGTGATCAGGTAGTCTGCCGGCACGGGGGTCATGAGATGGGGGTCAGCGGTCCGACCGGGTCCTCGTACAGGTGCCGCGTGATCAGGTAGACTGCCGGCGCGGGATCATGAGATGGGGGTCAGCGGTCCGACCGGGTCCTCGTACAGGTGCCGTGTGATCAGGTAGTCTGCCGGCGCGGGATCATGAGATGGGGGTCAGCGGTCCGACCGGGTCCTCGTACAGGTGCCGTGTGATCAGGTAGTCTGCCGGCGCGGGATCATGAGATGGGGGTCGGCGGTCCGACCGGGTCCTCGTCAGGTGCCGCGTGATCAGGTAGTCTGCCGGCGCGGGATCATGAGATGGGGGTCAGCGGTCCGACCGGGTCCTCGTACAGGTGCCGTGTGATCAGGTAGTCTGCCGGCGCGGGATCATGAGATGGGGGTCAGCGGTCCGACCGGGTCCTCGTACAGGTGCCGTGTGATCAGGTAGTCTGCCGGCGCGGGATCATGAGATGGGGGGTCAGCGGTCCGACCGGGTCCTCGTACAGGTGCCGTGTGATCAGGTAGTCTGCCGGCGCGGGATCATGAGATGGGGGTCAGCGGTCCGACCGGGTCCTCGTACAGGTGCCGTGTGATCAGGTAGTCTGCCGGCGCGGGATCATGAGATGGGGGTCAGCGGTCCGACCGGGTCCTCGTACAGGTGCCGTGTGATCAGGTAGTCTGCCGGCGCGGGACCATGAGATGGGGGTCAGCGGTCCGACCGGGTCCTCGTACAGGTGCCGCGTGATCAGGTAGTCTGCCGGCGCGGGATCATGAGATGGGGGTCAGGGGGTCCGACGCTCACCCAGAACAGCCAGGGACAGGCGCGGGACGCTAATAACGACCACGGCTGTGGGCCGTGGGCCCCCGCGGTCTCTCGCGCGTTGGCGATCAAGGGACGGGGAGCTAGCCGTTTGGCGACACATGGAAAATCAAGGGCACGGTTTGTCGACACATAGAAAATCGCCCTGGACCGCACTGGCGACCTGCGGACCCACTCCGAGGCGTAAGGCAAAGCGTTCGAGCCGCCACATCGTCCGCCACATCACCCGCCACATTAAACGCCACATCGCCCGCCACATCACTCGTCACATCACCCGCCATATCATCCACCAGATCATCCGTCACATCATCCGCCACAGCGGCAGCGCGTACCGAGCACGGCGTCACCGAGAAACTCCAGCCGCTGGTAGCAGTCGGTCAGCGTGTTGCGGTGGTACGAGGCGTGCGTGAACGCCTGCAGCAGGTAGAACTTGTCGCGGAACTCGTACTGGATGCTGGCTTCGAAGCGTTCGAGTCCGCTGAGCAGCGGCGCCGCCAGCCGCAGCGGCTGGGGCACGTCGCTGCTGACCGGGCTGGGCGGCGGCGCCAGCTGGCCGTAGGCGATGCGCCGGCTGATGGGCGCCGGCGGCCCGGCCGGTCGACGTCGCTGGCGCTCCAGCACCGGGTTACGCGGCAAGTCCTCGTCGACGCCGTCCAGCCGCGGCAGCACCTGGTGGCCGGGCGCGGTCTCACGTGCGGGCCCGGAGGCATGCGGGCCGCCACGGCCGCCAGACGAACGCGCCAGTCAAACGGCAGCTCCGGCAATAAAATGCCGGCTACTAAGCAAACGTTGAGTTAAGCCTATTGTTCGGCGATTTATGCATGATTTTGGCATGTGAGGTTATATTTACAAAACCTTTCTTGTTGATGAGCTTGTTAAAACCGCGATACTTCGGCCTGAACATGGGTCAAGGGTGTCATCTGGAGAAGTACGAAAAAGGTTCGGTTACTCGAAAATTCTTCGGATTTGGCAGCCCACATCGTGGAAACACTTGACAACCCTTGGAAACACGAAAACACACCTGGTAGATGTAAATCTGACTCTTCAGCCTCTCCTATCCCACCAAGGCGGGGTCCACACCCTCCCCGGCTGACACCTGCCCTCCTCCCCCCCCCCCCCCCGCTGTTCAGCCCGGGCTCACCTTAATGCCGAGCCACGTCATGAAGACGAGCGCACCCTTGGGGCCGCACGATACCAGGTAGGCGCCGATCAGCGACTCGACGCAGTCGGCGATGCTCTTGTCGGGGATGCTCTGCTGCGTCAGCAGGTTGTACGGCAGGAAGGAGGGCATGGCGCCGGCGTCCAGCGGCGCGTCCTCGGCCAGCTGCTTCATGCGCTGGCACTTGTCGCGCACCAGACGTCGCACCTCCGCCTCCCCGGACACCTGTCCAGGGCGGCCCGGTCACGTGGTCAGCAGCGGCCGGCGTCAAGGCGTCACGAACCTTCGACAGCGGGCGTCATGGCGTTGCGAACGCGAACCTCCCCCCCAACACAGCGACTACGGACACCGCGGACAGCGACAGCGGCACCGCCCGGGCAGCGGCGCCTCAGGACAGCGGCACCGCTGGAGCTGTCGGCACAGTTACCGTCCGGCGACACCTGAGCGCCGGACACGCTGGGCAAGCAGTACCAAGAGGCAGGCCGCCGTGTGTCGGCCGTCGGCACGGCTCAGCCGGCGGCAGACTCGGCGCGCGGCGGGCACACGGTTCGGTGGACCAGCGGTGCCGGCCGTCGGCACGGCTCAGCCGGCGGCAGACTCGGCGCGCGGCGGACACACGGCTCGCTGGAGCACCGGTGCCGGCCGTCGGCACGGCTCAGCCGGCGGCAGACTCGGCGCGCGGCGGACACACGGCTCGCTGGAGCACCGGTGCCGGCCGTCGGCCCGCTTCAGGAGGCCGGGGGCGGGGGGAGGGGAGGCTCCACCTCTTACCTGCGCCAGGTCGGTCATGTCAGCCAGGTTCAGGTGGCTAGCCGGCACGCCCGATACGACGATCTCCTCCTCGAGGCCCTCGGGCACCGTGTAGCCGGGCGGCAGCCAGTTGTCGTGCGGCTCAAACTTGGCTGCCACCATCAGCTGGCCCAGGCCCTTGGCGCGCCCCAGCCGGTACAGGTTCAGGTTGCTGACCTGCTTCGAGCGCAGATAGCTGAGCTTGCCCTCGTGAATGCTGGGGTACGTGAGGTACAAGTGCGCCGTGATGGCAAACTTGAGGAACGAGTCGCCGACCGTCTCCAGCCGCTCCAGGTTGATGCCGTCGTTGGCGTTGGACATGGTGAGCGCCTGCAGCACGAGCGCCGGGCTCGGCCCCGCGTGCGTGTCCAGGTCCGGCTGGAGGTCGAAGCCCGTCGGGCCACCGCCGGCGGCCGGCGTCGCCAGGATTACTTGGCCCGGCGCGCAGCTGCCCGCGCCTTCTGGTGCACTTTCACCACTACGGATCTCATAGTCTGGACGCGTAGTAGTGCCAGAAGACGTGGGCCGCGGATCGGCGGGCGGTGGGGCCGGCCGTCGCGGCACCGGCCGCGCCTCAGCCTCAGTTCCAGCCGGCGGCGGCGGCGACGGCGGCGGCGGCGGCGGCGGCGGCGGCGGCGAGGTGACGGCGGCGACCGACTGCTGCTGACGACGGCCGAGCAACAGCTGCTCGAGCGTACCATCGGCCGGCAGAAGGCAACGACGGCCGATTCGACGCCGTGCCTCCTCTACCTTCCGCTCCATGCGCTCGCGCACCGCCTCCACCGTGACGAAGTTTTCGTCGAAGTCGAACACGTCCTCCTCTTCGGGTTCGGGGGGCGGGGCGGCCGGCCGCGGCTCCGGCTCCGCCTCGTCCTCGTCCTGGTCCTGGTCGGAGCTGGTGTCGCTCAGCTCGGACTCGTCCGAGCCGGGGCTGGCCGGCCGGCCGGCGTTCGAATCGCCCCAACCGTCCCAGCCGCCGCCGCCGCCGCCGCCGCCGCTCAGGTACGTGGGCGAGCCGTAGCGGACGCCGCCGGCGCCGGGCGCCGCGCCCCAGTCGACGGCAGCCAGCTCGGCGTCGGCGGCCGGCTCCGCCAGCAGCGTGACGGCCGCTGGCAGCGCCAGATCTGGCCCCAGCACCGCCAGGTCCAGCTCGTCGGCCGACGGCGGAGCGCACCCCAGCAAGTCGTTACTCCAAGTGCCTGCCGGGAGGGTCGTCTCATTCAAGGCACCATCTAAATCGTCCCCAATATTCCATTCATCATCATAATGCCATCATAACACCAGCCGATAGTGGTCGCAGTCGCACTGCTCCAACAGGCGGTCTGCATGCTTGGCAGAACTGTGAACACCACGGCAGGACTTTACGATGGGACTTCCAGACCATCTTTTGCTGATCCATAGCTCAATTTCAGACCATTCCGCGCGGTTCAGACCAGCCTACCTTGCGAGGCGTCAAGTCCCACCTGTTTGCCAGTTAAATTTAGCGGGACATACGACGCTGACCACACCTCACCAATATCGAACTGCGGCCCGCGGAGCCGTTTGGCCTCGACGGCCGTCTTCTTGTCTGCGAGCTCCTTGCTCGCGATCTTCGGCGGCGAGCCGGCGTCGCGGTCGGGGGCCGCGGCCGGCGCCTCGCCGGCGAGCTCTGAGGTCTTGTCCCGACGCTGCAGCACTTCAGCCAGACTCCAGCCGAAGTCGAGCTGCGGCCAGCTGGCGCCTACGCCGCGCGCGCCCGCGGGGTGTCACACACCACAGAGTCCCGGCGCGACGGCCGGCCACGGCGGCCCGCCCGGCACGCGCTGCGGTCGGCCATACCGGCCACTGCACAACACGCTACGCCGTCTGGTGCAGCACTGGTATGAATATAGGTACCCAGAGCGTCTGAATATAGACACGAAAATCTCGTTAACAGCGTTGCTCGCTCATGCCACTCATCTTTGTAACAAACTGGCTATAATTGGGCATGAGTTACTGATACATCCGCGAGCATCCCTACTGAAACGTTAGAGAACTTCATAGGTTGTCACACGTCTGATCAAGCTGCAGAACTGGGCATACCGCGGTCGACATATCCCACCAGGTGAACGAGACAGCTCTTACAAGTCCCAGATCCGCACATACGCCAGGTGTAACACATAGCGTCCACCACGCACCCGTCTCTACCTGAAACACCTCTATCCTCCCAGTGCCATATCCCACAAACGGACCAACTCTAGCTTGCGGCGACCGAGCTGCGCTCAGCGCCGCTAGCAGCGCCCAGCCCAGCCCGGCCCGGTTGGGCTGGGCTGGGCTGGGCTGGGCTGGGCTGGGCTGGGCCGGGCCCGGTCGGCGGCGTCGATCATACCTGGCGGCAGGTGAGACGTGCCCAGGTGCACCTCGAGCGCCACGCGCCGCCGCAGACCGTCGGCCACCAGCAGGCCGTTGAGTCGATACAGCACCGAGGGCAGCGTGACCACCTTGCGCCACAGGGACGCCGGCAGTGGGTGCACCGTGCACAGCTCGGGCACCAGGATCTGCTTCTGCTGCAGGGACTCGCGCTTGGCCCGCTTGGTCTCCGAGCTGGCCGCCGGCAGCGCCACGCCCTTGCGGTTGACGAACCTGCCGGCAGGCGGCGCCGTCGGCGGCAGGCCGGGCGTCAGGCGGCGGGAGTCCCCACCAAGCCAGCCACGGAGCCGTGTCAGGCCATCAACGCGGCTTTGAAGGCCGAACCTACCACACAACATCAGTGCATACCATTTACCTGACGCATAAATGCGACCAAACTTATAAATACATAGCTCATATGTAAAATATCCCATAAGACGCTTCAATAGCCCTTGTACTACCCTACATCAAATACGCACATCGGAGAATGACGGCAATGACGGCAGACGGTCTATTGTCCCCAGAAGGTGCTGTCGACTGCCTGCGGACAGAGAGCCCACCTCGGCGTCAGCAGGTTTAGGCGGGCCGACGTGTGGTCCACGTCCAGCAGTGGCTGCTTCTGGTTCTGGATGCGGATGCCGTACTTGCTGTGGTAGTACTCGGTGAAGGTCTGGAACTGGTCGTCCGGGAACTCGGAGCCCGGGTTCAGCTGATGACATATCTCAGCCACGTAGAAGAACTGCCGGCAAACAAATGGTGCAACACAATGACATGTCCCAAACAATCAGAACTGCCGGAAGACAGTAACCTCCAGCTGCCGTTTATCTCAGCGACCCGACGATCGATAACCCGATGACCTCGGCTCGTCGCCGACCCTGGGCACAAAATATGGCAAGAGCACGCCGACTTATCAGCAACGAGCCCCTCCCGCGGAGAGCAGAGAGTGTGACGCGCGCCGACCGGGGGCGAGGGCGCCGACACACACCTGCGGCTGGTCCTGGTTGCGGTACCAGGGCATGATGACGGCGTCGTGGAACGTTTGGCGACTGAACTGGAAGTCTCGCCGCTGCTCGTCGCTCAGCGGCAGCAGCTGGTCGTCGTAATGAGGCGTCACCTGGTCCAGGAAGGTCCAGTCCAGCGCCAGGCCGTCCGCACCGTCTGGGGACGCGTCGGCAGACCGGTGACGGCTCGGTAAGCACTTCACACGACTTATACGGGGGTCACGCGAAGGCCCTCCGAAGACAAAGGTCCGGCAGCCAGCCTGGTGGGGGACAGCAGCAGCGCGGTGAGGCCAGGCAGCCAGCCTGGCGTGGATAGCAGTCGTGGGAGAAGGCCCGGCAGTCGAAGAGGTGTAGACGCAAGCAATGTGGTAAGGCCTGGCAGCCAGCCTGGCGTGGACACCAGCAGTGCGGTAAGGTCAGCCAGCCGGGGAGGTGTGGACGGCAGCCAGGGCGACATCCAAAAGATATAGCAGCCGTGCGACGTAGCACCATACCACAGCCTTAAACGCACGTATGACGCCTGGCACACGGACACACAGCTTCCATTGGAATGCTGCTAAACGTCAGCACGCTGCAAAGCAGGTTGAGCCGTATAGCTGCTTCACCCCAGCACAGGATCCTCTGTGATTCCAATCGCATCCCCAGCCGGCTCACCGGAGTTGATGGGCACCACGAAGAAGGCGCTGCAGCTCTCAGCTGGCACGAAGCGCATGGGGAACTTCTCCAGGCGCAGCACGCCCGAGAAGACGAACCGGTGGAAGGCGGCCAGCTGGCGCAGCTGGTCAGCGTCGGGCCGCAGTTCGGCCGTCACCAGGCGCACGTTCACCACCACCTCACCCGAGCGCGTGAAGATCGGGAACGCGCACACCTGGCGGCGGCCAACTCCGGTCAGCGGCCGACTCTGCCACGGACCAGTACACAGTCCCAGCAGCACGGCCACGGACCAGTACACAGTCCAAGCAGCACCGCCACGGACCAGTACACAGTTCCAGCAGCACGGCCACGGACCAGTACACAGTCCCAGCAGCACTGCCACGGACCAGTACACAGTCCCAGCAGCACTGCCGCGGACCAGTACACAGTCCCAGCAGCACGGCCACGGACCAGTACACAGTCCAAGCAGCACCGCCACGGACCAGTACACAGTTCCAGCAGCACGGCCACGGACCAGTACACAGTCCCAGCAGCACTGCCACGGACCAGTACACAGTCCCAGCAGCACTGCCACGGACCTGTACACAGTCCCAGCAGCACTGCCACGGACCAGTACACAGTCCCAGCAGCACTGCCACGGACCAGTACACAGTCCCAGCAGCACGGCCACGGACCAGTACACAGTCCAAGCAGCACGGCCACGGACCAGTACACAGTCCAAGCAGCACGGCCACGGACCAGTACACAGTCCCAGCAGCACTGCCACGGACCAGTACACAGTCCCAGCAGCACGGCCACGGACCAGTACACAGTCCAAGCAGCACGGCCACGGACCAGTACACAGTTCCAGCAGCACTGCCACGGACCAGCACACAGTCCAAGCAGCACTGCCACGGACCGGTATACAGTCCCAGCAGCACTGTGACGGACCAGTACGCAGTCCAAGCGGCACTGCGACGGACCAGTACACAGTCCAAGCAGTACTGCCGCGGACCAGTACACAGTTCAAGCAAAACTACAACGGACCAGTACACAGTCCCAGCACTGACGACGGCTTATATCAGCCAGGTGATTTCGTTAAAGTAATAGATGTGACTATTAAAAAAGGTGAACGATCAATCGTACCGGCCAATACAATAAAGGGCAGCGCTCGTAGCTTTATGCACACGTGATTTAGGGAAGCGCGCCGCGGTCAGCGTACGGTCGCGGCAGACAGGCTCTTGCACATGACACCAGGAATACGGCGGTGAGCAGTGACGGCACTGCAGGTAGGCGCAGCGCGGGCGGGCGGCTCTGTCATCGGCCTGAGGCGTACAGCAACAGCCCCGAGATCAGTCGCAGGGACAGGGGCAGAGCAGAAGTGGGGCGGGGCAGGGCAGGGCGGGGTAAGGGGGAAGAGGAAGAGCAGGGAGAGCAGGGCAGGGCAAGGCAGGGCAGGGCAGGGCAGGGCAGGGCAGGGCAGGGCAGGGCAGGGCCGGGCGCAGGGCAGGGGTGGGGTGGGGCAGGGCAGGGCAGAGCAGGGGTAGGGGCAGGGGCGGGGCAGGGTGGGGCAGAGCAGGGCAGGGGCAAGGCAGCGCAGGGCAATGCAGGACAGGGCCGGGCACAGGGCAGGGGCAGGGTGGGATGGGGCAGGGCAGGACAGAGCAGGGCAGGGCAGGGGCAGGGGCAGGGGCAGGGGCAGGGGCAGGGGCAGGGGCAGGGCAAGGCAAGACAAGGTAGGGCAGGACGCCACCCACCTGAGGCAGTTCGCTGGCGGTCAGCAGACCGAGCCGGCGCGGGTGGTTCTCCGGATGGAAGAGGCGACGACCGCGCGTGTTCTGATCCTCCGGGATGGGGCAGGTCAGGCGCATGTCGAACTGGTACAGGAAGCAGCGCTGGCCGGCCTGCAGCGGCTCCCCCGACAGCGGAGGCGCTGACTGCAGCCGCACAGGTCCACAGTCAGACATAAGAACACACACCATTACGGTCAGACCTAGTCCGACAATGGACAGAGCGCAGATAGCATACGACAGCCTACCACGGCACGAATGTCGGTACGTGTCAGTTATGTTTTCTCCAACAACAGCCAGGTAACGCTCCACAGATGATCTGCAGCCCCCCTCTCCCCCCAGAGCGTCCCGCGAGGCGAGTCCCGCCCACACCCGCCCGCCCACCTGTTTCTTGTAGTACTGTCGCCGTTTGGTGGTGCCCGGCCGCGGCGCGCCGTCGGGCACCCACTCGCGCTGCTCGTCGGGCCCCTCGTCGAGCAGCGCCTCCTTGCCGATGGGCAGCAGGTGGTCGTCCAGCTCGCCGGCCTCGTGCACCACGCGGCACATGCGCAGCGCCGCCGACTGGCGCGCCAGTAACTTGCTCGGGAACCAGTCGCCCTGGCAACGGCGCGCGCGAGTTCAGCTCCCACGGCACGGCTGTCCGGGGCTCTTACACGCGTCCGGGTGGCCGGCTGGATAACCTTCGCTCGGGTGGGGGTCAAGTTGACCCCTAAGACCTCAGGAAGTAAGAGCTAGAGACACGGAATTCACAGGATGTGTTTGCCCGTATGTGAACTCACTTAGGTCAAAGTTTGAGGTTCCCAGGTCATGACCTTCGGGTCAAATAAGTTCAAACAAGTTCAAACTCCAGGCTGGTCCCTAAAGTGCCCCCAGAACCTCGACAATGGTTCTAAGGAAAATTTATCATGCTCATTGAGGATCAGCGGCCTTGTTTGGCTTTTTGAAGGTCATGGCAACCAAAAATCATGTAAAACTGCTTTGAGTTTTGCGTTTGAATAACCGGCAAAGATTACACTTCGCAGTGTGTTCCTAAAGACAAAGTGTTGACCAGGGTCATTTTAGGTCAGTGTCCTATTCTGACCTTTAAAAAGTCTATGGAAGATTTGTGATGCCGTCCTCGTTATCAATAAATGTCAAATGAGCACCAGAAACTACTCCATACAGCAATGTCTAGAGTAATGGAACAGGTTGGTTTTGACCATCGTCTGACCTTCATGCTTGATCTTAGATCAATGGAATTTGTTCATTCAATCGTTGTGTTGTCTAAGAAAGCATCTCAGATGCATGGCTTCGCCTAACATTCCGTTGTGGCATCACAGTGAACGATTCCAAGACATCTACTTTGCTTAATTCATGGCTTGACTTTGACCTGCGGTAGGGCAGCGACCTTACAAGGTGCATCTAAGTTTCTGATACCAAACGATCTGCTATTCAATTGCCTACAGCTAAATAGCCGCCCCGCTCGGAAACCACTCCGAAAACCTTCGGGGGGGGGGATCAATTCGACCCCCCACCCGAGCGCGTGCTAACATCGGTGTGGGGAACGACCCGGGAACCCGTGTCACACAGGGTCAGGGTGAAGGTGACTGGCGCATGACCTGATGTCGAGGCCGGTCGGTAACACACGGTGTCAAGTGTCACACAGGGTCAGGGTGAAGGTGACCGGCGCATGACCTGATACCTGATGTCGAGGCCGGTCGGTAACACACGGTGTCAAGTGTCACACAGGGTCAGGGTGAAGGTGACCGGCGCAAGACCCGGTGTCAGGGCCGGTTGGTAACACACGGGGTCAGGGTTGTGGTGACCAGCGTGCGTCCTGATGCCAGCTTCAGTCCGGGTACCGATGTTAGCCCCGCCCACCTCAACGACATCCTTCACGGGCGAGTTGATGGGCAGGCGAAGTGTGCAGCGCCACTGCAGGGGCGATCCGGCGCTCTCCTCGTCCGCTGGCCGCTCGTCCATCGTCCAGTGCGGCGTCAGCCGGGTGAACGTGTCGCTCGGCAGACGTGAGCAGTACCTGGGACGGCCGGACCAGAGGGGGGCCGTCAGTGGCGGCGGCTCATCGACGGCAGGGCAGCGAACGGGTCAGAGGGGGCCGTCAGTGGCAGCGACCGGGCCAGAGGGGGGCCGTCAGTGGCGGCGGCTCATCGACGGCAGGGCAGCGAACGGGTCAGAGGGGGCCGTCAGTGGCAGCGACCGGACCAGAGGGGGGCCGTCAGTGGCGGCGGCTCATCGACGGCAGGGCAGCGAACGGGTCAGAGGGGGCCGTCAGTGGCAGCGACCGGGCCAGAGGGGGGACGTCAGTGGCGGCGGCTCATCGACGGCAGGGCAGCGAACGGGTCAGAGGGGGCCGTCAGTGGCAGCGACCGGGCCAGAGGGGGGACGTCAGTGGCGGCGGCTCATCGACGGCAGGGCAGCGAACGGGTCGGAGGGGGCCGTCAGTGGCAGCGACCGGGCCAGAGGGGGGACGTCAGTGGCGGCGGCTCATCGACGGCAGGGCAGCGAACGGGTCGGAGGGGGCCGTCAGTGGCAGCGACCGGGCCAGAGGGGGGACGTCAGTGGCGGCGGCCGGGTCAGAGGGGGGGGGGGGGTGCGTCATTGGCGGCGGCTGGGCCAGAGGGGGCCAGCACAGACGGCGCTGGGAGCCTGCTGGCGGACACGTACAGCATCCTCGCCAGGCCGGAGACAGGTCTCGAGACGGGTCCCGTTCCGGTCGGAGCTGCCGTGCGGACAGCTCCCGCAGCAGCCCAGCCCCGACGCTGGCTCGGGAGACCCACCTGTTGACGAGAGCGATGGCCGAGTTGCGGGTGACGATGACTGAGAAGGGGCCACCGGCTGGCCGGTACGGCTGTATGTACCGTTCGGCCAGCGAGCGCTGTTGATCCGTCTCGCTCGGCTCCTCGCTGCCCTCCTGACTGTGCGTTAACAGGAGCTGCAATGTGTGCACGTCGCAGTCAGGACCCGCCTCTGATCAGCTGCTCAGACGGGCCAAATACAAGGGCAGTCCCCTGGCCGCGCGGCGTTACTGCTTTTTTAGGCAACATCTGACCTGTTTAAGCGGCATGATGTCAGATGTTACGACAGAGCTGTAAACACGCATCGCGCTCCAGTTAAATGATCTGGTTATATTAGTTCGCGTAGACCGTCGACACACCCTCACGGAATTACCCGCGGAACAGTTTTAGAAACCTCACAGCCAGTTCTGGCCGTCGGAGCGTGCACAGGTCCCAACACTGACAGGCGTGGGGCCAGCTGAACCCGTTGCCTCATCAGCGCGTACTCAGCTGACCGGAAGCCAGCGGTGTCAAGAGCGACAGCGCGGCGACGGCCAGTCGATCCCAGCAGCGCCGGGGGCGGCGGACCACGTCCTGCCCAGCGCCGAGAATGCACCCACGCACATCGCCCACCTTCTCAATGACGTAGTAGTTGGCCAGATCGTGCAGCAGCTGATCGCGGTCGGCGTTGGTCACCATCAGCAGGTAGTGGGCCTGGGCGGCGCGCGCGCGCCCCTTCGACTGCACGTAGGCGCGGTACTCGGCCGGCGCGTCGAAGCGCACGACCAGGTTGCAGCGCGGGATGTCCACGCCCTCCTCCAGCACCGACGTGGAGACGAGCAGGTTGCACTCGTAGCTGCGGAACCTGCCGCACAGTCCCCCGGCTCAGGCTGAGACCCGGCCCAGTCGGCGCAGCGTCCGGCCAGCCGCCGCGACCCCAGGGCGGCGGCCGGCGGCGCCTCAGCACGCTGCAGACGGCAGCTGGCGAAACGACCCTCTGCCTGCCCCCCCCCCCCCCCCCACTGCCAGTCTCTGGTGCTCCGTCAGTCCCTGGTGAGTTCTCTCCCAGTCCGTGCCCCCTGCCAGCCTCTGGTGGCCTGTGCCAGTTCCTGGCGTCCTCCGCCAGTCCACGATGCTCCCTGCCAGCCCGTAGCAAGCTTTCCGCCAGTCCCCTACTGGAAGCGGCGGCGGTGTAGTGGTAAGAGCGCTCGTCTCTGGACTTCTCAGTGCTGGATTCGGGTCTCGGCCAAACTACTGTCGCCCCCCCCCCCCGCCCCCCCCCCCTCCATGGTACCTAATGAAGGCACCTCGTCTTGCAATGGCCCTGACAGCCGGTGGGAGGCAAAGCCCTACTTATCATCATAATTCCTTTCCGTGCTGGCCGCTGGCGAGTTTCGATCCCAATCCCCGCCCAGCCCATGCCCGTCCATGCCCAGGCCATGCCCGTCCCTGGCCAGCCTATGCCCGTCCCTGGCCAGCCCATGCCCGTCCCTGGCCAGCCTATGCGCGTCCCTGGCCAGCCCATGCCCGTCCATGGCCAGCCCAGGCCTGTCCCTGCCCAGCCCATGCCCATTCCTGGCCAGCCCATGCCTGTCCCTGCCCAGTCCATGCCCGTCCCTGGCCAGCCCATGCTTGTCCCTGCCCAGCCCATGTTTGTCCCTGCCCAGCCCATGCCCGTTCCTGGCCAGCCCATGCCCGTCCCTGGCCAGTTCCCGCCTGAGCGCGGTGACTCCCACCTGCGCAGCACGTCCTCCTGCTTGCGCCGTTCGGCCTCGCCCACCTCAGCCGGCGCCGTGTATGAGCCGCGGCTACCACCGACGATATACTGCGGGTACAGGAAGGCCAGCTCCGGCATGGCCTCGCGCATCTCCTGCGGCAGGGCGGCCGACGTCAGGGGTCAGCGCCAGGTGTGGCAGCGCCGGCGTGACAGTCGTGCTGCCCCCCCCCCCCCCCCCCTCCGCACCGGTGCACAGCTGATATCCACGGGATGACAACAGAGGACGAGGGGTGGGACGAGTTACACGACATAGTCTGTGACGAGAGGATCTATCCAAGAGGTACCACAGGCAAGCAATTGACAACTATCCTCCAGGCGGCGGCTGTCTGCCAAGGATGTCTCCATAAACGACGGTGACCGAATGTGAGGCTCCTAATCAATATGCGACTGCTGTCGGAAACACGCCACATACACAGCGTGATGGAAACTGCAACGTTCGCCGACAAGTTGGGGCACCATCAGCGACAGCAGGGTCTGCCTGGTCGCCGGGGGGCAGCAGCGGAGTCCACCGTTACACCTGGCGCCGCATTAAGAGGTAGCTGGCCAACGGCCGGCAGTGGTCTGCGCCGCACCACCAGACCACAGAGCAACGCGGTCCCGTCGCCCGCTCACCATGATCAGCCGGTAGAGCACCTTGGCTGTGATGCGCTGCTGCACAAACACCAGGCCGCACACGGACAGCGGGTCGTCCGGGTTGTAGGAGAAGCGTGACGCCGGTGGCTGGCGAGCTGACGCACTGCCGTCCGACCGGCCCGGCTGGCCCGGCTGGCTCGGCTGGCTCGGCTGACTCGACAGGCTCGGCTGGCTCGGCTGGCCCGGCTGGCCCGGCTGGCTCGGCTGGCTCGGTGTCACCTGCGACGGAGCTGCGTCCGAGGCCGACCCCATCGGTGGGGCCTCCCCGCCAGCCAGAGCCCCCGGCGGGGCCATCTCCTGAGCCTCCTGACCGCAGTCGGCGGCAGCCTCTCCTCGCCCGTTCAGCTCCTGTTCGGGCGGTGGCGGTGGCGGTGGCGGCGGCGGCGGCGGCGGCGCGAACTCCCGCAGGATCTCGATCAACCGCAGGACCTTGGGGCTGGAGTAGCGGCTGATCTGCTCGCGCAGGTCCAGCTCCTCAAACACATGGTCGCAGAGTGTCCTGCGCGAAACACCACGTGTAGAGCAACGGAACGGCACAGGGTTCGCAGTCAGTCACAACGTCTGGCGCGGAGGAAGCATGTTCACGGACAAGATGCATCCAAACGTGTCCAGTCCGCTCCATCTAGAATGAGACAAATTCCGCGCCACTCTCGTTGCTGACAATAAACTTATCAATGCGCCAACACCATATGTACAGAAAATAACCCCAGAAAAAAAAACAGGCCACCGGAGCCGGTCCATGCCGTCTATCGTGTATGTAGCTCACCACGGACACATTGGCAGACACATTTCACGCCCAAAATCTGGACTGATCAGAGATACCTGATGCGCACGAGGTCGGAGAACACCATGCCGAGCAGTAGGAAGTGCCGGTCATACGCCGTCTTCCGCTTCATCTTTTCCACCTCCACCATGAAGTAGATGGCGGCCCGGTCGGCACACCACGCTCCTGCAGGACACCACGCACCATAGTACACACTGTGGTAGGAATGGCTGAGCGGCGCGTTACGCCATAGTCGGCCGCCGCCGAAGGTGGCAGTGATAAAGATCACTTCTTTCTTCAGTAAACCAATCTCCAGGTTCAAACATTAAAACTCAAGGCGACGCGACCCCGCGTCGCCACGAGACGATGGGTCGTAGGGCGGACACTCTAACCAACTGCGCCATCGGGACGGACGGACGGCATTCGTTAGCAGGAATCAAGCTAGCACACAGATGCGCTATCAGACACCGCCCATCTAATCGCTTTGAAACCTTCCCCAATCGGTTCAGCGTGCTAAAACGAGAATGGGATGGCAATATGGTGAGCCGACCTAGGGTAAAACACGTTAAAACGATAATGCGAAATACCGCGTGCAAAAGCCGCCTACTCAGATTTCAGAAAGCTTTGCTCCGATCGATGTCGAGCCTTAACCATTTGATACGCCACATCTGACAGCCAAATGTAGTGACCATAGGTCAGGTCAAAGGTCGCCCATTTTAAATACTTTTTTTGTTTTGCTAACAGTTTAATCCTCGGAACTCATTGCTTCACTCGGCGCAAACATTTGACTATTCGATGCACAATTTTTTTTAAGGGAGCGCGACGCGCGTTGTCACGCCTCTTTTATAGAGCGCCAGCGACTGCATTGGCCATAACAATGCTCTGCGTCAAAAATGATTACCTCCCCCAATTGCGTATATGTTGACACAAGGTCAAGTCGAAAGGTGCCAGTTTGACACACTCCCAAATTCCTTCCTTACAAACAACTCAGTTTGCATAACCTTCTGCTCTGATCGAGGCGGAGCTTTCGCCATTTGATGCATCATGGTTGAATTCCTTGTATGGTAACCCTATTGCAGGTCAAAATTTGAGTTTTGGCCCGACCTCAAAATGACTTAACCTGCGAGTCACAACTACGCTACACCGCCAAGGTGTATTAATGCTGCGGAAGTCAGCTGTTTATAACTCGCTTTCTGCGCTGACTTCATTTCGTTTCGCAGTGGATTTGGATTGTTTCCTGACTTGCCGTCAATTTGATGATCACAGATCGAGTCATTCGTTGCCTCAACAAGGTGCACTTCTGTCCCACCATGCATCACGTTCTGATCCCTGTCACCCGTTGGTTTGTGTCATTCCAGTTGATACACTGGTTGTGACATTCCACGGCTGGCGATGCACCCTCAGATCGATTCCAATCAAGAACGTAAACCGACTTTCGGTGTGAACATGCCATGGATTATTTCTAGCATGGCAATCTGCCACCGACTGGCCGACATTCTGCCATCTACAATGGGTATGCTACGGGTCAAACTACATCCCGCAAATACTTAATTTCTACGTAGAAGCTTCACGGCAGATTGTTCGTGATGAATGAGACATGAAGACACCCTACCTTGCTTTTACAGACCTTCCATGTTCAATCATCCGCACTATGTTCAGCAACTGCATAGCAAAAAGCGTGTATTTGCTAATCACGGTCTTAAAATTGACAAAAACAGGTATGATTTTAGATACGTGTGTGACTCAGATATGTGCTGTTTTCTTTTGACCACTGTCGGGCTTTGAAAGACCCGTCCCGTGTTAAAAAACAACTTTCACTCTTACTAGCTATTTTCAGTTATTTTTTACGCTGCTAGATAAGAAACTGTTTTGGCTTTTGATGGGTGCACCATTTCTGCTTCTTGCTAATTTACAACAGACGCTCTCCTGAACAACGTGAAGATCAAGTGAAATTCAGGGAGCTTTGATGCAGGTGATTGTCATCCACAATCAGCCAGTATTGGGGATTCGGTTGTTACGCGTGCCATCGCCCGGCCATTTCATGGCGAGTTGAGATCCGTAGACCGTGTGAGGGAGTGGTCTTCATTGGAGTGGCACGCGTACTGCGCCACAGTTTTACTTGATGGACAGATCTCATATACATTTCATGGTACTCATTTTACGCACGCTCTACATACACCACGGGAAGAGGAAACTATCGGGGCCGTATACCTTTACTGCGTGTACGCGGCCTTGGTCGGTGGCCAGTCACTTGTTTGCTAGATCTTCGGCTGTCGTTCAACAAGCAATATGACAGTGCATTACAATAAAATCGCAATACCTAGGTATTTACTCTGAAAACTCGTGTCAAAGTATCGTGTAAAACCTCCCAGCCACACTGAAAATGAGTGAGTAAGGATAATCCACCGCCGTATCCAGCAAAAATGCACCCAAGCGTTTGGGAAAACTACCCAAGCGTTTGGGAGAACTACCCAAACGCGCAACCTAAATGGTACTGACTTCAAATCAGTCACAACTCACTAGCTCCAAAGGCTGTGTTCGCTGAGATCTGGAGCATCGACCAAGGAAGTGGCCCTAACACACTGCCGCATGAGGCAGGCATTGCCGCATCTCAGCGCACACACTGTTGTGTGGTAGTCCGTCAGGAGAGCGCCACTGACCGAGCGTGTTCAGTATATATAAGAAGTCCTTCATGATCTGCTTGGGCTCCACGATGGGATCCGGAACGCCGCGGAGAAACTCCGCATAGTCTTCTCCGTAGATCTCGTGCGGGCAGTAGCGGTGCGTGGTGAGGAAGTGCATGCAGCGGTTGGCCACTGCCAGCAGCTGCTGGTGCAGCTTCGTTGGCTTGTTGAAGTCGTCGCACTCCACCACCATCTCCTGCGGCCGCGTGGCGTATCTGGCCGGCGCACGGGCGCGGCAATGTCAGCTTAGATGACACGACAGGTCTCAGACGACATATCCAGACACAACACCCACCGCACCAGGCACCGGGGCAAGCCGCGTATTCGGGAGAGACGTTAGACAGCGGGCCAGCAAGATGTCCGACGGCGCAAAACAACTCACACCAGCCGAACAAAGTACCCTGGTCAAGTACCTCCCGTACTAATGCGACATTGAAAATGACTGAGTTTGGGTCGCATCGGCCGCCCAGCCCATTTCGCCCCCTCCTCCTCCCCAACCCAACCCACCCATCTGAACAACCCCCAGTACACCGGATCGAACCCCGAACAGCTGGCCACGGCCGCACAGCGCCAGCCGGCGGCAGGGCGCGGCCCCACGGCCGGCGTCATCACCCACTGGGTGACGGAGGCCGTGTCATCGGCGGTGCGCAGCACGCAGCCCATCGTCTCCTCCAGCGCCTCGACGGCCGTCTGCAGCTTAGCCGGAGAGATCTTGCTGCTGACGATAGAGGCTGACATGCCGAGCACTTTGGGCCGCCGCTCGGCCGGCGTGTGGTGCACCAGGCGCATGATCTGTCGGCAGCGGCCGCACGGCGTCGGCCAGGGACACAAGACCGGGACAAACGCCACGCGAGGAGAGGGAGAGGAGGCAGTACTGTCCCAGAGATACACAGGTCCACCTGTGGACATCACGCCCAGCGGTGGCGTCTATCGGGGAGCGAGTCCGGTGCTTCAGCGTCTGCTGCTCACCCCTCAGGGCGGCACGAGCCACCGATGCAGCCGTCGACAGCCAAAACGGACAGGCGGCAGGATTTGACAGCCGCACGCGCCGCCGGCTGACCCACCTGTCGCATTGGGCTAGATTTGACGGCGTGGTGGCACTCGTCCAGGATCAACAGGTTCACTCTGGACGGGTCCACGAAGCCGTGCTCCAGCATGTTGCAGAAGATCTGCGACGACATGACCAGCACCTGCGGGTGGGGCGGGGGCGATCGGACACTGTACTCAATGTCACATGCCATCTCCGCAACTGCGCTTCTAGCTTGGGGTAAAATTAAAGACAAAAAACAGGTTTTTTGCTTATGCTAGGGGCCAGAAGTTTTCACTGCAAAGCAGTATAAATTCTCCGTAGCGCGTTTCTAACGAAACACGAGGTAAACCTCGGAACGCGTCGCAACGAGAAGCACGCTGACTTCAGATCTTTGCCCCCGAACTCGAATCGGCGTGTTCATGCATACAGTCCCGCCCGAAGTAACTGATGAGTGACACCGCTTCCACCTGACCTCACCTGATTTTGCTCCAAGTGCGTATCCCAGTCGCGCTTGTTCCATGCATCCAGCGTGCTACTGCCCACAAACTGGCCCACGACGAGGTCTGTGTGCTGCTCAATGGCGGCCGCCTGCTGCGCCACCAGTGGCACCGTGTTCACCAGGAAAAACGTCCGCTGGCCGCCCTCTGCCCATGGCCTGTCAGGAACACACAGAGCTGTGGTGGAGGTACACATGGTCACCAGGAAAAACTCTGCCGGCCGCCCTCTGCCCACCGCCTGCCAGGAACACACAGAGGTGCGGTGGAGGTACACCAGGGACAAAAGGTGGAGGTGTTCACCAGGAACAATGTTTGCTGGCCACCCTTTGCCCACAGCCTACCAGGAACACACAGAGGTGTATTGGATGTACAATGTGTTCAAGAGGAACAATGTTCACTGGCCACCCTCAGCCCACAGCCTGCTTAGGACCACAAAAAAAGTGTTTTGGACATGGTGTTCACCAGGAAAAATCATGCTGGCCTCCCTCTGCTGATGGCCTGTGTGGGAACATGTGTTGTGTGTTGGACACTGTATTCATTAGGAAAAAATGTCTGCAGTGGATGGATGTCTTTGAAAAAATTATTTGGTGGATGCATAAGCAGTGTTTTATATCACCTAGGCAAACTGTGGATAAGAGCTGAGAAGGCTGGAAAAGATTGGTGCAGTAGATCAGAAACATGATATAGCATACTGGTCAACTGGGACCCAGCTTACTTTCTGATGGCTGGAGCCATTTCCTTGATGAGCATGATGGCAATAAATGTCTTCCCACTGCCTGTTTTGAGGCAGATGATGCTATTCTCATGCTTGGCACTCTCCAGCAGCTGCACTTGGTATTCTCGAGGTGTGAACACGTCCGGCCGGATCATGTCAACTATGTTCCGGTGTGCCATGGCTGCACAAGCAACACTCAGCCCTCAACAGGGCACTCACTGGTGGTCCAAGCCCCAAGGACAGTGTATACCTAAAACAAATTAAAAGGAATGTAATACCGAGTGGCAGCAGTTGTTTAGTTGGTGAGATGCCAAAGCAATGATACTTCCCAAATATCCATAGCATCAGAGTGACATAAATCAAGTTGAACTAACTAAACCAAACTCCCTGCCGCCCCAACTCTTCAGAAAATGTAAGAATCATACTCAAACTGTCTTAAAGGGTCTTCCACTTCACTCTAGGCCTCACACTACCTAAAATGGTCTGATTCAGACCGTTTGAATCAACTGAACCCGGTATGAAGTCCGTATGGCATTGGTGTCACCTTATCACCGCCGTATGTTCCCTAAATATCGCATAATAATTACGGCGGAACAATTATTCAACTACGCCACACAAACACTAACCGGACGCCGTCAACGCAAAGGCACGCAAAACGCACAACAGCAAAAAGGGTGTTGTCGCTGGACATCAAGAATCTTCTGTTGTAGTGATTTGTTTATGATTGAATGTATCGCGCCATTTCTGTCTCATTTCGATCAAGTCGCGGAAGAGCGTCCTAGCGCAAACACGGTTTTGAGCCCGAAGGTAGCGTTGAGTTCTTTGTGTAGGTACAGGCTTAGATTAGTGTGCTCCCCAGGGATAAAGCAGCAAGTGTTCACGATATACTTATTTGTACACATCTGCCAAACATTTTTAACTCAACATGCTGGCCTGCAAAAGATACGTGCTAAGTTTAACAGCATGTCCATTGTAGCGGTACCATCCCGTGAACTTCAGTGCATGTATGCAGTACATCTGAGCGCTCAGTTTCGTGCGCGCTTGTCACCAATATCAGTTCATAGAGGGCCAGTGTTTTAAGAGGGGTGATGGTATGAAGGCCATTACGGGAACCCTTGCTCTGTAAACAAGCCTGTTTTCACACAAATGATCTGATAATTTAGCATAATATGTCCTGACCCTTATAAGCATGTATGAGTCAAGCATATGCATTATATGTATATATATATATATATATATATATATATATATATATATATATATATATATATATATATGTATGGTCAGGGTGTACTTTCCTACCTAACATTAGAAAAAATCATTGTACACCATTCATCATGTTTAAGGCAGGTCATATCATAAATAATCACAAAACAGGTAGATTCATGCTCTTGCCTTCAAATTTTTATAATTACGATGGCGAGCTCCCGAGCGCCGCACACACACAGCACCCGCGACACCGGCGCCATTACTGCGCGCAGTCACAACATTACTGTGCATCAAGCAGCATCAAGAACCATAAAAATGTACTGGGCCAAGGTAGCAAGAATCCATGAAATTTGATCCTGATGCCAATGGGAGGATGGGTTGCAGGGGGATTGGTTGGGGAATGTAAGGCAAAATGAGAACATGGCGGCTAAATAAAAGCTCACTATATGGCACCTGCCTTTGTGCATGTATGCTTTTTGCCATGCAGCAATGATTAGAGGGAGACTGTCATGTCTTGTTACATCTTGAGTTTTACATGTTTCTGTTACTTGGCGTGGTTCCTTAGCATTGGAAAACATCATCAGTGAAGTTGATAAAAATATTTTTGTAGTAGCCCTTGATTGCTACATGCATCATTCAGCATGTACGTGACAAAGGGGATATTTGGACAAGAAGCGACTTGTAATTGTGAATCCTCAGAGGTGGTAGCCACAGGAAACAAGCTTTGCTGCAGTGATATAGCAGAGTTATGAACATCATGCTAAAAGTTTGTGGCATTCATTCATAGATATAATACCTGGTCATGTGTCTACACAAATGCCTTAAATCTCAAGCATGGTTTTATCTATACAATTGCATGTCCATGCATGTCTGAAGGCCCTGCAGCTCAGTACATCAGGAGTGCACAGTCACTGCAGGTGGATAGTCCATTCAGAGATATAACATGTGAAGAGAAATATTTCCTAACATGGTTTGTGGGGGGAGCCTGTAGTGTGAATATGATGGAATGATTGGTTATCTGGGAAAATGTGACATTTCCATTTCATGTTTTTTACACTGGATTGGGTCTAAATGCAACAGTGTACTGCAATGAGTACAGTTCCAATGTCTTAAAACATTCATAAACATGACACAGTACCTTGTTTGGTTCATTGTTGTTCAATGTTTTCTTAGAGATATGACTTCCAGATAACAGATTTTCCATATCTCTTCAGGAGGCTGTGGCCTATCCCGCTGAGTTACTGCCCTGATGCACCCTTGGAACGTCTTTGTTTATGTTGACACATAGGCCCATGTGGAACTTAACAGGATGGGATCATGTATCAGTTGAGGTGATTGATGGTGTGAGATTGGCATGTGGCCCTGAAAAGTGCATTTTTTGATTTTCTGACTTTGACCCCATGATCATGCTTTGGTGTAAGGTGTCTACATTGTTCTGGACTTCATGCCTGAGGGCATTGGCTGGGTAGTTAGAGGGTTGCACCAAACATGTGCATGCAGCTTTAGATCATCAGAAAGTGTTCTTGTTGCAGGAAAGCTGTTTGATGATGCTGTTGATACAAAGCAAAACTAATAATGGGCTTTGAATGATGAGTTTGCATTTAGCCCTGAAGGATGCAGCTCAGGATATCCTGTTGGTGGCTGGTATGGGCTGATACAGACTTCATGGCCAGGCCCGTTGTTTCAGTGTGTGTATGGTCTAGTGTGTGTCTCATTAACATGCAATTCCTGACTGCTTCTGATGGCTGAAAGCTCACTGTAATGTGCACAATCACATATTTTCAGATAGCTGATCCTGCTGGGCTATTGTGGTGCTCATGATATACAGCTGTTGCCTCATTGAAAGAAATCATTTATGTAACTGCAAGATATTTACATCAAGAAATGTGTAGGTCAAGCCACCTGAGCTGCATGAAATTTAGATCTTGAATGACTGGATGGGTGCCCCACAGGTAAGCAATGCAGTTAAGCTGCACACCATCCTTTGTGTTCACTATGTGGCCTCAGTATTTTGTACATCCAAAAATAAACCCATATGTTTTTGCATTCACTAGCCAGCACAGGCAAATAAAGGCTTCACAGTTATGCTCACAGTTCAGGTCACAAGTGCTGATGTGTTAGTTGCCAACTTATCTTTGCTAATTTGAGCATTATGGTGCTTTTTTTGTGCAGTTATAATTCCTTTCCATGTTTGTTGGATTCTGGATTTTTTAAAAGTTTCCTTGTTTCTTTGCCAAAAATGTGCCTGGTATCTAGTGTGCAGTGCTCAGTGAACTTGAAAAGGTCATGTCTGATGTAAAATGATCAGGTCAGAGGCATGTCAGGACATTTTGGAATGAAACAAGTTAAGTATACCATCTACAACAAAACATATTTTCCTGGTAAGTTTGGCTTAAGAATTTATTACCAGGCAAACAGCCTTTTTGTATGCCACAGGACATTCCATTTAAGTCAGTTTATGAGATGAAGAACTGATATGACTGTAGTTACTTATTTCTGTAACTATTGTCATGTTCTTGTAATCACTGATGGTTTGATGACATGTGTTGGCCTGTGTTTTATTTGCAGGACATTTTATTTGGAATATGGAGGGGTATAGTTGACAGCCTCTGGGGCTTTGTGCTGATTTTCACCTTAGATGACAAGCATGCATCTACGACGGGGGCTACCCGTCCGGAGCCGGCTAATCAACGCTCACGCCAAAAGTCTACACGGCGGGTGCAAGAAAGGTTGGCCATTGATTTTCAAATATTTGTGTAAATAGCAGCATGTATTTTGAGTTTGCAGTAAAATTGTTGTTGGGAGCATCGTTTTTTACTTTGCAGTGAGTGTTTGGATTACTGGGAGTGTTTGTGTCAAGCATCAGACAATGTGGCATGTTGCACACTGGAAGTCATTCCACTTTCTACGGCATTTGTTGATGTGCACCTACATGATGATAATCATTGTTGCTGTTATGTCATGGCGCCACCCTTAGATAAAGTCAAAGGCAATATCACTCTGAGATGGAGGCAAAGGTTGTGTGTTGTTGGCATGTGTTATGTTTCGTGGTGGACCGCCGTGAATGACGTGGACATCGTGACCAGCGTTGACGTGGTGCTTCTCCCACCAGCGAGCCGTCGCTGCGCCAGCGTCTGCTGGAGTGCTGCACGCTGAACGGCGGCGTGCTGCTGCTCAGCATGCTGCTGTTCCAGTACGCCGTGCTGCCGGCGCTGCGCTCCTGCGTCACGCTGGTGTTCGGGCCCGCCGCCATGTCCACAGACAGGTCAGGCCGACCGGCCAGCTCAGACTGCATTGACTATCGCAGGGCGCGGCCGCTGTGTAAAACGTGGCTGCATTGGTGCTGTCACAGCCTCATGGGTCAAAGGTCCGGGGCTTGTGACTGAGTATGGATATATCAAGGAATGCTTCACCCCTGGGACACTTGTCCGCCTGCTGTCAGTCGTGACCGGCCACCGTGTGCAGTTAGAGGTAGGTCAGTGCCGACTGAGCGTGGCGCCGGCAGCCAGCTCCGTGCCAGCGTCGGCCACAGCTGCAGGCGTGCCGGTCTGCGGTAGTCAGCCGGACCGGTGACACGCTGGAGGCCGCCGGTCCGCACGGCCACGGCGCTCTCTTCTGATGCCAGTGCTCCTGCTTCCAGGTTCTCTGTATGGACAATATTAAACCTGATATTGACGTACACCTTTTCTGCATTGTGGGTTCTTCCAATATTCGGCATTAGCAAGATTATCAATTGCATTTGGTTTCAGGTGAGAACGCTCATGCTCTTGGTCATTTTAATCACTCAACAGAAGATTCCCCTCTTAGTCTGAGGTGTGTGGCGTGGGTTCTAACCGGAGAGCACAAACCACTCCACGCCATGGATTGTTGGGCCTCGCGTATTGAACCCGATTTCTACCCGTGTTGAAACGCGACTCGCGGCTCACTGTGGGGTGATGTTGTCGAAGATGGGCCACCGCGTGCAGTCAATACCTGGCCTCAGGCTATGCTCTGACTGCGTCTCCTGTCATAAAGATCGGCATGTGTCTGGGCGGGACGAAAAGGCGTTTCCACATGTCCACAAACACTCACAGTGTGTTGCATGATCACGTTTTTCATAAGGAGGAAGCTGCGCATGAGTGCGGACGCAGTGAAAACACGGTCTTAAAACGCCGCAAAGTCGTCAAACGTCAACAGTTGATAATGTGACAGGATATTGCGGACACAGCGTACCGAACCAGCCAGGGACGTGCCTCCTCTCGGCTTGGCCTCAGCATACTCGTCGCTGACACCCTCTTCAGCATCTTCGCCCAGGCGCTCTTTCTCATACAGGTACGTAGCTCGTCCACTTTCAGTAGGACGGCGTGCGATGACACTTTTATGCAGTAATGAAAGTAGACAATCATTCATACATCGTGGTGGGGCATTTGCCGCAGGCTAAGCACAAGCCTGTTTTAACCTAGATTCACCTATTTTGATGAATCATATTGTTTTTGTTGTTTTTGTGATAAATCAGATTGTATTTACCCATTTTAGGTAAATCCAGCTTCTAGGATGGCTTCTCTGTTAGGAAATATGACTTTTGGCCCCGGTGATACTTCCATCGTTAGGCACCACGATCCTGGCCTGCTCTCAGGCGCTCGTGGCATCGGTGTGTTCTGTTCTGGTAGCGACCCCTAAACCCTTATCTGGGATATACAGTGTAGCATCGCGACCCCGGCCTGTTCTCAGGCGCTCTCTGCACTGGTGTGTTCTGCTCTGGTAGCGACCCCTAAGCCCTTACCTGGGATATACAGTGTAGCATCGCGATCCCGGCCTGTTCTCAGGCACTCTTGGCACTGGTGTGCTCTGCTCTGGTGGCGACCCTAAGCCCTTACCTGGGATAAAGATCTCCCACCCTGAGTGACGTCTTGTCTCACACCGCGGTGGCTATCATGTTTCCAAACAAAAGGAGCAGATTAGAAGTTACCGAAATGCTTGTTATTGCTTGTCTTTTGTAAAATCATCAGGCTTTATGAAGGGGGCCGGCCATCTTGGACGTATTCGCAGCGACCCAGGCGACAGGATCTATGCCATGACCGCTATTTATGACGTCATAGCGCATAGATCCGGCGTCTTTTGGTGTTTGCAGAGACCTGGATGGCAAATATGTTATACGATGTCACGAGGAATCGTTGCTGGACGCGCAGGATGTTTTGGTTACTTGGTCGTTATTTAATGGAGGCGAGACCAGTGTTTCAATGCTCGGTCACTTGGTTGCATAGATTTCGATCATTTGTCATGCTATTAGACCCCCTCCGCTTGGGGGTTTACTTCTTGTTGCCGCTTTCCTTGCTTAAAATTGGCCAATCAGCATCGAACCCATAACGCTCCGTTAATTATTGTCGGTCGTTCTTTTACAGATGGAAGCTTACCACTGGTGATCTGATATTTGATCCGATTAAGTGATTATACCTTCGCTTAGATTTCATCCAGCTTATCGACATGGTCCGCGGAGAAGCGGGACCATTTCAGCTCTTATGCTAGTTGAGGACGAATGGCGTATTTTGGCTTGTACGAAGGCGTCGGATGACGTCATTCTGCTCTTAATGAGTAAAACTCTGCCCCAGACAGTGTAAAAATACACATTTAATGAGTTTTATACGCTAAGCCATATCCATCACCTGCGGGAACTGCCACAGTGTATGAGCAAATAACCTCGCCGTCTTCAGCCATCGACCAGGTGCACTGAATTTATTGCAGCAGCATAAAATTGAATTTTGGACTATGCGTCATAGTATGTCCTGATGACGGATGCAGGCATACTGTCTTGCAAAAAAGTGGGCATTTTGCAAACGTGGATTTGGGCTTCGAGTGCAGTGATACGTTGTTCACTATAAGTGTTGGCTTAAATTGAGCCACTTCACGAACAGAGAGAGCCACTTCACGAACGGAACATTTAAGAGATTGTTTACATTTCCTGTTAGGAAATGCAGCCAGATACAACAGGCAGTAAGCTTGAGATTTACACGGATTAACGTTACCTAACCTAACGCAACGCAACGTAACGTAACGTAACATAGGCGGTGGGTATTTTCGCAAAATGAGTCCGGAAGGTGGCTAAGCAGTCAGAAGTGGCGGAATCTGCCTATGAAAATAAGCCACAAGCGGGTTTAGTTTCAGATTTGGCCCATTTTCTTATCAAAATGAAGGAGTGGGGTGGGAGCTCAACTTGGGGTTACTAAATTGCCCCCCCCCCCCTCTCTCTTCCCCTCCCCCCATTTGAAGAGGGAAGTACACCCCTGTGACGTTATATGTGGCGCAACGTATAATATCAACATAACGCTGATGAACGGCTTGCCCTAGCGTCTGAAACGCACTGGCGTCGCTCTCCTGCCGGACTTGCGTCGCTCTCCTGACACGCTGGCGTCACTTCCTTGACGCACAGGCGTCGCTCTCCTAACGCACAGGCGTCGCTCTCCTGGCGCACAGGCGTCGCTCTCCTGACGCACCGGCGTCGCTCTCCTGACGCACTGGCGTCGCTCTTCTGTCGCACTTGCGTCGTTCTCCTGACACGCTGGCGTCGCTCCCTTGACGCAGAGGCGTCGCTCTCCGGACGCACAGGCGTCGCTCTTCTGACGCACTGGCGTCGCTCTTCTGCCGCACAGGCGTCGCCCTCCTGACACGCTGGCTTCGCTCTCCTGACACACAGGTGTCGCTCTCCTGCCGCACAGGCGTCGCTCTCGTGACCTGGCCCGAGCTCGGTTTGGTGAGAGCGGCGCGGTCGTTCGTCTGCCGAGGCCACGCCGTTGATGTGCCGCGCCCGCCCTGCAGGGCATGCTGGCCAGCCTGGTGCTGCCCATCTACGGCCTGGGCGACGCCGTCTGCCTGCTGCACATGTGCCTGCTGTACGCGCTGTACTCGTTCGAGTACAAGTGGTTCAACATGGGCTGGGAGCTGCACAAGAGGCTGACTTTTATCGAGACAGAGTGGCCGTACTTCCTCGGGTTCGGTCTGCCGCTGGCGCTCATGACGCAGACCTTCTCGTCGTACATCATGAAGTGAGTCACTCAGCCCGGCCGCCTCGGCTCGCGCCACCTCCTGCTATCACCCCTCTTGTCATCTCCCGCTCGTCACACAAACCAATTGGGCGCCGAAGTGGATGAGGTGCAGTGTTTTAGGATCAGTGTTTTGACCATTATCCGTTCTTCATAGTGCACTTACGAAGGCTGAAACTCCTACTATGTAATTGTGGTGCATGTCAAATGGTGCCATTCGCCACCAAATTTTGTCAGGATATATGGTGAGACTGTGTCTGAACCATGCGTATTGTTCATTGGTTTACTTACTCGTTGTTTCTAGAAAGGTTGTCTTCTGACGAATGGGGGCGCAGCTCACCGGCACGAATCGCTGCACCGTTCGCTCGTGTTGAAGTTGTCCCGCTTGCCGCCGATGGCAGAGACGGAGCTGTGTTGAGACCGTGCCGTCACCTAGCGCCGCCGTTTGTTCTCGCAGCGGCTGCGTGTTCTCGCTGGTGTTTCCTGTATTCATCCTGAGCGGGAACGAGGCGAACCCTGTGGTCGGCGTCTGGTAAGTGGCCGCGGCAGAGACCGCCTGTCTGCGTGATTGTATCGGATGATCACACTTTGGCTCGAGTTGGCACTGAGCCTTGTCGTTGCCTGCCTGGAGTACGGAATGGGAATCGTTCGGCCCGTGCTACGTATTGGCATGCAGGTGTCCACGTCCCTTGAAAGTATGGAGACGGACATGAGCATCTGTTTTCTGAAGGACGACGTTGGATAGAGCCAATGCCTGTCGCGGGCTAATGTTAACGCTGCCCCGACACGTTGTATCGACTTGTGGCATCTCAAGTCGTTACTCTTGCGCGGGGCATCATTGGATGGGATAATGGCCAATGCCAATACTATGAAGTTCTTCCACTCTTTCCCACTTTTATGCGACCCCCCCCCCCCCCATGCACACGTGATGATGGCCAGGCTTTAAAAAAGAATCAGGACATCTCCGTCTCCAGGGTGGTTTACTTGCCAGGGGTTTTCGGAAATGATATCACTGCCCATATCATAATAGGGCCTAAACGCCAGACATCGAAATGTACTTTACGAATGTGCCGCGCTTGCGGTAGCCGCAACGTGAACTTTCCTTGGCGTTTTGTGTCGGGGGTCGTGGTGGTGAACAGACCGGTGCGTCACTGCAAGCTTTCGGGTGGTGCCGTTTGGGAGGCTGATCGCGGGACGGGGCTTTCTAAAGGTGTTCAGGTCACTGACGAGCGAAAACGAAGCCATGGCACGGCGTCCTTCGTTAACGGCTCGATCTTCGGTGTCGCCTTCGCCTCGTGTCTGGATACGGGGCTGGACACTGGACACTGAGCTGCCCAGATGCGGGCTGCCGCGCACAGAGGGCCGTGTTTCCGCTATCGCGCTGCTGCCTGCTGGGCCCAGCTGGCCCCGTCTGTCCCTGAAAGTGGTTCGCTCTTTGTTTGTACGGCCGAAGCAACCTCAAAATTGCTCAGGGTTGATATGCACGACCTCTGTTATTTGGAATTATTTCCATACGTAATTTTCCTATCCTCATGTGTTACCTAACAGCACACGCGTTGGTTTCGCTTTTTGGTGCAGCCACTAAGCGCTGCCGCACTGCTGTCTGGCTGGCTGGCTGGCTGGCTGGCTGGCTGGCTGGCTGGCTGGCTGGCTGGCTGGCTGGCTGGCTGGCTGGCTGGCTGGCTGGCTGGCTGGCTGGCTGGCTGGCTGGCTGGCTGGCTGGCTGGCTGGCCGGCTGGCTGGCTGGATGGCTCGATGGATGGATGGATGGATGGCTGGCTGGCTCCGCGGCCATCGAGCAGCGCGGGCTGCTGGTCGGCCGGCTGGTCCGCGACGCGCGGCCTCCATGGACCCTAGCTGCGCCGCCGGTACTGTGCCGCAGCGTGACAGCTCCGTGTCGTTGTTGCAGCGGAACCCGTCTGCAGCTGTTCACTCCCGTCATCATGACGTCGAACGCTCTGTTTCGGCGCACGGTCAGCCCGCGGCCGGCCGGCGCCGCCGCCCGGCTCAAGTAGCCGCAGCTCGTCCCGGCCTTGATCCACCTTGACCTGCCCTGCCCTGCCCTGGCCTGCCCTGCGCTGTCCCGCCCTGTCCCGCGCTGTCCCGCCCCGCCCCGTGCTGTCCAGCCCCGCTCCGTGCTGTCCCGCCCCGCTCCATGCTGTCCCGTCCCGCCCCGTGCTGTCCTGCCCGCCCTATGCTGCCCTTCCCCGCCCTATGCTGTCCCGCCCCGCCCTATGCTGCCCCGCCCCGCTCCGCGCCGCCCCCACGGGCCACCAGTGTGTGCGTGGCCGCTCAGATATGTAATATATTTTAATTTGATCGTGTGCTGAAAAAAATACAGTTTTGTATTGAATCCAGGGACATTTGAATACGTGTCCACGAAGCGACGGTCGGAGTTGCAGCGCGGCGATCATCTCAACCATGGCCTTCCTAGAATGGCCAAGGCGATTGTCAATGGCTTCCGTCTATAGATTAATGCTGTGGCTCCTCCGTTGCCGAGTTGAACCAAGCAGAAGCACACCTGAGCAGGTGCTCAGCTTCTTGTCTTTTATTCAGTGATTTATCATTGGCGTGACAAGTTATGCACACCAGCAGCCGACGAGCGGCCGTCAGAGCAGTTGGCTGGTATGGTGAGTGTTGATGGATGGTGGCGAGTGCACGTCATTTAGACTGGCGGGAACTTCAGACAGTTCAGGTGTAAAAACAGGCTTGTAATGACAGGCATGTACATAATTGTTTTATCCACACCACGTTTCTTAAGATATTACGGAGGATGGGTCTGCTGGTCGCTGCTGGCATTTTGTGAACACTGCGCGTAGACCGCGCGCTATACAGGCGCTGTCCGCCCTGCACACTGAAGAGGATGACCTTGAGGTGGCACCAGCCAGACGCGCGTGGAGATGGACGTCATGCGAATATGCCAGCGGCGTGTCATCCTTGAGACCGGACGCTGGGATCAGTGACAGACTTGGGAGCGTCGCCAGATATGGCTGCTCGCGCCGCCGGCGGTAGCGGACGTTGGCAGTGCGTGAGGGCCCAGCCCTGTTGGGGCCCACTGAGCGGCGGAGGGGGCCGCACCGCAGCTGCCGCGCTGCCACACGGCAGTATATCACATGGGTCGGTGGAATGGGTGCGCCTGGGGCCAGGCGTGCCGCTCGGCTCGCTCGCGCGCGCGCGCTCGCACTCAGCTACAGCGTCTTGGGACCGATCGCCCAGAACCAGCGCTCAACAAATAAACGAATAAAACTCAAGCCTGGCCCCGCGGGCGAGACATGACAAGTAACAACAACGTCGTCTGTCAAAAATTCACTAACAAAACAACGGCAGTAACACCACAACCAGCGCCGCATCGCCTCATGTCCAGCGACACTGGACTACAAAATATATTAGACTTGGCATTTGAAAACGGTGGATCGGCAAAGCAGTCTGTGGAAGACGTCCCATGCGCCCGGCGACAGTCACCTGCGCCCGGCGACAGTCACCTGCGCTCGGCGACAGTCACCTGCGCCCAGCGGCAGTCTCCCGCAACCGGCGGCAGTCTCCTGCGCTCGGCGGCAGTCTTCTGCAACACGTCCCTACAACACCCAGCATGCAACAACGCCATGAGCCTTGAGTAAGAAAAGAAGGACAGAAAAAGACAAGAATGGTCTGCCGAGGGCGGCTCTGCCAGCTGGGGGTCGTCGCGCCCGGGTGGGGCAGCGGTCGACGAGGGCTGACCGCGCGGCTATGTAGGTCTGGTGACCTACAGCGGCCGGCCGGCGCCCAGCCGACCTCGATGAAAACGAGACCAGCGGCTGCAGGGGCGTGCGGACGTCAGCCGCCGCCGCCTGACGACTCGACAAAAACCGGCCCCGGGCCGGCTCCGCCGCCCAGCTCGCGCCGCGCCGCGGCCGCTGGTCGTCACCTCGTCCGCGGCACGGACACTGGGTCACGCCGCGCTCTCTTCACACCACGCCGGCTCGGGCTTTTGCATGAGATGTAGCCGGGGTCGAGCCCGATTCGCCTCGCCGTCAGTGACAATGAATGGCTTAACAGGCCAGGCGTCACCGTCGGCCCATGTCGCGACCTGATTGGTCGGCGGCGCGCGGTGACGTCACTGGTGCGGCTGGCTGAGTAGGTGAGAGTTGAACTCATACACGTTGTGACACACTTCCGAGCAGATGTTACACTTCCACGGGTTATTCTCGGCGTGGCAGCCCTTGTGCATGAAGTAGAGCGTCTGGTCGGGGAAGAGGATGCCGCAGAGCGTGCAGAGGTGGGAGCGGCGGGCGGCCGACGGACTGCTGACGCCCGAGGAACGGCTGGCCGGCCGGCGGTCCTGCAGCAGCGAGCGCAGACGGGACGAGCTCGAGCTGGGTGAGACAGCACAGTTTGTCTCGGCCGACACCTCGCCGGCCGCACCTGCAGCAGGAGGACGCGGCGTCAGCGCGCGCTAGCAGTCAACGCACCGACGGCGGTCGCCGCGCTGGCCGCAGTCGCACACGGTACCGTGGACAACTGTCAACACTTCTCAGTCTTGGTGTCGGTCTCGGTTGTAAATTAGGGAAAGTTTTAGGAAAGTTCACGCATAAACTCATTAATTTCGTGTTGATGATAGCTAAATTGGGAGAATGGAACAAAATAAGAATAAAGAAGCGCACAGTGGTAGGCATTGTGAAGTATTTCTTCAAGCAAGCGTCTGATATAACCTAATACCATACCCGTACGCACATGTAAAGTTTTCCACAAATATCTACCAATCCCATCCCGTTGCCCATTCCATACGGCTGGGAACCCATGGGCTTATCCAACCCATTCAAGTCAATTAACCCACAGCTAAAGTACCCGCAAGAGTCTGGTGGAAAAGGCGCTAATCGTTCCCAAATGCTTGCTCCATTGACTATACAACCCAGCTACCTTCAGTTGCGCATTACTACGATTGGCAGACCTGTGCTTCATTCTGCTTCAGCGTAGTCGAATCCGACTCTCCCTTACAATGCCCAAAGTTGATTCCAGGTCTGACTTCCAATAGCTCAGTGCAACTTGGAGTCGACTTTGGTTCTAACTCAAGGACATATAGCTTCAGTCCGAGATCGGGTACGATGGAATCGATTCCTGTTACAATGTTTTACGAGATGCCCCGTTTTGTGAACAGCGAAAAGCCGCAACTGGTGAGGCATTTTGATAACGATACAGTGACATTGTGTTTGGAATAAAGAACATTGCATTTATTTCACATTGCTGACCTATTACACACACACACACACACACACACACACGCACGCACGCACGCACGCACGCACGCACGCACGCACGCACGCACGCACACACACACACACACGCATATATATATATATATATATATATATATATATATATATATATATATATATATATCGATTGCTACCTTTTGCTTATTCTGGTAATAACAGCTGCGTTAAGTTTGGTGCACGTAGCACAAGCAGGCTATGAATGCATCCTGTTCTTTAGATTTCTAAGTCGGCACAACCACGACTCAGTTAAATCAACACCGACTCCGTCTGACCCAAGGATTTCAAAGAAGCTGATTCCACCCAGACTCAAGAAAAGCTTAGTTGATTTCGGAATTGATTCCCACTCGGCGTCAAGCTCAGGTCTGATGTGTGATTCCTAAAGTTTGTATGACTAAACGGATCGCTGGATTTTAGGGGAAATGCCTTGCAATTATGAGCAATCGATCTGTATGAGCAAGCGTACAAAACGTTAGATGAGATCATATCACAGAAGTTTTCATGGTTCACAGGCCCTTCTATGAGATCGCGTAAGATTCTCACGGAGGTGCTCCAACCTTGCTTGGGGAGGAATATCGGTGGAGGTGGATCCATATTGCATGGTTCGCGGCAGAGTTCTCGCAGCTTGCTGCAACATCGGCATCCATACCATTGCCACTTTGTCGCTCCATATCCTTACCTTGTCAGTCACATTTAAGGCTCACCCTTCATCCAATTAACTTCTACCACAACCACTGTACCATCGACAATTAAATTATCCAGCATTTGAAATTCGGTCTCCTGCCGAGCTTCACAGACAGGCGTTAGTGACGTCTGCATCAGGCGGCGGGACGGATGAAGTGGTAGGACCCGTCTAACACGCCCATCCCAGGGGCAAAGGCATTGGACTAGATGCCTGACTCAAACTATTAAATTAGTGGTCTTTACACGGGGCTTTCTCTCCCGGTTCATACGCGCCAGCGTCTTCATCAAGGCATAGAACACCGGTCCGTCGTTCCAAGCTGAGTATTAGGCTTATTGTTGCTCACTATTCCGTTAAATAAGCTAAGCCTCTAATCTAAACATGCACATGAAGAGAGTACCTACTTGTGAAGTACTACCAAATCACGCAAGTGAGGACGAGAGCCAAGTGGAATGTACTCCGAGTAAAAGCAAATATTTTACTTGACCAAGCCGAACCGGCCAGGCCGACCAAGCTACTCGCATATTGTCATCACTAACGAGACCGCCATGCAGTTTTGGCTGACCAGTCGCTAAAGAGTTTGGAATTTTTACTGTATCATTTCTCAGCTATTTGTTCTCAGCAATTCGCATGTTGTTCGGTTAGGAGTAATTTTCCTGTGATATTTCAGCGTGGCAAGATTTGCATCTGAATGTGAGTCACAGGTCAGGCAAATTTCGCAAAGTTCTCGAATTATTTGGACCATCGAAAACTTTTAAAAAATTATAAGTTTGTAAATGGCATTAATCGACGAAGAGTATTCTTGCCCTCAAAAGCATACTACCATGGTAAAAATATATGAATAAGACATATGACGTCAGACCAGGTCACTGTCAAGTCAGGGCAAGGTCATGCTAGATTAATGGATATCAATTTCATGTTCTTCGAATACCGTGACCGATCGTTACAAGTGACATGTGGCCATCGGTAATGGGTTAGCAGAATGTGCTGCTTAGCAGCTGATGGGCGACAAATGGGCACTTCAGATCATTTTGGTTTGACACTTAAACTTCGCCTCAAATGACGTCTGTTGTTGGGATGGTGTGAACTCATTCGTAACACTGACCCTGTCTAACGCACAGATAAAACAGCCGATAAATTCATGTTGGTTTGACGCTTGGGCGTGCCGGCACCATTGCTATTTGACTGATAACTTACACCAGCACAGTTCAAAGCAAGGACCGAAAGCTTCAGGGTACCGAAAGTGTAGTGGTTAAGAGAATCCGTGAGAATGCATCCATCCATAGTGTTCATGGGTTAAGTGCTATAGTGGTCAGCAACTGTGCAAAATCTCGGAATCTTGATGGACCCATTTTTGTCGTGCAGCTGTTACGTAGATCAGGTGGTAAACAAATGTATTGGCATCTCGCTGCCCTGGTTCTGCCCCACGTGCGCTATTGTGTCCAAGTGTATGGCAGGGCAAATCGTTCAAACATCTCAGAACCGCAGAAATCTTCGACTTTCGCACCATGCTCTGCGCTAGTGTGCAATAGTGAGCGCGTAGTCTGAGACACGCGGCAGACTCACCATCTGAACGTAACTCGTGTAAAAACAACCATGGAAAGAGACGGTTTATATATCGCGTGGTGCAGCAGTACAAGTATTTCATTACGCAAGGTTTGTCCAACGTCTGGAAAAATCAGTTCAAAAACTACGATTTGCAACATAATCCAAAGAACCTGGCTATCTACTCAGTAGGCGTGCGTTGTGTGTATTGTGTGAGTGGAATGGGTGGAAGGGTGGCATAGCGTTTATATTAGCATACGACCTGTATTCCGACCATGTAAGTTGGTGAGGGTCAGAGAATAGCCAGATTGTTGTGAATTGACCCGATAATGCGTAATACAGTACAATGGGCTACACGTCTAGGAAACCAGAGGTACCGGGCTCGATTCCCACTATTACCGCCCCTCTTGCCGGGGTGAGCGGCAGGCGATGCCAAAAAGCTTCAGGAGGTGAGTCCGTCGTAAAGCCTCAATGACGCAAACATTGAAACGCTGCCTGCAGAAGCAAAAATGTCATGCAAACTCTTACTGATGACGTCATAACTCTATGACCTGACCAAGTGCTGAGCTTTGCCTTCACCAGAATGTGTCAAAGAGCCCGTCGCCAGGTAACCTTACACATTGACGCCAATTTTCACCCATCCATTCTGATTGCGCACTACTTACACCTGGTTACGCTGTGTTAAGCGTAACGCATCTCAAAAGGATAATGTCTTTTCGGCCCCTAATCGCGCTAAAACGGAAAGGTAAAACGGCTCCCAACGGAGGCGAGTGTTTTGTTTGTACCAGAGGAAGCCCATGGCATCAGGTCTTAAGGTATTAAACACAGAAAACTTTGGCATGATTTGCAGCCACCCTGGAGCGTAACGTTGCGCTGTTTATTCATCCCTTTGACTACGCTTTGGTTACGCCAGTCCCCCAAAGGTGGTCGGGCTGCAGCACCCAAACGGAGCAGGAAACTACACTTGTGGTAGTACCTATACAAACTTTGCACGAGAACTCCAGCGTAAATCACAGATCTAGCATCGCGGCAGGTTTTTGAGGGACTGGAAGAATTGGACAAGTTGAATTTTTTTTTCTTTAAGAAAGCATGGTGTGAAACACCAGCTTAATTATTAATGCATGATTCCTTTGCTAGGAGATTTTTTATTTCCATTAGAACAATCCTGCAAAGCCTTACCTCCAAAGCGGGGACAATGGGAAGCGATTAGGTACCAGATGGTGACGCTATAGTTATGGCCGAATTTTAGACCAGAGCGTTACGGCCGAGGAAAAACTCCAAAGATGCTAACTTTACTGATCTGCTGGATTTGCTGGATTAGAAACATACTTTGTGACAAGCAGTGTCTACTCGCTGGATAAAGGAACGGGAAAAAAGCGTTTTGGCAGACACTTTCTTCAAGGTCAGAATTCGGCAATCAACACGCACAAATTTGAAACCAATATCAGAACTTTGGGAATGCACCACCGAAAAAGCACTTTGCCAGCTTCACATGCATAAATCATCGGGACGTCAGTAATTGACTCGGGAACCACCGACGACGCCTTCTGCATAAACATCCTGACAGGAAACGAGCTGCTATAGTCAAAACCAACCAAGAGCGGGTGATCAAAAGCAGACAGACGTGAATCCAAATCAGATCTGATCACCATCCTCGAACAAAAATAAGCACATCTGTGAATGCGTAACGGCAACCAATGAGCACGTAATGCATTCGTCGTACTTCTTCAAATTCATCGATGTCTTCGGTAGAAATTCCAGGCCCATGACCATTGTCCACTAATGGCTGGCACGCCATTAGTGGATAATGGCCATGGCAAGCTGTCTTGGTAGTGTATTAGCATGGTAAGCCTGCAGCACTAGACTTGCACACAAGGGTAAGCCCAAAAGCCGTTCCCTCCCGACAAGAATCCAGAGTCCAGGCGTCGGGAAAACGTCAAATACGAACAGCAGCAACTCGCCTTTTTCAAGTTCCCTATTACAACAAACCAACTTGTAACGTCTGGAGCCACAACACAAAGAAAGGAGGGCGCTCTGCAGGTGTTAAATTGCTTCTTTGTAAGGGGCCAATGAGGCTGCACAGGCCTGTAGAGGAGCCAGGGGCTGCTCGCAGTCGGGAGTGGGACCCCCTCGCTACAGAAATATTGTGAGTGTACTTATGCATAAAAGAACCTCGTTGTCTCTTCGCTCCCTAAACAATTCTTAAAGACAGCGTCGGATGATGGTAAGGACCATTTATATGAGCTCTAAAGGGTCTAGGCTTTGGTGGTGTCTACAGTGATAATACTTATTTTCTGTCATCGTCTCGCCCATGCCACCAGCAACGCATGTTATTGGTTACATAAAGCTGGAAATTGTTCATTTATGTTCTCTTGAATGAAAAAAGCGCAAGGATTATAACGCATCCAATGTCACTTTAGTGATATTTAACATCAAAATGGTGAAAATCCTCTGAGTCCGGCCACCCGTTCTGTACATACTGGCCGCGCCAGCTGGCCACAGGAGGTACCGTTGTCTGCTTACCGTTGGCAGGCGGCTGGCAGGCCCCACCCCGCGCCAGCCGGGGGCCGGCGGTGGCGGCCGGGCCGTCAGCCTCCTCTGGTGCCGTCAGCTCCTCGTCGGGCGGCTCAGCCTTGATGGCGGCGGCCGCAGGCGCGCTCTGCACGCCCCCGGCCCCACCGGCGCTCCGCGCAGCCCCCGGCACCGCCTGCCAGTTATTGGGCGCCGTCTGCGAACTGTTGGGAGAAGCCTGCGAGCTGTTGGGCGAGGCCTGCGACGGTCGCGGCGAGCCGGGAGGCGACTCGGCCTCGGCGTTCAGCTCCAGCGGCGCCAGGAAGTGGTGCGGCAGCAGCAGCGGCGCCGGCGCCGAGCCCAGCTGCAGCCCGTGCTGCGCCGCCAGGTGCGCGTGCAGGCTCTGAGAGCAGGTGGCACTGAAACCGCACAACTTGCAGACACTGCCGCTCCACTCACCCTCCCGCACGTGCTCGTTCTGGTAGTGCGCGCGCATGGCGATCTGACGCTGGAAGCCCTTGCCGCAGACGGGGCACTGCCAGGGCAAGCGACGGCTGGCCGTCTTCGAGTGCGTGCTCATGTGCTCCAGCAGGTGGTCGCGCCGGAAGAAGCGCTTGCTGCAGGCGCGACACTCGTACGGTTTGACTCCCGTGTGCCGCATGCGGTGCCGCCGCAGGTTGGCGCCGTTGGTCAACCGCATTCGGCACACATCACACTCGTACAGGCGGCGGCCGGCGTGGCTCTTGGCGTGCGCGTCCAGGCAGGCGCGGCTGTATGTCTCGTACGTGCACCGCTCCTGGTCGCAGCGCAGCGGGCCGGCCACCTCGGCCAGGCCCGGCCGCAACAGCTGGCTCAGCTGGGAGAAAGGCTGCGGCGGTGGAGGCTGCGGCGGCTGCGGCGGCTCGCCAGCCTCCTCCTCCGAGCCGGAGGTGCCGCTGCCGCTGGCTGGCGGGGGCGAGGCCGAGGTGGAGCGCCCGCGCCCGCCCCGCACGCTCAGGTCATCCGGCTGCAGCTGCTCGACGGCGGCCGGCGTTGTCATGGCGACGGGCCGTGGCGGCCCGACGCGCCTCTGTCCTTGCAATGGAGCGCTGGTGCGGCGCTGAAACTGAACACACACGGTTAATTAACTGCAGGGGAGCACTGTGCAGCGCTGAAACCGAACACACACGGTTATTTAACTGCAGCGGAGCAATGGTGCAGCGCTGAAACTGAACACACACGGTTAGTTAATTGCAACGCAGGTACTGGCTGGTTCCAGACGATTCAATTTCCTTTACGGCTCATTAGAGTACTGGCTCTTTAGCGTTGTTTCTCTGAACAGAGCACGCGCAGAAATACATATCCTGTAAACATTGGTTGGACATATGCCCGTCATACCACAGTTGTACCGGCAACAGGGAAACGCTCGTCGAAATAAGGCAACGTACGTAACCTGACTGGCTGACCTGCTGTGCGAGGTCACGATCATAGTGTAATAATGGCCGGCTGGCCTGCTGTGCGAGGTCATGGTCCATAGTGTCAGAATGCATGGTGCTTAAGCAGAATCGCGCTCGGGCTAAATCATCAACAAGGGCTTAGAAATTAAAGGGACCCGTAAAAAATTAAACTAGAAATCTAGTTTCAAGCGCATCCGAAGTCCTTCGGATGCTTTGTTTATGGCCGTGGGTTCAATTCTTGTAAATTTTCACTGGGCACAGTGCATCACACTGCATTATGTCCTGTAATAGGAGCTTTCAGAGCACATCCAGTAGTTAGTCTTCTAGTGGAGGCGGATGAGCCACTGTTGGCACTCAGGAGAATAAGGCTGTAGTGCGGTATGTCTGCAAGCTAGTGCAGCTTCCAGACCATGCCACGTAACATGCGGGTTTTTGGCGTCACGCAGAAATGCTATTTCAGGACGGCCAAAGCTACGCCAAATGGCATTCCATTTGCCTTGGAAATGAAGGAGCTTTTCCGTAGAAGTGACATTAGTCTGTGCGGTGTGCTAAGGCTGGGTCAAGTATTGGTCCCTCGTTGGGAGCTAGCGTCACCAAAAAAGATGCGTACCTGTCCAGCATTGGCAAACAGTGCGGACTCCCTTTGGACCTCAGGTCGAGGGCTTGGCAGCATATTGCATCAAACGTGGGCTTCCAAAATACGCATACAGATGGGCTCGAGACAGAGGTGGGTATGACTCGGCATTTGTATGCAGCCAAATCACTCGGTCTTTTCGTTACCGAAACACTCCGCGGTGCACACCTCCGAGCTGGTCGCGAGCATTACGGCACTGTTCCATTGAGGTCGGCGAGGACGACTCGCACCCGATCTTGTCTGGCTCTCTAAGCTGCCTTCAGGCTCTGACGGCCTTTAATCCTCAGTGACCCCTTACATGGGATGTTTTAGGCTGTCTGACGTCACTATATTAAGCAAGTAAAGCCATCCTTATATGTTGGACACCGAGCCACGTAGGCATCGCACGTGATGAGCTTGCTGACGCGGCCGCAAAACGAGCAGCCGGTGCGCCGTACATGCGCTCCTTACCCCTGCCGGCCAACAGCCTTCACCCCGCAAACACGGCCGCCTGGGTGAATGGCGTCTGGCAGCGCTGCTGAGATCAACAGCCAACAGAAAGCTGGCCGCGATTAAGCCGTAGGATCGTGGCATCAAGCATTCACAAAGCGAGACACGAAGAAGTAGCCCTCTGCAGGATCAGAACTGGCCACAGGCACGCCACGTGCGGCTGTTTGTTGCGTGGCGGAGATCGGCCGGATAGTCGACGTAACGGCAAGCCGTTCACCGTTCGCGATGTCATTCACCCATGTCCAAAGCTCACTGAAGAGCGGCTACGTCATTTCGGACAGGATTCTTCATCCTGACATTGGCGACGATGCTGGCGACTGCTTGTTCGTTAGCCACGGGCCAGCTGCTGTTTTATTCTTAGCAGACTTAGGGTTTTCAGCCATGTATACACTAATGTAGTCGTGTAACGCTGTTATCGGCGCAAAATCACCGAAGCCGTCGGCGCGTCAAAAGTCCCAGACATCATCATAATCATCTCAGTCTCGGGTACAGTAGAGTTCACCTGGTGAGACCCCCTATCATCAGCACCGTTTCTCAAATCTACGAGTCGTTTCAGCTGTTATGGTGAGACGGCTGCTCGAACCAATGTACCGTAGGCACCCGTCCGCTTGCTCTAGCCCTCCCACGATATGCTCTCTCATTAATATGTCTAAAGCAATCCCGCGAGTCACACACACTAGCTGACGCCAGTGAGGCGGTGCGCTCACCGCTGTCCATCGGGCCACAGGTCACGTCACGAGGAGAACACGGCCGCGCTGCCCTGCCCCCGCGGCTGAAGGCGGCACGTATGCACCCGCCGCGGAAGGTCTCTTCCACTCGGCGTCAGCACCACTGACCCAGAATCGCAGCACGCTCTCAAGCCGATCATGCGACGGCCAAGTGTTACGATGCTCCCATTTGCGCCGGGCACGGTCTCACCGGGGCGGCAGAGCACACACACGCTGGAAACTTTCCCGGCTGCAGAGGCGGCCAGGTGGCGGCGCTCGAGCTCGGCACCCGGCGCCAGGCGCTCGGTCGTTGCACCCATTACAGCCGGTGCCATGGGCACGCTGATTGCCGGGCGTAATGACCACAATTTACTATCCGTCCGCTGGCTGCACGGTGAGCAGCCCCAGGTGGGATCAAAGCAAACATCCTCCGCCTGTGCAAGCTGACCCAGTGCTGGCGTGGCCCCGGACGCTAGATGGGACAACGGGCCGCGGCGGAGGGCGACCTCTCCTCGCCGCGGCGGAGGGCGACCTCTCCTCGCCGCGGCGGAGGGCGACTTCTCCTCGCCGCGGCGGGAGCACCGGTTCCGGGAGGCAGACGTCACAGAGATGAGAAGGCTCTCAGGCAGCGCAAGTCCGCGGCTCAGACTTAACAGCGCACCTGACAAGCGCTAAGAAGATGGGGAAGATGATCAGTCTTTTTCAGACTGTTTTCAGCCTGAGAAAGCACGCATCCAGGTGAGGATAAACGACCCACTTCGCATAACGCGTTTTCACACCAGCACTCGCCAGAATAGGGTCAGATGCTAATCTAACAGGCGAGTGTCCTAGGAAGTTGCTGTAACATAAACGTACCATAAACCATAATCAAACGTGGGTTAGGTGAATTTATTTCCGTATTGGGCTCTCAGAAGTTTGCCCGGTAAAATATCGGGCATTGGTGTTCTTTGATGCGTTACTAAACTTCCGAAAAGCTGGAAATTCTGCTTTACACTTATTCACTCGCAAGAGTGTCAGGTACTTAGTCACGCTTTTCCTCAGGAGTTGGGGGTGGGGTGGGATAAAATGTCACTTTATCTCCGAAATCTTGGGAACTTGGGCCAAATTCTTGTGACATTGCCCAGCACAAAGTGTAAAACTCTAAGCTAAAGGAGGGTAGCCCCTTGTCACTCACATCGGCTACGTCTCTGAAGGTCACGAAGGTCGCGTATCTACCTTCAGCCCTCAGCAAAATCTTGCAACTTCAGTAAATACACAAACTACCAAGCCACGAGATATTCATCTGTGGTGAGCGCATTTCTGCGCATTTAAACTTCCGCCAGCGGTAAAGTACCTGGCAGCGTGTCTGTGCGTTGCCTGTTTGGTATGGTTAATGCCGAGAACCGACGTCTCAGCTCAGTCAGTTACAGCCAATGGAGACGATGGCCAACAATTACTGGAATAGCAGCGCTCAATCAATTTAAGACTGCCTGCCACACTCGACAGCATTGTTGTTACGACCAACGTGGCCAGAGCTCGAAAAGTTTTACTTGAGCCATGGAGCATTTTTCAATTTGCACAAAATGACAGTAAAGCCTTCAACGTGCTTATATTCTTGCAGCTAATGGTGGCATGTTTATACAGCTGTAAGCGGCAGGTAGCCAAATTGTTTTAAAACTGCTCTGTAATATTTCGAAGATGTTGCCATTCAAGGCGAGCAATCACAAGCGCTTTCCCTGCAATGCCGTAAAATGGTAAGAATTTACCCCTCCCATTGGCTACGTTTTGGCCTTTGGCTTGGCTAGTCGCCGCTCCCCATTATTGAGAAACATATATTTGCGAGTTTCAAAAAACTCACACAATCTAGGCTCAAACTGAGCTTACACTTCGACATCGCAGGGTCGCGGCAACACGGAATCTGTACGATATGACTGACAAAGAGGGCAATGTACATCAATGCACAGCTGCTTGCCACAGTGGACATCAGAGCATGCCCAGACAGCCTCAGGTCGTGCCCAGTCGAAGGCGGACAGCCTCAGGTCGTGCCCAATCGAAGGCGGACAGCCTCAGGTCGTGCCCAATCGAAGGCGGGCAGCTTCAGGTCGTCCCCAATCGAAGGCGGACAGCCTCAGGTCGTGCTCAATCGAAGGCGGACAGCCTCAGGTCGTGCTCAATCGAAGGCGGACAGCCTCAGGTCGTGCTCAATCGAAGGCGGACAGCCTCAGGTTGTGCTCAATCGAAGGCGGACAGCCTCAGGTCGTGCTCAATCGAAGGCGGGCAGCCTCAGGTCATGCCCAATCAAAGGCGGACAGCCTCATCAGCCCCAGATCATGCCCAATCAAACGCGAACAACCTCAGGTCATACCCAATCGCAGGCGGATTGCCTCAGGTCATGCCCAATCGAAGGCAGACAACCTCAGATCATGCCCAATCGAACGCGGGCAGCCTCAGGCCGTGCCCAATCGAAGGCGGACAGCCTCAGGTCGTGCCCAATCGAAGGCGGACAACCTCAGGTCGTGCTCAATCGAAGGCGGGCAGCTTCAGGTCGTGCCCAGTCGAAGGCGGACAGCCTCAGGTCATGCTCAATCAAAGGCAGACATCATCATGGCCAATCGTCCGGCCAGACCAACGCTTTCCT